CCAGCCCCTGACACTGTTAAAGCAGGTTATGGAGACTTTTTAATCAATTTCATTTCCACTGAGGGCATTCCTCCTTCTGTAATAAGGGAGCTCTCAGATAATTTCTATAACAGGCCCACCAGAAGTAGTAAAATAAACTACCTCTCTAGGAAAGATAAACAATATTATGAGTCTCCTGCTTTTGACCGTGATGATACTCTATGGTAAATTTACACGGCAGCCCTATAGTTTATCAAAATGTATGTGACTTTATTGCCACGTAGATGAGTATAAAGTTACTCAATCTTCTTGAGATCCAAAGCAATTTAGCTGTGACAGCTTTTGTTGGGTGAAACTTAATGGCCTTCATAGATTTTTCAGACAGCTTTATATGCAGCTCTTTTAGCTGATTGGAATTCTAAACCAACACTTTCAGTTGGCAATATTTTGATTGTACTCCAACTGATTCCTGCAATAGATTTGATTTGATTTCTCAGAGATGGACCAGAATTTCTCAAATTTGGAGAGAAATCGATAATCTCTTCCCAATGGACAGGGTATTATAAGAATAAACCTTGCTGATAACAAACAAATAAAAAAATATATTTCCGAAACTCTCAATTGGCTTTAGCTAGTATGAGACTTCAGTATTCTTATCAAGCCAATTTTATGATTGTATGCAAGTATATATGTGTGTGTGTGTGTGTGTGTGTGTGTGTATTTGTTTTCTCAGGTTTTCGCGGGTGTTTGTATGTAGGTCTTTGGTTATTCGGGTCTTCTCCCACGTAAAATTGGAAGTGTCTTGGCGACGTTTCGACGAAGTCTCATTCGTCATCTTCAGGCTGGTGTTCTTGGCTTCGTGCTTCCAGGAGCAAAATTTATATTATATATATATATATATATTCCCAACTTGGTTTTAGAAAAGATCAGATAATTAAGGTCATTCTTTAAGGGATAAGAAAAGGTGGCAATTTTCCAGTGTCAGAAGAATAAAGGGAAAAGCATTCCAATGAATGAGTTGGCAGCCTATATTAGACAGGCTAATCCAAGTGCCTGAGGAATGAATCTAAAGGGTTTTTTAAAAAAAACATAAGGGGAATAAAGATATAGTTTATTGATATCAAAATTCAAACCCATGGGGCCATCCCACAGGGAGCTGGGAGAAATGTCATCATAATCATTGTGATGTCATTGTGGTTTGTGGCAAACGACCGTGACAATACATCTTCTAAACAACAGGACACTTATATGCCTAATGGCTTCCAAAGGGAGTAGCTGTGTCAGATTTTTGCTACAAAGACATTACAATCCTGTGACCCTTTAAAGAAAAAAACAAATTGATTATCAGTGTTTTACAACTCTGCTTGCAAAAAGTTCATAATCTAAAGCAAACACCAAGGAAGATATTGGAGGGAGTGGCCAGAGGGGAAAAGAATAGCAAAGAAAGAACAGATGCAATTGTACATACTTATAATTCGTTACTAGTGGGAATTGAAGATTAAAGCAAAAATTCTTTTTAAGAAAAGGGGGTGGCAGATGTGAAGAAACAAATAACCTTTCCCCGTGAACTTCAGATTGGGCCTTATTTTATACATTTTTATCACGTTGCTATCATCCCTCTTCTCATCTTCTCTGAATTAAGAGACCCAAACAGGATACCCTTTCCTTGTAAGGAGTCCTATATTGCTGGTTGGGTAACTCTGAGAGTTGGAGTCCATACATCTTAAAGTTGCTAAAGTTGAGAAATGCTGATATAGACACCTTAGAACACTGGCAGTCTTTTTTATAGCTTATTTCTAGCACATTGTTCACCGTTCTCATAAAGGTCCTACAGACAATTATTTTAATTTTCCTATAGATCACGGTTCTAAGATCATTAAACTTGCCAGAACTTCAATCTTACTAATGTGTACATAAATGTCATGGCTTTTGGGGGGTCTCTTGATACTTGCCACTTTCTCTTGTTTCATACCCTTTCTGTCCCCGATAGCTTACCCAGAATAATTTGAGTTGCCAGCAGATGTGGCTCCTTCATTGCTTGCTGCCAGTTTCAAGCTATTTATGAACAAGTTGAAAGACAATTGCCACCAAATAATTATTTGGTGGGTGCTGTTTACACCCTTCAGTTATGAAAAATGGCACTTGGTTCATAGTTTAACCATTTACCTATCCACATCATGGCTGCCAAATTAGTAGTGCAAAATCAGAAAATGTGGCGAGACCTGGCCCATAGAACCGCCAAGAGCTGGACATAACTGAATGAATGTCATCATCATTATCTCCTTCTCCTCCTGCTCCTCATCTTCATGTTCATCATCATGGCTGCAAAACGTACTTGCGAACTTTTGCAGAAATTCTGTTCCTTCATCTTCACTGAGACCTGTTTTGTTTTTTGCTTGATATGTTATATGCAATCATGCTTTCTCTTAGTTCAACTAGAGCTGTGGGCTAACCACTGTGTAGTTTTTGAGTTCTTAAAAATGGATGGTATTATTTAGGCATTAATAAGAGGTTTATCGTTTTCATTTTTTGTTTAAAAATTCACTTTAGGGATTTAATTCCATCCAGACATAATGCATGTTACTTTTTGCGTGTCTAAAGAAGGCTGGAGCATCATGGCTGCATTTGTACAACACATCAGTCATAGTTTCTTGAATTAATCCTATGGCCAGGGATTGCATGATACAATACTCTGTGCAAGATAATCACAGCAAGACAGGGTGGCTTTGCACAAATTATAGAACTACCAGATCAGATCTGCAAAGAATCTGGATGACCATGAGAGAAAAGCAAAGAATAACAAAATTCAAATGTTATGATATCATCTTGGGATCATCTACAGTCTGTAGTCCAGTGTATTCATAATAATAACATTTGGATTCTCACTCTGCACTAAGTCTGGACTTTTAAAGAGTCCTTTGTAACTGTATGATTCCATTTCAAGTTAACCCATGCATATCTGATCAATGATTTATTGGATTAAGAAGTCAATGGCCCAGTTTCCCACAGATTAAATCTGGTCTGCAAAAACATGGATGACCAATAGGTGGCAGCAGACAGAAGATACCGGAGAACTTAAATTCTTGCAATCCAGATCTGGGGGTTCTATACACATATTAAGCCACAAAGTAGGCAACCAACAAATAGCCTTCTGCATTTTGTCAATCCAACCTTTCTCATTTTAAGACTCATTTCCTGGAGGGTGAGGGGATATGTTCTATATCATCCTTGGAACAGAAAAAGTATAGTTTCTGAGCTTTTCACAAGACAGAAAGGAAGCTGTGCAGGAGCACAATTCATGGTGAAATTTTGGAACTGTAAAATGTTCCATTTCAGCCACTAAGAAATTTGTTAAATGCACACAATTACATTTAGATATCATGCTTGTAAACATTTTTGTGAACACCCCAAATTATATGAACATTTTTAAACATTATAAAATCATAAAATAAGCCCAGCTTTCAAATGCTAGGATTTGAATAGATATCTTCTTGGAAGATACACTCATGATGAACTACTTGTGCCCCTGTGAATATGCAGAGTACATTTCCCTCCCCATAGTCAACAGTCACTCCTCCCCAGTATTTGGAGCAGGGCTTCTACTGTGCAATGTATATCTGCAAGCTTGAGCATCTTCTTTTGAATGTGGATGGTGCTGAAAAGCAACTATTGTATGGTGCCAATTATATATTTTTATTTATTTATTTATTTGTCAAGAACGTATTAGGTAATAAGTAGATTGGGTACATAAAATAGATACAAATAGAGGAAGTCTACAACAACAGGAGGAATAAGGTATGGTTAAGAGTAAGTATATATTATAAAGAGAGTTCGTAGTAGAATGTAAAATTTCCCCTTTATTTCTCTAGGTGGGAGAAAGCTCCTGCGTCTTTCAATAGTACCAACTAGCAGGACGAGCGAATGGCTGGTCAATAAACAAGCAGAACATCAAACGTTGCGTCCCTGTCCCGTCCCGCTGCGATTAATAGATGAGGAAAAAGACTTCAATTGGAGGCTTCGCGCCTAAGAGCTGCGTGCAGGGCCGGATTTTCCTATAGGCTAACTAGGCTTCAGCCTAGGGCCTCAAGATCAAGAGGGGGCCTCAAGATCAAGAGGGGCCTACATTCAAATTGTTAGCAAAATTAAAATTACACTTTCACTATAGGTGAAAGGGCCTCATAAGTGGAATAGCCTAGGGCCTCTTTTCATCTAAATCCGGCCCTGGCTGCGTGTCTTTTTTTAGGTCAGGATTTGGCCCTCAGGGCGCTTCTCGCCGGAGGTAGGCTAGACTAGAGTAGCATGAGCGCTCCCCACTCTCCCCATAACCGCTGTGCCCAAGGGGATCCGAGCGGACCGTTTGCCCCATCGGCCCCTCTTTCCATCTGCGAGACCTTTTGGCTCCTAATATGGGCTCTAATTAAATTACACCCGGTCCTCGAAGCTCAGGTTTCAAGCAGTTTGTTTGGCCCGCTGATTGGCTGTCGGTCGAGCAAAGGGGGACCAGATCTCGGGCGCTCATTGGCTCTCGTGCCAGGAGAAAGGGAGGGGGCGCGGTCTGAACCAAAGGGGGCGCTTCGCTGCTTTGGGACCGAACTAGGGAGAAAGTTTCCAGCGCCTCCTGCGTTGGTCTCGGAGCCTCTTTCCTCGCCCTCGCCGGACTGCGCGGCCGGTTCCCTTCTGCTGGCAGCTGAGCGCCCCAGCTTTTGGCATGCACAGCGCGCGCCTCGACGCCTTCGTCAGCCACCTCCGCGCAGAAGTGGTAAATTCGGGGGAAGAGGGGGGGAAAAAAATCAGGGATGCGGTGGGGAGGAGCGGCTGCAGTAGCGGGGTTCACGGAGGCGCGTGCATGAGAAGGACTGAATCGGGGGTCTAGTTAGAGCGTCCTCCACCCTGAACCTTTAGTGTCTGAGCAAGACAGGAGAGCCCGGACGGGTGGGGCAGGAGGGAGGGGGGGGAAAAAACTTCCTAAAAGACCTTCTTCTATCCCGGGGCAGCAGAGTTGAGACGAAGCAGCGCTGGCGAGAGCGCCTGTCTTGTGACCTCCCTTCCCTGGGAACGGCTGCCTGCTGAAGGCTGTCCGGGCAGCAAGACGGGGCTTGCGTCTTCGGCGCCGAGTGAGTGAAGCGGTGCTTTGGTTTTTTTTTTCCGCCCAGAGCTGTCAAGCCCTCTCGCTCGCTCGTCTTGAGGCAGGCGCTGTACCGCTCCGTCCGCATTCTGCCTAGTTTAGAGGATTGCTAGCTGTAGCGGCGCACCGATGTCGCTGTGCCTTCGGAGGGGCTTGGCTGGGAGAGCTGGCCGGGCTGCGGAGGAGACCAGAGCCACCGATTGCAACCCTAGGCAGACTCCCCAAGGGGCAAGGGAGGGACCCTTACATCTGAAGATCTGGGCGCCGAATCGGGCAGCCTGGTGGCGGGAAAAAAATGCCTTCCGACGATGCCTGAAGGTGTTGCTTCTCCCGTCTCCGACGGGCCTTGGCCCTCAAAAAAGAAGCTGAGATTGGGAAGCGGTGACGATCCAGCAAGGATTTGAATGAATGAATGAATGAATGAGCTGGAAGGGACCTTGGAGGCCTTCTAGTCCAGCCCAGGATGAAGGGGAGAGTCGGAAGCGGGATGGATCGGCTGTTATTCTGGGGAGAAAAAATGTGGGATTGAATGGAGAGAAAATTCCCCCACTGGCTGGTCCCGGAGATTCTTCTTGATCCTGGGCTGTTCCGGTGCCGGCTTTGAAACGTGTGACTAGGCTGAGGACCACTGAGTGAGGAGCAGGCGATTTGTCCCTATCCAATCAGGGTCTGTTTCCATGATAAAGTGCATCCAGGAAGTTGAATCCTCCCGATCAGTAATTAAATTTTGGTTAGATAACAATTGTTATGTTGTCAATTTCCACATAACTGAGGAGCTCTCACTCCTAATGCACGTGGAGAAAGCTTGCTTAGGGTCTGTTTTATTTTGGTAGCCTTGCCCAGCTTCATAGAAGCTTTGCTGCTGTGACAAACAGATGTCCTGTATTGGACATCCTGAGAGCAGTCATTATGGACCACCTTAAGTTTCATCTGTCCCATCTCCAGCTGAGTACAATGAAGAAAAAATGTCCATCATCACATAGAGCTTGCCCTCTAGTGCTCTGTAGAGACACTGCAAGCTATAAATGAAAGATTGTTATAGCAATAGCGCTTAGATTTATATACCGCTTCACAGCCCTCTCTAAGTAGTTTACAGAGTCAGCATATTTCCCTCACAATCTGGGTCCTCATTTTACTGACCTCAGAAGGATGGAAGGCTGAGTCAATCTTGAACCTGGTGAGATTTGAACTGCCAAACTTCTAGCAGCTGGCAGTCAGCAGAAGTAGCCTGCAGTACTGCATTCTAACCACTGCACCACCACAGCTCATTATGATCTTGGGATGTTTGTCTGAAAAAGAGTGGCATTATAGGATTGGCTACAACTGTCCTGATTTCTAAGAATATGTATAAGAAATGGCCAGCATGGAATTCAGTAGGTCTTGTGCTCTCCTAGGATAGCACCACAGAACCCCCAGGAATCTGTAGATTTGAGCTGACCAGTGTCTTCCTGGATTAAATTCTATTTGGTCAATTGCTTTCTCTGTTTGTCTGCCCTTTTGTGGACCACAGCTACTACTTCTGCATTGCCACATTACATTTCTCACAACACCACTGACTAGTGCTCTTCTGAGGCATTGTAAGAACTGGGAAATTAAAATGATGACTGGAATTCCTGGCCTCAGGCCTTGGTATGCTCAGTTTAGGAACTGGCATACGTTGGTTTCTTGGGATTCCAGCAGTTGCCTAAAAATGCCAGGTGCTGATACCAGGCCTGGAGTCTATGCTATTCGTTTTCAACTTGCCTTGAGCATCCTTTGGGAAACCCATCATTTAGTGAGAGAATTAAAAGACATGAATCTTGCTCCACTTTCAATTCATCCTCTTAGCAGACCCTTCTTGACCTGGTGTCCTTTGAATGGCTTCAAGTACAGCCGCATAATTCCCAGCCAGCATCATTAGTAGTTGGGATGGATAGTCCTAGGGAGTGGAGAAACTGACTTAGGGCCCCCGTGGAGGACTGTGACAGGCCTAATGCAGGAAGCTGGATATTCTGTATCATCTAATATCCATGATGATGAAGATGATGCAGCTTCACATCCTATTGGTCTGATAAGCTCCTTAGGTTATCCAAAGTTAGTGGCACCCACTGAAGGTAGTGGTCACTTGCATTTTTTGTAATGAGCATAAAAATATAAAGGGGAAAAAAAACTCATGTTTTGAGAAGTCCTGAAGTGGTAAGTTTGGCTATTAAAAGTGATATCATGGTGGAAGGAGCTCTTTAGATAAATAAGGCAGAGAGATGTAATGGACGATGAAAACCCCATAACGTTTAGTGCAATCTCTGCTTTGTATTTATATGCGATGCAAAATTCTTGTCATTCTTTACTGTCACCACAAATGGGGTCCCTGTAAGGGGCTGAGCAGCTGCCAGAACCATATTGAGAAATAAGCAGCAGCATTATTTTTCTTTTGGGAACAGGCATGTGTGATAACTCTGGTCTCTAAGCGCGGCCCTATAATCTCTCAGCATGCGCCAGTCCAAACATTATTTCATAGGCAAGTCTTCTTACCTTGGTGGATCCAGGCATGTTGGGATACATCTACCATATTTCCTAGCCAATGTGGTATCATTCAGGAAGGCTCTGAGTTTGATGAAGTTTTTCCCCCCTCCCCCGTGTGTTATTTAGTCTTATAAATTGCTTCTTTAACATTTTCTTGTTCTGAGAAATGAGTACTTCTCCAACCTTATGCTTTCCAATCATTTATTTATTTATTAGAGGTTTATCCCACTTTTATTTTGGTCAAAAGCCTTGGTAGTACAGTGGTTTAAAGCACCCTGTTATTAACACAGCTGCCTGCAATTACTGCAGGTTCGAATCTTACCAGGCTCAAGGTTGACTCAGCCTTCCATCCTTTCTAAGGTAGGTTAAATGAAGACCCAGTTTGTGGGGGCAATAAGCTGACTTTGTATAAATATACAAAAGTATGAAGGCTATTGCTTAACGCATTGTAAGCCGCCCTGAATCTCCGGAGAAGGGCGGCATATAAATCAAATTAAAAAAAAAAAAATACCTCAGTGTGGCATAAATACCTAACACTCATACCTCCTGTTTTCCCCAGAACAACCACCTTTTGAGATGGGTTAAACTGGGAGAGTGTGACTGTCCCAAACTCATCCAGCTTGTTTACATGCTTAAGGGAGGACTAGAACGCAGAACCTCTTGGTCTTAGCCAAATGGGCTGTCATGTTGGGGAAACAAAAAGGCAATGCTGGCTGAGATTTCTGACAGTTGTAGTCTCAACAGACCTGGAGGCTAAATGCGGAAGTCTATTCTAATCAAGGGGTGCATGGTAGGCTGTCCCAAGGGGTCTTTTTTACCCTTTTTAAAAGGGTACCTTTAAGAATTCACCACTCAAGAGCCATGGTACACAAGGGCTGCTTCTCCTTGCCAGATGCCAGAAAAGCCTACAATAGCAGGCCCCTCTCTCCATCACTAGAGCCATGAGGATAGACAGTCCTATCAACCACTGGACTGGCCCTCTGGCCATCTCTGAGGTTGAGGTAGTTGGTGCTTTGGGGCTGTTTTTTAGAGCTTAATTTGGTTTCAGTTGACAACATTCTAGTGCTGTTCTGTTTGTTTGTAACAAGCTGGCTTGAGGTTTTGGAAAAATGCCATATACATACCATGAATTAATAAATCAGGGTAGACGTTGGAACATCTAAGTTTGAGTTTGAGTATGTTTCTGGAAGCTGTTGCACATAGGCAAGACATGTTTTTAGGTAACTACTTAAAAACTCCGTTTCGAGACCAGTTTTACATCTGTGATTTATTTAGTGATAATCTAATTATGAAATTATCAGATCAAGGGCAGCCAATCATTTTGCAGCTCGTTGTGCCCCATGTGGCTGTTTTAAGCCCAAGGCACAACACGTAATCTTTTTTTTTGGTCTTTGTGTGGGAAGTGCTTTGTGCCAAGTGTGCACACGTGGCTTCAAGGCTTCTCAGTCATAGCTGCTCAGGAAGATATCTTGTTTGTTTCCATCTTTTATTCTCTCTTGCCCAAGCTTATCAAGGCAGTATGGCATGGAACAGAGCATGGCAGCCTTTTCAGGGCATCTGGGACTCTCAAGCTCTGGACTTTTGCTCCCGTTATCGACTGAGAAACCATTTTTCCCAACTTTGAAATGGTCTTGGGAACCAATAGAATAGAATAACAGAGTTGGAAGGGACCTTGGAGGTCTTCTAGTCCAACCCCCTGTTCTGGCAGGAAACCCTATACCATTTCAGACAAATGGTTGTCCAATCTCTTCTTAAAAACTTCCGGTGTTGGAGCATTCACAACTTCTGGAGGCAAGTCATTCCACTGATTAATTGTCCTCACTGTCAGGAAATTCTTCCTTAGTTCTAAGTTGCTTCTCTCCTTGATTAGTTTCCATCCATTGCTTCTTGTCCTGCCCTCAGGTGCTTTGGAGAATAGCTTGACTCCCTCTTCTTTGTGGCAGCCTCTGAGATATTGGAACACTGCTATCATGTCACCCCTAATCCTTCTTTTCATCAGACCAGACATACCCAGTTCCAGCAACCCTTCTACATATGTTTTAGCCTCCAGTCCCCTAATCATCTTTGTTGCTCTTCTCTGCACTCTTTCTAGAGTCTCAACATCTTTTTTACATTGCGGTGGTGACCAAAACTGGATGCAATATTCCAAGTGTAGTCTTACCAATGCATTATAAAAGTGGTATTAACATTTCACGTGATCTTGATTCTATCCCTCTGCTAATGCAACCATTAAAGTGTTGATTTGTTTCAGTCTAGATTTTTGAACCCAGGACAGCACTTGGTTTTTGGATGGCCTGCACATCAGGAGAAAAATAACACCTTAAATGAATTACTGCATATTCAATTGAATTGAATAGAGACTGTATGATTACGTATTTAGTCAGCTTTTCGGCAGTCCATTTGAGATGGTCTCAGGGGCCTGCGTTATTACAAGGCTTGGGACAGGATATGGAGTCATATTCCACAGGAGATGCTAGTCAGATCAGGAGAATTCCTTTTTCTTTCCAGCTGCTGCTCAGCTGGAATTGTACGGAAGTTGCCTTGTTTCTTAATCTCTTCCATGCAAGATTTGAAAAGAGGATGTTTTTCTCTTAAAATCCCACCAATTGCTGACTCAGTTCTGTAATGTAAAAGTCTTTTATTGATGCTGTTACTAGGAAGGGAGCATGAATGTTTCCTAGGCTTGAAGTGAAACTGATCTACGGAGTATGTAACAAAACAATATATAAACTACATTTTTTTAAAAAAAAAATTACATTCTTAGCCCTGGAACTGTGACTGAACTATCACACCAAGACACATTTGTTCTTGGTTTTGAGCTAGGCACTGAGGATTATTGTATGCTGTATCACCAGAGCAGCTAAAATGAATCATTTTTTGTGACCGTGTCCAAATTATGCCTGGAGGAGCAGTGGCCTGTGGTATATCTTTGATCTGAACTGCAAAGACTTTCAGAAAGCAACAGGAAGGGGCTCTGCAGAAGAGAGAGGAAAACAAAATAAGATACTAGGACTCTGCAGTCTTTGTATTTGAGCCCACAACTCTCCCTTTGTCACTCTAGGATTGAGAAATAGGCAAAGCAAATTTATGGGCTTGTGACAAAACATTTTCCCTGCCAGACTAGAGAAGACCCTCAGACATGTCCTGCTTACTATGAAGAAACCAGCCAGCCTAGCTTTTATATCTCTCCCTCACCTTGTGTCCATTAGAGTAGGGCCTCCTTTCCTTTAGAGCACCTAGAAGGGATGTGCTCCTCCTGGCCACTTCATCTGGTCATAGAGATTTCTTACAAGAAAGGCCAATTGGCCTTATTCTGCCCCTATGCGAACATCTTGTCCTTTCTCTGGTGCTTGCTCTAGGATTTCTAAATCCTTGCTCTAGGATTTCTAAAGCTCGTTAACTCCCAGATGAACTTCACCTTTGCTTACACGGCGGCTGGTCCAGTCTTCCCCTCTGCCACCAGTGACGGTGGCCTTATCGCCTGCCTTTTCCTCCTTGAATGGCTGCTTGTGTAATTCCTGCAGGCTCTCACACACCCTTTGTGTCATCTTCTGCCGGGTGGGGCAACTCACCCACTGCAACAAGCTGCTGCTTGTACGGCTGGGGATGGGCTTGGAACGTGCAGATGTTGCTGAAAAGCTACCGCCTCGGGGCTGGGGGACCTGCCAAGACGAGACAGGGCAAAGGCTCGCGCGTGCGGCTCTGGCTCCCAACTCCACTCCTCAGCTAAGGCAGATTTGGTGCCCCTCGCCTAACAAGGTGCCTGGGCTCTAGAGCTGGAGGGAGATTCTTGGCATGTAGTCGGCCCTGGAAATCCTTGATGTGTGGGACTCCTTAGGCACTTAGAATATGTGGACCAGGTAAGCTGAGCGATAGGAGTGCGAGTGGTGCTTTCTAAAGGCTTGAGCGGCAGGGAAGGAGCAGTGTCAGAGACTGTCATCAAAGGGTTTATGTCAAGCAAATGCTTTTGCCTAAGGAGGCCTGGGTCGTGTGAGGTCACCAGCTCAGATCAATGGAGACATTGATCTTTGTGTTTTCGTCTGGACTCATGACCCACACGTGGCTTTTTATGGATGTTTGTGGCACTGAGCTCATGATACATACGGTAGACTAAGTTGGCTTGAGGATTTCAGCATAGATGTAATTTGGGGTATATGTGCTAGCTATTTTCAGTTGTCATGGCTCTCACCTGGGACTTGAACGGGGCACTTTTCTTGGGTGGATCATCATTTCAAGAAAATAAGGACGATTGCTTTTCCTCCCCACAGCTGTGCATGAAGGAGTCGAGCGAGGTGCTGCGAGGCCAGATGCAGTGCATGATGCGGACGCTCCACGATCTCAAGAGGGCTCAAGACCGAGAGCTGCGACTGGAACCTCAGGAGATACGGCTACCCTCAGCTCTGCCTTCCTCAAAGTCCTGTATCAGCCCACGGATATCAGCTATCTCAGAAGCAGATTCTGCCTGTTGCTTGGAAGGAGTTGTGGAAGAAGAGGTTGCTTTCTCCCCACCCAGCAGCGAGCGAAGTCTGGAGTTTGATTCGGGCTATTCAGAAGTATCTGGGAACAGCTGGCGGGATGAGGAAGGCCCTCCACCCCTGAGAGCCAGTAAGCTTTCCTCAGGGGGCTTCCTACGCCGTCGAGTGCCGGCCAGGAGGCCCCGGCCAAAATCGGCTTCAGATGCTTGCCTAGAGCGGTGGCGGGATGGCGAACCCTCTGATGCGGGTGACTGGACAGTGTCCCTCTTGTCCCAGAGTCGTAACCGGCAGCCTCTTGTGCTAGGGGACAACTGTTTTGCTGACTTAGTGGAGAACTGGATGGACTTGCCTGAAGAAAGCGGGGAACGGGGGTGGCTGCAGCGTTGGCTGGCCAAGCCCCATGGCTTCTTGCTTAACCTCTCAGGCAACGTTCGCCGCAGGCTGGCTGGCATCTCCCGCACGGAGCGCACCAAGCAGGATCGGGATGGCACCAAGCGTTTCTCTTGCCCTGCCGGTCTGGATGGGCGCCCTTCATTACCCTACTTCCACCAATCCCACGCCAACATCAGTGAGCTTTCTACAGACTGTAGCAGCTTTGCTGCCCTAATGAACTGCCGAAGTAGGCAGCCCATCATTTGCAACGATGTGATTGGCTACATCTAGCTTGCCTTTTTTTAATGCTTGTTTATAAATAAATGCCTTTTTTTCTACATCATAGCTGTATGGTGTCTTAAATCTGACTGCTTGACCCAAGTGATACTATAATTGTGGTCCAATTGATTTATCCCAAAATTAATTAAATCAATTTCCCCCATAATGTAGCTATAAGAAGAATAAAAATAAGAAGCAAGGAACAACAAATTTTGAACCCAAAGTTTCATCTCAGGAATTAAGGCTATGTCCCTTTCTGAGCCTTTGAGCTGAATTGGCCTTAATAGCAATAGCAAAAGCAAAGCACTTAGACTTATATACCACTTCACATTGCTTTACAGACCTCCCTCTATAGTTTTTCAGAGTCAGCATATTGCCCCCAACTATCTGGGTTCTCATTTTACTGATCCTGGACGGATGGAAGTCCAAGTCAACTTTGAGCTGGATCGAACTCCTGGCAGTGAGCAGTGAGTTAGCCTGCAGTACTGCATTCTAACCACTACGTCACCGGGGCTCCTAATCATTAAACTATAGATCTCAGTTAGTTTGATAAATATTAACGTGCTTGTTTTATTATTGGAGAGTACAAAGTTCGAAATGAGAGACATGACCAAAATCTTGAGGACTTGCCTAGAAGGAATTGTTGCTTTACTTTATTGGTCCCTAAAGAATGTGGAAATAAGATTATTTGTCTTACAGGCAAGACCAAACTAGTGTTTTTACTAACTCTGTCTCGATATCAATTTCTTAATGGAAAAAGGTTAGATTGCCTAGAACAGATTGTGCTCAGTTCTCAATATCAAATTTGGGAAGTAGCCAGGAGGAGATCCACTATGAGTTTCTCAACCATGAGGATTTCAGAAAGGATTCTAAATGGTGGCAGGAGTTGCATTCTGGCATGTAATGCGCAAGGGTGCCGTCCAGCTGGGACCTGTAGAGCAGAATACAACAGCTCTGGTGGCCAAATATACATGGCTAAAATAATATTTGGAGGAAAACTAAGTCTTGGTCAGAGTGGCAACTGGTCTTCCATTAAGTAGCACCATCAATGATCCAAACAAGCATTCAGTGTTAAATGTCACAAATTAGTGCTACTTATTACCTGTTTACCTGGAAGTAAAACAGATTGGATACCATGTAGATATTACCCAAATAAATATGTTTATAATTTCAGTTAGGTATTAAGACCCTGCGTTGTGCAATAGTAACAACACCTGGACCTAGTATATAAATTTGTTTTAGCTTTATCATCGTGTACACTTTAAGATTAAAAAAAAAGTGCAAACATGGATGTAAAAATATAACAGTGATGATCAATCACATCAGCAGCTTCAAATATCTGTGAAGAATGAAAAATGAGGGCCACTAAAGAACAATACACAGCTAGGTTTTGTTTTTACTGCTTCTAGATACAGTAGATAGAAGCCGAAAGACCATCTTATTTATCCTCACATTTATCCCTTATAGTAATAGCATTAAGGAGCCTGATAACATATGTGATACACAGTTACAGACATTATAGGAAGCATCTAGATATGTATGGATCCTCCTGTAAGAATGATCTGAAGTACAGCCTGCTAAAATCAGGAAGGAAATACTTCAGTTTTGATAATCATATAGGCAAATACTCTTTTAAACATTTGCAAACATTAACTTACTGAACCAGATAAATTGCACCGAATCCAGAGTTCATTACCAAAATTAACCTCCAATTTCCTTGGCAAATTAAAAGGAATCATATATACTAGGGCCATGATGGCGAACCTATGGCATGGGTGCCAAAGGTGGCATACAGCACCCTCTCTGATGGCACATGAGCCGTCACCACAGTTCAGGTCAGCTGCGCATGCGTGCACGCCTCCCACTGTCCAGCTGGTTTTCGGGTCTCTGCCACGGATGTGGGGGGGGGCATATGCGCGGGGCGGGGCATGTTCAGGAGGCTGTGTGCGCATGTGGGGGGGCGCATGCAGGGATGCACTAACATGTGTGGGGGGTGAGTTGCATGCACAGGGGGCGGGGCACATGCAGGGGGTGTGCCACATTGTATTTTGGAGGTTTGGGTGCGCACACATTTGGGAGCTTTGGCCATTCAGTCCGGAAAAGGTTAGCCATCACTGTACTAGGGCATCTAGTTGTTGGATATTGACAGTACAGTTTTCTGTGTCTCTTTATTGCCATCTAGGGGCCGTGTGGATTTTTGCAGCCCAGAAACGGGAGCTCTACTTTGAATGAAATTGAATCCAGTCATTTAGCCTGTCTACTCAAGTGACCAGTGAGAACCTGCATTTCCATTTAGGGCACAAGGCTGGAAATTATCAATTGGTCTCTCCTCCGTGAATTTATTTCAACAATTACCCTTATTTCATATAGTAGATAGGAGTTGGTGATACATAATCAAATCAGTCCATTCCATTCTTGGAGGTCCACGGCAAAGGGAGAAATAAGCGGGTACTTCTCATGGAAATCAAAGCTCTGGAGATCAGAGCCAGATTATCAAATGGCAATTGGCAGGTAAAAGCTACTAATTGTCCCCTTAAAATGTGATCTGCTAAAGTTGCTTTTCTCACTGTCTGGCTAAGAGACCAAAGAGGAAGGGGGCAGGAGGGAAGCAGGCTGTCAGACACAAAGAATCTAGAAGAAGGAATGAGCTTTTTACTGGGTACGCGAATGTCTTGACAACTTCAACCCCCTCCCCACCCCTTTGCAAAAAAAAGGGGGAGTACTAAACCAGCAAAACAAAAATAAAATGGCTGGAGAGAAAGTCCAGCAATTCTAAAATGAACTGCTGAAAAAAGGGGGAGGTGCCAATATTTTCTCTAAAAGAGAAATGCCAGAACTTGTGATAATGACTTCCATAAATTAATCAGGCAAGCAAGTTACAGAAGTGATAGGTTACACGCCTTTAATTGGTGTCTTTAATTTACATGACTTTACAGTGCAATTGTTTTGATCAGTACTTAGTGGGAGTTTTCCACACACTCAGAAGACAGATAGGGTTGGGCGAGGAGTGGTTTTTTTTTTTTAAGTACTGTAGTTGATCTCTAGCAAAGCAAAGCCTATTTCCTGATAAATAGGCACCCTGCAGCAAAATCCTACAGCTTTTTAGGCTGTCTGCACATATGCTGGCCAAGCAGATGTTATTAAAAACAAAACTAAAAACAACCTTTTCAGTTTTGCAGATAAAATTGCCATATTTCACAGGAGTGGAGTAACAGTAGCTTTCTACAGAATGACGTAGGCTGAAGGGAGGGGCTGGGATGGCTTTCTAGAGTTACCATGTAGCCCAGATGTTCTTTCTGTTTGATGTTTATAATGAACTTCTCATGTTTTTTATGACTACATCATCTTGTGGCATGCCTACAGCATCCCAGGCTGGCTTCTACAAAACACAAAAATACAGCAATTGCCTCTCTGGCTCAAGCTGAGGCTCGTTCGGTCCACGGTTTCCTTTTTTCCCCTTCCTTTCCAGCTGGTTTATGCATAGACATATACAAAGAGGGCATGGGAGTTAAAGGATTTTGTTATTCTTTATTTCCTGGATCTTATACAAAGATATTTTGCCACAGCATGTGGAAATTTCATTAACTACCTTTGCAAATGACGCTTGCAAACAACCTACTTACTGGAACAGAAACTGTAGTCCTTTAGAAGCTGGATTTTAAATTAATTTGTGATTAGCTTTCAGAAGATAGTCATTGTGAAAAGTAATATAACCCTGTTCTTGCATTACAAACGCAATAATCCAGGATCGTTTGAAACTTCATGTTCGAGCTGACGGGTGTCAGAATCCAACATCCCTGCCCTAAATCTGATTTGATTTTTTGAAAAGGCCGCATCATCAGATCATCATTTTCTTAAAGCAAGGACTTGATGATCGGATGCCTCCAGATGCAACTGTCACCACCTCTAACCACTGTTGGTTTGGCTTAGTGTCCTGAGACAATTCAGACACCGGTTTGTGAGAAAAAATGAATGGGCTAGTGCTTACTGAACTCATTCAATTGTGACTTATTCAACAAATCATGACCTAGCTGTGTGTGAAGTAGGGCAACGTATCCTTTCCTTGTTCATCCAGTTATGCTGGCTGAATAATATGCCATATGAATGTAAAATGCTCAAGCACAATATGTTTGAAATGCAGCCATAAAAATAATTTTAAAAAAGCATTGACTATGGGAAGCCTGATTGGGGGGGGGTTATCCAACACAATTATATTGTATTGCCCATCTTGGCTTTAAGTGAATATTGCATCAAGAAAAAAAAAACACCCTTGACTACATTGGGTACATCACGGAAAATTCCAAGCTATTCAGCCATCTCTGAATTTGAACTCCAACTCTCTCCTTACATACTGATCTTACCCTTAATGTAACATTACATGGCAAGTGATGCTCATTACAAATCCAGTGATGTTCATTATAAAAAATATAAATTAAAAATACACGGAAGAGTGCTTCAAGAGGGGAGTTTACTCAAATATTATTACATTTTCAGAGTTCTTTCTCAGTTTGGAAGGAGCCAGATGTATCACAGAACCAATGACAGCACACCAAATATGCAGGAAGTCCTCGACTTACAACAGTTCATTTAGTGACAACAGCACTGAAAAAAAGTGACTTATGACCAGTTTCCACACTTATGACCATTGCAGCATCCCCATGTTCATGTGATCAAAATTCAAATGCTTGGTATATCCATATTTATGATGGTTGCAATGTTCCGGGGTCAAGTGATCCGCTTTTGCGACCTTCTGATAAGCAAAATCAATGGGGAATCCAGATTCACTTAACGACAATGTTACTAACTTAACAAATGCAATGATTCACATAACAACGGTGGCAAGAAAAGTTGTAAAAATGGGGCAAAACTCACTTGACAAATATTTCACTTAGCAACATAAATGCAGGGCTCAACTGTGGGCGTAACTTGAGGATTACCTGTACTGCCCACATAGAGAAACGATATTATAATGCCCTTGAGTTATAAGAGGGGATAAAAGTTCCCTCATGAAACGGAAGCCACATGAGATTGCGATGCTGCCAGTAATGTGGTAAACCCCGTGGCCTGTCTGGCTGATTCCAAACACATACCTTTTGAACTGTGGTCTTTCACCAACATGCTACTAAGGGATAAGTGACAAATCCCCTTCTTTATCACAAGCATTGTTCCTCTTAGCACAGTTACGTGAATGAGCCCTAAAACAATTGGTTTATGAGCCATCATCCTGCTAATTTTGTTCTGGAAGTTGCATCATAAGCCAGCAAAAGAGCAAAAAAAAAAAAGCAAGCCTCCTTCTAGTTAACACACGCCTATGCCTCTAATCACTAGATCTAAAGGATTACCCAAAAAAAATCTGCCTTCAATGTAAGAAAAGCCAAAGGGATTTTTCTCCTTTTATTTACAATAACGGCAGCATATAGGCTGTTGGGTAGGTTTTCTCTACTACTACAGACTGCTCATGAAAGTTACTGAGCAGTCATGAACCTTGGTGCAAAGGGGAAACCAACTTCATGCTTTTGTGAGGCTTTCCTCAATGGCTAATCACCATCCTGTTAAAAATAGCACCTTTAAAAACAGCAGACTTGATCAGCTTAATTTCCCAGGTGTTCCGTTTGGCCTTTATCTTTTGCATAAACTACACAGTTTGAAGAGGTGCCGTCTGTCTCGCACATCAAGAGCCTTTTCAGGCTCCAACCGTTACACCATCTTTCCTTGACCAAGGGGAGTGCCAGACTTACACTGCTAACCGATCCCATAATACCTGGGGGGGCGGGGGAGGGAAACACATAAGCATCTTCCAATGTGATAGCTCCAGCTAAATCCGCTGAGAAGATGCTTTAATGAACTCAGCAAGAGTTTATTCAATAAATCATGGCTAAACAAAGTATGGATTAGTGCAAAGTGAGAGCCAACTATATTGTACATTAAGATAAATCAGGCAAGCTGTAATTTGATTTGCTCCCATCCTGCCACTCGCATCCCAGAAAGGACAATTGCTAAGCATTCAACTAAGAATCTTGACTATACAAGCTACACTGTACAGTGCATACTATTCTTCAGTGGTGGTCTCTCCCCACTTTCAGCTCAGTAGAACTGTTGCAGGATAAATCACGATTTCAAGTATCTTGACCCAGTATCAATTATTGGTATGCCACACCATGCCGGCTAAACTAGATATGACAGAAGTAGATCTTTGTATTTAAATATAGACTGTAGATAAAGACATGGGGTGGAGATTTAAGTTACGACAATGAAAGGCATTTTAAATCTGGAATATAGAACTTTCCCAAAGTCACCGTCTTCCTCCCTTCTCATGTTGCTTACCCAATTCAGCCTTTCCCAGTCTTTGTTGTTCGAACTTGGCATGTTTAAGATATGTGGACTTCAACTCCCAGAATTCTGGAAGCGGACATCCACACAACTTAAAAAGTTGCCAAGTTTGAAAAACACACTGGTCTATGCGATTGTGAAAGAGCCATGTTTTCAACATCAGACCATGTTCCCTCCATTATGTATAGTTTGGCCCTTGAGGCAAAAGCCTTTTCCAGGGTCTGCTTTATGTAATAAATTGGACATCTGCGGGATTCTTTCCGGTCAGAACTGAAGAGGTAAATCTCTCCCCCCTCCCAAAACTCTTCAGGCATTATGTCAGTATTTGTGCCATCAGTTCAATACGATTTTCAATAAGAAAGTAATTAATGGCAAATAAGGTCCTGTGCTAGGATCCGGTATTAAAAGTGAAATGGAAGGGGAGGAGGATTCATAACGAGGGTCCTTGAAGACTGACATCTATGGCCAGCATTGAACAGAAGGCTTTCTGTTCATTTAGCAGTAGACAGTAGTTCACTGCAAGCTAAGAAAGCGAGTGCAATTTCAAGACTCTCCAACAATCTTGAATACTCTGTTGATAACTTTTTAAGATGATGCAAAAGCTTCTGCGAAGAACAAAATCGAGATCTATGCTTAAATTTGCCACATCAATGAACCACTGGTCTGCATCCTGAAAGCTGACTCACTTTTGCCACTCCTGAGCAGCTACAACTAGATGTTGGGTAGCATTATCTGCCATATAGCATTTACACATAGCCAATACAATATATATTTTGATAAATATGCAAAAATATAAGTCCAAAACACAGTAGGCTGAGTAGTGAGGCTTTAAAGGAACATAAAATTCAGCATGGACACTTCTATAGCAGTTACTCAAATACCATGACTAGGAGAACTGAAGTGCTTTAATGCCTTTCACGGAATAAAGGTGAGAGAGAAAAGGGAAACAAGCTTATGTGGTATTTGAAATAGCATCTTGGACAGCTTGAAACCATTTGCATCAAAGATGAACAATTTGATAGCCCTGGGTCTCTTGCGGTTCCTTAACACTTTGTGTGTGGCTCCCAGAGATAACCAACAGCTGTTTCTAAAATGATAATTGTTACTACACCAGGAGGATAATGCGTCTAATAGATGGCTAACTGTATTTCATTTCAGTTAGTAGGAAATTAAATGAAATGTGGTTTTTGTTCTGGTCTTACCTACTACTTTCTGGCAAAATGTCTGGCATGCTATTTAAATCCTACTCAGCCAAATTGTATATCCTTGATCTTTTCCTCAAAAGTTTTGTTTAAAAAAAAAAAGCAGCAGCATAGCAGTTCTGATAAATCTGGTTTCAGGGCAGCTGCAATGCTACTGGGGGTTTGGTGCATGGTGTTATTCCTATCCAGGCAGGCAAGAGAATGTTTCATGGGATAGAAAGTAAATTGATTCACAAGAGAAATCACTGGGGAAGATTTTAAATGGTGAATTACATTGCCGAGTCTGAAGACTTCTACTCTTCAGCTACACTGGCTTTCATAACTCCTGGATAGCACAGCCATACTTGTTAGGAAAATATGGGAGTTGCAGTAAAATACATTCAGTATTCTTGACTTGGTTTATCTACTTCACTTTCTGGGTTCACATGATACAGGGAGTCTTAAACTAGCCAGGAGTTTAAGGAGGTTTACAAAAAAAAAACCCTAACACTTGGTGTAAATAAAGCAGCAAAACAAACAAGGTTAAAACTAACCAATAAAGACAATACAGGTAGTCCTCGACTTAACAACAGTTCATTTAGTGACTGTTCAAAGTTACAAAAACTGACCTATGACCATTTTTTTACTCTTATGACTGCTGCAGCATCCCCACAGTAATGTGATCAAAATTCAGCCACTTGGGAACTGACTCATATTTATGACAGTTGCAGTGACCTAACTACTAACTTAACAACTGTAGTGATTCACTTAACAACCGTGGCAAGAAAAGTCGTAAAATGGGGCAAAATTCAAGTGTTTAATAACTGTGCCACTTAGCAACAGAAATTTTGGGCTCAATAAGTCAAGGAATCGCTGTACTTACAAGTTTTCCAGTTACAAACTTCGATACAAACCAACCTATTCTCAACTCCAATTAGAAGATCCCAGGTGAGAGAAGGCAGAAAAGGTTTGTTTACAGGATGTCACATATGTATGCTTCACAGCACTGTCGCACATAGGGAGGCTGAGGTACACCATTTTGGATGCTATCCCATCCTGTTTGTTTGCTGATCTTGTGGTGTTTATTTTTGTTTAGTTTCATTTTCTGTAGTAACTATGAATTACAATGTCTGGAATTAAGTGAAAGTGCCACTTATACATGGTAGAAAATGTACTGTGCACAGTTGTTGTTTTTTAATATCTGGGTGAATTTACAAACAAAATGGATTTACAAACAGCATCTTGAAATGTAACCTGTTTGTAATTAGAAAACTGTATTAGCACGTTGTGTGAATGCATCCACAATCTTCAATCCTGTGAATATAATGAAACTGGCTTAGTCAGTGTGAAAGGAACAGGAAAAAAGGCTGGAAGAGCAGAGGAATTCTCTGCCCAGCCTGGGATTCAAAGGCAGTTTTATTCAGAGCAAGGCTTTTGCGGAAACGAACGAGGCATAATTTCATAATCAACTCTGTCTCATTACTTTAATGTGTTGCTAGCAGTTTACTGTAAACAGAATATACAAGTTGTCACAGGGCAATTTGCCATAAAGTGCAAAATGAACCTAATCTAAAGTATTTGATTTAAATTAGAAGTGAAGAAAGGAAAGCCACTCAGTTATCTTCATCAGTTGTTATTACTAGTGTTGCTTGAGAAGTTTCACAGGAGTGAAGTTCTCACACTCTCTCTTAAAAATCAAACCACAAATACGGAATTGTCAGCCAAGTTCTTAACGATTTGTAACATTATAGGTACACTCTTATCTTTCTTATCAGAAGGGAAATCAAATGTTGTGAGAAATCAAGTTCAAAGAGCTGGATGTTTCAGTAGCTGGGGCAAAAGAAGATGATAGAATTTACAAGGTAGCAGTTTACAAATAAGCTAGTTCTCCACTTATGACTGCTCACTTAGTGACCATTCAACATTACAAGACTCCCCTAAAAGGTACTTGCAACTCGGTTCCAAACTTATGACAGCTGCCCCCTCCCATAGTCATGTGACTGAATTTTGAGACCTCAGCAACTGGCCTGCATTTATGACCATTTGCAGCATCCTGCAGTCATGTGACCACAATTTACATTTTTGCTGAAAATCAATGTTTACTTCTGGTTTTTGGCAAAAACACCCCATAATGAATAATGTCTGCACCTAACCGCTGCAAAATATAACTTGTATAATCAGATTGGTCACATGATAACCTGCTTTACGGCCATCATGACTTATTTATTATTTATTTATTACATTTGACTATAATGGGAAGACTCCATTACAGTCGTAAGTCGAGGACTACCGGTATCTAGTTGTCACAACAATGGTGGATCTGAGTGGACAGAACAACTAAAACTAATAGGTGGACAATATGGCAAAGCAATTTGCTTACAAATACGTAAGTTTCTTCTGGATCTATCTACAATAGTGGGAGCATAGAGCTCTCCTTCATGAAGTCTGGGTGGCAAACAATCAGGGAGGCTGTGGTTTATCCTGAAGAGCCACGGGCACTATCAATTCTATTGGTAACGATGTGTAACAAGGAGCAGGCTACATTGGGAGAGCACATGTTTTAAATGCAAGGTGCCCATTCAGTCCTTGGTATTTGCACGTAGGACTTGAAAGAACTCCATCCATAATTGTTAAGTATGGAGACGATAGTAAGGTAGATGAAGCCCTTGTATAAGGCAGCTTCTGATCTTCCTTTCGGCATGCATAATGAATGTTTTACAAACTCTCATTCATCCCCATGATAATCCCATCTTACTGTAAAGAAAAAGATAATGGTTTGCGCCATGCTGCCCAATCAACAATCAAGGCATTTAAACTCAGATTTTGCCCTCAACTACAGCACAACTTAGTGCCTCTCAAATATCTCACAGTACTCCAACGTCTCTTTCCATTGCACTTATTCAAAACACAGGGACAGCTGAAAGCTTGAAGGTACTCTGGTTGATTATTGCTACATCTAGCCCAACGCTGTCTGCTCTAATTGCGACTTGCAACTGGCTTTCCAAAACCTCTCCTAGTGTGTCCCTCAAGCTGTCTCATCTAATTGGAGATACTAGTTGAACATTGAAGATTAGGTCTTTTGGTGCTGAGATAATGAAAATATCCCATCCTTTAAGGCAGTAGCCTGGGGCCTTCCAGCTGTGTTGGACTACAATAAGCCTAATCCCCACCCACATTTGCAGTGTGTCTACAAATCACAGACCAATACTCAAGGAGCAGTGGTGGGTTTCAAAAATTTTTACTACCGGTTCTGTGGGTGTGGCTTGGTGGGCATGGCATGGCATAGCGGGTGTGGCAGGGGAAAGGATACTGTAAAATCTCCATTCCCAACCCACTCGGGGAAGGTTACTGCAAAATCCCCATTTCCACCCGATCAGCTGGGACTTGAGAGGCAGAGAATAGATGGGGGCGGGGCCAGTCAGAATTTTTACTACCGGTTCTCTGAACTATTCAAAATTTCCGCTACCGGTTCTCCAGAACTGGTCAGAACCTGCTGAAACCCACCTCTGCTGTGCATGCGCACCAAACGCATGCTGTCTGCGCATGCGCAGTGCGCACCAAATGCACACTCTGCGAGTGCGCACACATGCTCAGTACACACCAAAAGGAGGTTTGGGAAGGTAAGTAGAATAGCGATGGGGGGATCAGCTATGGTGCGCAATTTAGCTTTGCTAGAAAGCAGGATTGCCTGCTTTCTAGCATAGCTAAACCCCGCAGCACAGCTGATCGTCGGAAATATTGGTTCGGAGGAACCAATTGCTTTTTTTTACTACCGCTCCACCCGAAACGGTAGTTTTATAAAATGCTGGTTCAACCAAACGGGGAGCTACCTATGGGTTCACTCGAACCCATAGTTTTTATCACTACCGGTTTACCCAAACCTAAGTGAACCGGTAGCATTTCACCCCTGCCACACACCCAACTGATGTGATATAGGAACATAATGAGAGGTGAGATTCAGGGTACGACAAAAGAAGTTTTGTAGATTGCACTTCATATTCATTTCCAACAAATTATCTGTTCATGGTCCTCAGGGGTAGGATAACCCCTGCAGGCATTTTTAAGCTGATGCACTGGAGAGGACACATCGCCGTCATCCCTTCACCAAAGCACATTCTTGCATTAATTTGTGTTTAGAGCAGTCACTTTCAGTACTTCTGTCTGATTTAACGAGATTGCTTCCTTTCTGATCCATTGCACAAGTAATTTATTTTTGACTACTGGTTTGTTAAAACTTGATATAAACAGGTGGTAAATCATCATCGAGTTCTTCATTTTCACAGACCATTGACAATTCCAAGAGACGGCACTCCTTGGGGACTGGCTTCCCAGTGACTTTACGAATCGATTCTGTCAGGCTGCGAAAGTAAAAAACAAAAAGTGAATATGGTGCCAGGGGAAGGACTGAGCAGTCAACAAGCATGGATGGTCTTTGTCACTTGATGTAGTGAAAGTATAACGCGTGTGTTTGTAATAATTGCATGGTGGAATCAGTATCGGAAGTGTGGTCAGAACTGTGGTGGGAAATACCTGACACTACATAGGGATTTGATTTCATTGCTTGCTTTTGACATAAGCCTAGAATGCATCAAAGCTTCTTAATTAATCATACCTCCGTTGAGAAACCCTCAAGCAGGAAATAAAGGCAGCTTCTCTCTCTATTTTTACTTAGCAAGTGATTGTCGGAGTACGTGATGCATCCAATTAGCCAGATGTGGAGCGTGCTTCCTTTTCCTGGTTGCATTTGTTCCCAAAGCACGGCCTGAATGGTGCTCCAGAATTAGGGATTAAAATTATGTTAGCCTCCATCAGGAGAGGTATGGGAACACCATGCCCTCTCTCCCCAAGCTTTTATACTGGAGCATGGATGGGGAATATTTTTGAACAACAGGATCTCCAACTTTGACCAGGCCAGCTGAGGTTCTCAAAGCAGACACAGGCTCTCCACCTGGTAACCTCAGCCCTCTGGAGCAGAAAGCAAGGCAGGCGTTTTGCTCTCTCCTTGGGAAGCTGAGTGAGAGTGGAGCTTCTGCCTGGGAGAATCTACAGACTGGTTTTGCAAAGGGGGTGTGGACAGAAGGAGAGTGAGTGTGCTGAAAGCAGGAGAGCTGCCAGGGAGTCTGGAAAGATTATAGAGCAAGGGACTACAGTTGCCTCTGCTTGGCAGAAGCCCAGAAGGGCCTGCTTGAGGCTGGGATGAGCTTTGTCTACCCCAGGAAGTTGAGGAGGAGGTGCTGACAGCAGGATGTTTACCCGGCATGGAAGGGACGGGACATTAGAGGCTTTGCAGCTGCTGCAGATACAGGACCTAGGCTGTACTTGTAGGGGCCCTGCAACGGGGTAGCCACGGCCTCCCTATCCTTCACTCCTGAGGATCCCTCTGCCGACCGGCTTCCTAAGCACAGCTGGACAGTGGGCTGTTCTCCAGCCAACAAAACCGGGCAAGCAGAGGCCCAGACAGAGCAAATATTCAACCTCAGCAATCACAGAAGGAAGAAAGATGGAAGGATTCCTAGAGATTGTCTAACCAGGCCTTCCTTTTACTGGGGCATCAACAGCCACCCTTTGTGTAGGATTAATGGAAAGAGAAACTGATAGCCTGGGAACCTTGTCATAGTTTGATATTAAACTGAGATTGAACTTGTTTCATTTGGTCTGTTTTTATATTCTCCTGCTTTTAAAAATAGCATTTTTAATAACTGTAAACTGGCATAGAAGCCTTTTTAGGGCTGAAAAGCAGGATCACAAGTGTGTACACACACACACACACACACAGAGAGAGAGGGGGGGGGAAGACAGGGAATGGAATCTAGAATTTAAAGGTGGGTATAGCTTTTACAGATGGGCCTCCAAATTAGAAGTCTTTTCCGTCAGTTCAATTCATAAGAGCTTTCCCTGCCTTGGTTAGATAGAGCCTCACCAATGGCTCTGCTCTAGGGACCAGAGACAGAAGCTATGAAGATTAGGGTTCTATAATATCTCTCTATGGATCACAGGATGCCTTCGGAAATGTTGTTCATATAGGGAGACAATCTCAAGACTCTCATCTTTGATTATGATCTTTTAAAAATAAATAAATAAAGCCAGAGAGCCCACATAACAGGTTTTTAAGGGCCAAAATCTCCAGTGGATTGGTTGATGATATATAGCGAATAAGAGAAGTTTGAAGTCTGAGAAATGGCTTTAACTAATGATATTAAACCTATTACATTTCAACTAAGTTATTACTGAATGTGTTTGTTGGGTATCTAAAATTAGGCAGTATGGAGAATGGGAGGACCGGAGGCTACAAAAAAGGGGGTTGGACACAATGTGTAGCACTCAGACAGTAATAGTAACAGTAACAGAGTTGGAAGGGACCCTGGAGGTCATCTGGTCCAAGCCCCTGCTCACACAGACTGCAAGTTATTATTAAATTCTTAAGTATATATCTCTGTTAAATTCCTACCTGAAAGGAAGTTGTTGCTCTTTGATTTCATTTTCCTTATCATAGAGAGTGGCTGTCCCAAATAGCAACCTCTGAGGCACAAGGTCATAGTCCCTCTATAGAAAACAGTCAACACAGTCAATATCACATTAAAATCCTTTAACTGAAGACCACTAAGTCAAGATAAAGTTGGAATAGCTCAGAACAACACAGAAAAGATCTAGAATAGTCTTCCTTAAATGGCCTGCAAATGTCTTTGAAAACTTCATAATCTCCAACTCTTACCTAAGAGTGGACTAATGAGTACAATACTCTTCGAAATGCCACATGTTCTTGTACCTAGTACGTAATGAAAAACTAGCCTAGCTATCCCTTGGGGAATCACAAACATCTATCTGGAGGTAACCAAGTTTGAGAAGGCTGAGCTGGAAGAATACGAGGATGGGACAGTTGTGTTCAATACAGGACATCCAATTATGGGAATGAAAATGAAAAACAATGAAGAAGGATTAAATAAGCAATATGAATGAGTTGGGACAACCAGGCTGCAAGATATGAGTGTACTGGGAGCAGGAAGCATATTGAACACAATATTGGCTAATCAAGAAAATGGCACTGGGATAGAATGGAGACATCCCATAAGGTCTCTGTATGTGAAATACTGGATGAAAATCATCTTTATTTTTGTTCACAAATGACGTTCGATGTAACACTCTCTACATGGGGCTCCCCGTGAGGAGCACCCGGAGGCTCCAACTGGTTCAGAATGCGGCCGCGTGGGTGGTTATGGGAGCGACGTGGCGTTCCCATGTAACACCTCTCCTGTGCGAGCTGCACTGGCCCCCGGTGGTCTTCCGGGTGCGCTTCAAGGTTTTGGTTACCACCTTTAGAGCGCTCCATGGCTTAGGACCTGGGTACTTACGGGACCGCCTTCTGCCATCAGTAGCCTCTCACCGGCCAGTACGCTCACACAGAGAGGGGCTCCTCAGGGTGCCATCAGCCAAACAGTGTTGACTGGCGGCCCCCAGGGGGAGAGCCTTCTCTTGGGGGCACCTGCCATCTGGAATGTGCTCCCCCTGGTGATATGGAGGATCCCGGATTTACGCACCTTCCGCCGTGCCCTCACGACCTTTTTATTTCAGCAGGCTGGCCTGGCCTAACTTCCCTTTTAAATTGTAAATTTTAATTTTGTTTTAAACCATTAGAGGTGTTTTAATTTGCTTTGGGCCAAACTATTTAATGGGTTTTTATATTGTCTTTTAAATTTTGTAATTTGTGTGTTTTATTTTTGGCTGTTCACCGCCCTGAGTCCTTCGGGAGTAGGGCAGTATATAAATCTAAAAAAAAAAAAACACTGGAAAGCCAAATATACACATTTAGGGAGCTACATCCAGACATCTCTTCCTCTGCACAGAAAAGGCAACTCTGCCTGCTAAGGAAGGAAAAGGAGAACACTCTTACTAGAGGTAGGACTGAACATCCCAAGATATGCCCCTGGGCACTTGTCAGAATTTGTTTCTGAAATTGGAACAATTGCCTTTACCTGGATATGATCACATATATCTCTCAAGGTAACAACTTCTCTTTTGGAATTACAACCAGACACAGTAATTCTGTCCCAGCAGCTCCATGTCTTCTGCCGACACTGGGAAGAAAGAAATTTCCAGAGAAATAGCAAGTTAAGCCTTTTTGCAACGTACCACAACAAAGAGTCTCGGGGCACTTTAAAGCTAGACATTTATTATAGTATAAGCGCTTGTGAAGTCTACTTTATCAGTACCATGGAGATCAATTTTTTTTAAAAGGTCTGTGTGAACAATTCTACCCCAGCTGGTACACTTCAAGAAAATTGCAACAGGCAGTTTTCAGAAAAACCATTTCTTAAAGAACAGAATGGGTCAAGTCTTAGATTCATTTGGAAGTATATCCCTGTGGATATACTTATAACCAAAGCAGTGATGAAATCCAATTTTTTTTTACTACCAATTCTGTGAGTGTGGCTTGGTGGGTGTAGCAGAGGAAAGATATTGCAAAATCTCCATTCCCACTCCACTCCAGGGGAAGGATACTGCAAAACCTCCATTCCCAACCCACTCCTGGGGAAAGGTATTGCAAAATCTCCATTCCCACCCCACTCTGGGGCCAACCAGAGATGGTATTTGCCGGTTCTCCAAACTGCTCAAAATTTCCTCTACCGGTTCTCCAGAACCTGTCAGAACCTGCTGGATTTCACCCCTGAACCAAAGTTTATAAGCTCAACTATATTTTCTAGGGTATAAGATCCATTGAAATGGGGGAACGTAGTGCTAAGTAAAGGTATTTCACATTGCAGCTTGAAGGAACCTTACTGGCGGATTGATAAATTCAGCGACCCCAAATATTAGCCCCAAGTAATCTGTATCGCTAGACCAGTTGGATCATTTTAGTAAAACAAGAGGATACAGAGGAGGTTTTTTTTCCTAAATTACGAACATTATGCCTAGTTCAAGATCTACTGCTCATTTTCTAGTGAGATGTTAATAACAAAAATAGCTGTTGGGAAAGAATCTTATAGCCAAGGACCTTAGAAATTCAGACTGTTCATCTTATCAAAAACAAGGTTAAGAGGTGAACGGATTGTAATATACCTTCACAGAAGAGGTTTTAGGTATCAAACAGCGGCTCTTTAATCTAACCGAGGGGAACATAAGAAAAACCAATACAAAGAAAAGATAATAACTTGACTAACTCTAATCAGACCCAGCATTTCAAACCGCAAGGAAAATTAATCATTGCCACCCCAAAAGCCACTGTGATGCTGTAGTTGAGAGCATTTGATTAGGATAAGGAAAGCCAGAATTAGAGCGGCCAAGAAGGTCATTTTCCTTTCAACTCCCTCAGTTACCTCGCAAGGTTATCATAAGACTAAAACACACAGATCTGAGAGTCTTCGAGGAAAGGCAGAACAGAATTCTGATAAACAAAAATGGCAGGCTTCCAATGAAAACCAGTCCTCCTCCTGAAAAGACAGTTTAATGCATTCAAAACCGAGGGGGGGGGAGAGATGCCATAATGTAGAGCAGAGGAAGTCATTCCTCTTGCATTTCCCATGGGAAGCCAACGCTGGATAATCTGGTTCATTCCAGTCTGTCTTCTCATCTCTGGATACACAAACTGGATGCAGAGCATAGAGAGGGGACCCTACAGAGTTCTCTTTTACTTGTTCATGTTCTCCAGCTTTCTATCACACAAAGACACATTGAATGGATGTCCTGACAACATACAATTATCCTTTTCTTCATAAAAGGCCCCAAAACTTGCCGACCCCTTTGCTCTTTGCATTGTTGGCCCTAGGCAAAAGAGGCAAGAAACATCACATCCAGTAACAAGGGAGCCATTGGAGCTGATTATTAGTTCATAGTAGGAAGTGGCCTGACTGGAGGGACATTTGGGGGGTCAGGCGGCACAAAGGGATACTGTCCTGGGCAAGCTGACTGGTCAGTTAGGGAGAAGCTGGCTTGGACTGCATCATTTCTCTAAGCCTCCTAAGGAAATCCTCTCTGTTTTTAGAAATGGCAGATATGGACAATTTCGCCTCCATCTAAATCCAGGAGTGCAGATAGTCCTCAACTTATAACAGTTCATTTAGTGACCTTTCAAAGTTACAACGGCACTGAAAAAAGTGATTTATGACCATTTTCCACACTTTGTCGCATCCCCTGACCATGTGACGAACATTCAGATGCTTGGCAAGTGACTCGTGACCGTTGCTCTATCCCGAGGTCATGTAATCACTTTTTGCAACCTTCTGACAAGCAAAATCAATGGGCAAGCCAGACTCACTTAACAATCATGTTCTTAATTTATCAACTGCGGGGATTCAATTAACAACTCTGGCAAGAAAGGTTGTAAAATGGGGCCAAATTCACTTAAACGTCTCACTTAACAATAAAAAAATGGGCTCAATTATGATCGTAAGTCAAGGACTTATTGGCATCTACCGAAGCCCTATAGATGTCCCACTAGATTCCTGCATAGAGCTCTGCATAGAGAAAGAGGTCACGTCTTCATTGTGGCTACCTAAAAATCTATATCCCATCCCTCAGTTCAATCAACTTTTTTTCAGTAGGGCAGGGGTAATGTAGTCAGTGTTGTTTTTTAATAAAAGAGTGTTCTTATTTATTATCTCTTTAACTTAGATTTCTAAACATTTATGCATGATTCAATGGAAATATGCATAGTTTGTAATCGCTTGACATTTTTTCTCTTTTTTGTGCATTTAATTTATTGTTTTCTTAGGTTCATTTCTTCTTTGTGTGGGTATGAAGGCTTTTTTTTAATGTATGAAAGTTGCTAAAATGTTTTTTTTGAAGATGGAGCTGTACCCATTTCTCTTCCTCCCTCCATGAAAAAAGGCATGTCAGGATCACTGTTCTTTAAACACTAGCACAATTTAAGGTCACCAATCTTTTTAATTTTAATCGTAAAAGAAAATCACAGCACAAACCAAAACATTATTGTTCAGAACTTTTCTTAGCAATGCTCAGACAAAGGGTCTGAGAAGGCTTTTAAAAATTTCCTGTACCAGGTGCTATGACTTCCAGATGATTTTGGATTATAATATCCAGGTTTAAAAAAGCAGGTTTAGATGGTATTGAATATAATGTCACAAAGTAATGGGTAAGAATGAGGATTGCTTCCAAAAACTGGGTCTTACTGTAGTCTTCTTTTTCAAGCTCAGTTGGAGCAGGACTAAAATCCAAGACTCATCCTGCAATGTTTGTAAAACTACCTAAAACACTTTGAAGTAGTTTCCCCTACTCTTATATACAAGGAGGGAAGCCGAGAACCATTTTTACATGTCCCAATGGATCACCCATATAGTATGGATGGCTGAAGCCATTCTCAGTTATCCTGCATCTTCCCACTAAAAAGCACACAGCAGCCAAAGCAAGTCCATTTCTGTAAACATTAGAAACAGACCACTTTGGATAGTCCATTCCTACCCCCCAATACTATATTTCCATTTTGGAAGCACCGAAACGCTTCCATGGTGAAAGGATCAATCGGTGACATCACCGTTGCCCAGGGTTTGCTCAGTTGGGGGGCTCCTTTCATGTCTCTGTTCTTTTCCCCAATGGTGAAAGTACAAAATGGGGGAAACTGAACTGTCTCTACAAGCGATCCACTGGGCTGCTTGCAAAGGAGATTTGGTGTAGAAAGCAGTCGAAACAGAGCCAGCTTTGCAGGAACTTGAGATGGAATGCATATAGCTGGCCTTGTTGTGTATGTGAACTTGAGTTTTTTAAAAGTCCTGTCCAGTCGTGGCACCCACCTGTTTCCTCCATCCATAGATTCTTGACTAGTGTTGTGACCTAGGCCCAAGTAGTTATTACCAGACACAATCAGTCCTAAACAAACATATTTTATTAGAACAGCTGAGAATTACTTCATTCTCAGCTTGGTCCAAATTAATTCCATAACAAATTCTTCATAAACAGTCCTTTGGCCTTATCATAAACATTTGTCTTCTTTGGCACCCTGCCAAAGACTTTCCTTGGCAAAACCCCACAAAGTTCAGAAGCAAGAGACACCAACGTTGCTTTCCTACAAAGATCCCAAGAGCCATTGCTGCTCTTTTAAGCCTTCTGGGAGGGACCAATCATCTCCTGGCCTTACTCCCAAGTCGTCCCTTTTGCTTTAGCTGCTCTTGCCTTCTGGCAGCTCTTCGCATGCGTGCACTAGGAACAGGCTCCTCCTGTTCCTCTGCCTCTCTGCTATCCACCTCTGGAGGCTCCGGAGTCCGCGCATCATTCCTAGATGGCCCTGGCACCATCTCTGCCTCTGACGCAGAGCCCTCGTCCAGGCCTTCCCCTGATTCCAGGACTGGCCCATTGTCCTTCCCTGCCTCCTCACTGTCCAACTCTGCTGCCAGCTCCGCAGGCTGCTGGCAGACCACAACAACTAGATCAAGCACTGCCATACTTCCCATCTTCCATGAATCCATCGAATCTAAAACCGTTTTCTCTAGGCATATGCTTGAACACACACAAATTCTGAGACCAATTTGGACTGGTGGTTGGACCACTTCTGTCCACACAGAACAGGTATGGATATGGATATATAGTTTACAGACAGAAATTCCTTTCAGAAAAATCATCCCTCTTCCATCTACGTGTTTCACTAGTCACTGAACTATCTTAGCAACAGTACCTGAATTTACAGTTCGAATAGGTAAGAACACTTACCAATTTTATTTCAAACTCACGTAGAAGCAAAGAAAGAAAGGAATGGGTAGAAGGAAAGGGAACTCAAGATGCACAGCACCATCAAACAGGGAGTTGTAAATTCAAAAACCATCATGTAACTTAAAGATTAAATCACTCTACACAACAGAGTCCCTAAACTGTAGGAAATAATCCTTAAATGCATATGAGGCTAATGAAGCTTATCCTGACCATTTGGGACCATATGGCCTATTCCATTTGCTCCTTTACGTTGCTAGTAACAAGAACAGGTTCTCCTTTTTCCCAGGTGCCATATGGCCACTTGGCCTCTCACTCACACTTGCTGGGAAACCTTTGTACCTCCTGTTCATCTCTCCCTCTTCTCCTTTCTCTCCCTCTATATTTCTACAGCCAAGGGACTAACCACAGACAATAGGGACAGTGGAAACCAAACAGTCCTGTCTACAGTCAAGGAAGGACTTCGGAGGATTTTTTGTTCCTGTCAAAAGATTACTCTACAAAACCAAGGCTACAAGGAGATGGGAGTGTGAGTGGATCATGTGGGGATAGGAAGAGAGAATATTGAGGTTCCAAGCTAACCATTGCGCCCAAAACTCTTGATTCCCCCGCCACAGCATTGTTCTTTCTGATTTTCTCTACTCAAGTCAGTCCTGCTCAGTTCTCTGAAATGTTGTTTCCTAGCCCATCCCCATCCCCAAATCTGCTCTAGCATGAGAAACAAATTTCCAATGAATGGGGGGGGGGAAGAGAATCCTTTGGCGCCAGGATAAGAGCTGCCTTCCCCCAATCACCAGCCCTTGCTAACTAATGACTCCCATATGCGGCTTAATCAACTCCACAAGTTCTTGGATTCAGTACAGCTCTCCATTCCTTTTGCCAATCTATCCCCCTTCCAATCTCCTGATGCTGTTGCTCCTTTTCCTCTCCGAGCCCTCCTCTCCCCCATTTCCTCCCTTTCCACTCCAATTTCACATAGGCAATGTCAGGAATAAAATCAGGATTTAACGTCAGGAATAAAATCAGGATTTAACTCCAGGGGTTTATTCATGCCCGAAAAAGAAGCAAGATGGATGTTCCTAAATGGCCCTCTGGTGTAATGCAGACTTGCCACCCTGTCTTCTCTGTTGCTGTTCTCTAATACGTTGGCAGTGCCGAGAAAAGCGGTGGTAAGTTTTCAGGTCTGTAGGACCTACTTTGTTAACAGAGTTTTGAAATCCATCAACAGCTGTCAAGTGTATGGCTTGAGTGGGAGTGGTGGTAGTGAAAACGGTTAATGAGACCTCTGATCACAGACTCAACCTAATTACTTTGAGGGTAAACAGTTTAGTCAGGAACCTTTATGGCTTTACTGCAAATCATCTCATGGTAGTAGCATAGCTCAGTAAACCTTTCCACCATAGTGTCTTCCAGACATCTTTGACTATAACTTCCATGATTCTCTACCAGATCTTACGCTGACGAGAATCCCAGTTGAACGTAACTGAACAGTGTTTGGAGACAGTGCCTCAAAAGGGAACATTTTTCTGTGATTCAATGTCCATCTCTGCTAGATTTACAGAGAAAGATTCCACTCTCAAACCCAGGGGAAGAGCAGCCCATCCTTCCCAGCAATAAGGAGCCTGATGGAAAACAATGGTCTCGCTCAGTATAAGGTAGCTTCCTAAATTCCAAAGATCCAGAGGGGCATCTAGGGAGAAAGCTCCCAACTCTGGCAATCACAGAAGTTGCATCAAATCTGTTTTTGAGAAAGTGAAGAGGTGGCAATGGTAAAACCACTGACAATTAAAAAGGAAGGAAAACTTCACTGAATCCTACGTAAAATTAAGCAAAGGAGGCTTCAAAATTGCGCAGTTAAAAGCATCACCTCCACATCTGCCTTCTGAGCACCACAGCCTCTAAGCACCTCGAGGTATCCTGCTACCACTTGGTATAGGCACAATCCCTCCACAGCTGGATAAACTGTGGCTGCAGAGAAGATTTTTCAAATTCAAAATGTCACAAACTTTCATTACCAAGGCCACCCCCGCCCCCTTTCACCACAGAAGTATTGAATCTCTGGTCACTGTATGGGCCATTTGCAGAGCTGTGCTGTTTAGAAATCTGAGATACCCTTTAAAAATATACAACATTTGGCAATGCTAGATGGCGGGGGTGTAACCAAGCCCTGGGGCCATGCAGCATGATCTGAACCAGGAGGGAAGGAACAGAGGCCTGACAGCCCAAGCCCTGAAAAGCTGACGCCCCCCCTCCCTTCCTGCTGGCCCTCCCTTCTCCTACCAATCTGGTTCCAATCTCTGCTTCCTGTGTAGCAGGAAGCCCCAGCCTCTCACTCCATAAACTCAAGACAAAAAGGCCTCTATTCAAACAGACGCTCTTAATTTAGCTTCTTGCTCTTTCCACTCTCCCCCACCCTATTCTGGCTCTGGTTTCTTTCTCCAGAAAAGGGAGCTATTGCAAAGAAGCCAAGAATAGTCGCAGCCCCAGCCATAGAGGGCCAAGGCAATTTCCTGGGGGTGACAACAGTAGAGGCAACCCCAAAGTCCCAGCATGTGTATGCTGGGTAAGCATAAATATACCTCCCCTGCATTCATGCTAGGAAAAAAGAGAAAAAGAATGGCAAAGTGCTTTAAAAAGTGTTGCCAGAAAGAAGCTATGCCATAGCATAATTGGCTGCTCAGAAAGAAGGAAGGAAGGAAGGAGGGAGGGAGGGAGGGAGGGAGGGAAGGAGGAAGGAAGAAAGGGGGGAGGGAGGGGGGGAGGAGGGAGGGAGGGGGGGGGAAGGAAGGAAGGGAGGGGGAAGGAGGGAGGGAGGGGGAGGGAAGGAAGGAAGGAAGGGGGGAGGGAGGGGGAGGGAAGGAAGGAAGGAAGGGGTTTGAATGTGCAACTCCATCTTCAATCTAAGCTAGTCAGCATTTAGAAAAAAATCATCTAGAAATTCCAATAAATTCAGTTTAATAAGAAAATCAGAAACATATAATAAAAGAACACCATCTAAAACTGTCTGGTGGTGGATCCTGTCCTAAAAGGATCCATCATTGACAGTGGTAGGATAGTGGCATACTTTCAATACATTACAGATAGTTTTGATGTAATGAAATAGTTCCCCACCACAGTTTATACCTTTGACCACTAGTTTTTCAGTGCAAGAAGATATTTTTTATAGCAATGTCATTTATTCTACTACTATTATCCACAAGAACCACTTCGATGGCAAGAGAGGATACATCTGAATTCTAAGGTTGTTCTCTGAAGAGGTCTGTGAGACTTCTGTGACTTCTCACAGTCACAGGACAAAGATTGGACAATGGTATAAGGATGGGATGTCTGGGATGGTATAAGGACTTCTGCCTTGGACAGGACATTGGACTAGAAGCCCGCCAAGGGGTCTTCCAGTTGTATGATTTTATGATTCATGTGCTTACTTTCAGTCACAGCACCATTTCAGCTTGACTTTGTTGAATCTTGCAATGAAAGCCCTTCATCATACCTGGAGAGAAAATGAATGTGTGTGGAGAGATTCAGGGCTGGCATCACTGGTTTCTGCTAAAAGAAAACACTGTGGCTGGAGCTCCGGCTTGGTGTGTAGCTTAGCACCAGCTGTGAATGTCAGCTGCAGGTTAAAGACCATTTCCTGTGTCTGACAGCTCTCAGGCACCTATCCATTCCTCTCCTTCTGCACTGCTGCTGGCTTGATACACACTCCAGGCATCAGCTTCTGAAACTAGATCTCCTTCACCGTCTGTCTGCCAGAAGGGGCTCAGGAAAGGCAGGGTCAGCAGCAGCTGAAATGAGCAGGGCTGAAACAGCTTCCCCTGCCCCCTCACGTCAGGGCTGGGCAAGCAACTCACTTCCGGTGCCCAGACAGGAGGGACAAGATGGCACTGTATGGAATGGGTTGGCAGCATCTGCAGCCTGGACATCATTCTCGCCCACATGCTAAACAGTCACCTTCGGCGGCTATATAAATTTCAGTAAAAGATACAAGGCAGCCATTCTACCTTGAATCTTGGCTGCCAGTAACCCCCACAGCAATGCACTATCTCTAATTAATGCTATAAACCCTACTTCCAGGAGGGAACTGTGGCTGAAAACTGTAGCCAAGAACAGGAACACATGCCAGAAGATCAAGGGCTTCATACTTCCAGTTTTCATTCTTCTGCTGCAATGTCTGGAAACAGGCTTGTGCCAGAAAAATCAGCAACTCTGTCATGATAGCCTTTAGTGTCTTCAAACATTCCAGCAAAAGTGCAGGAATAGAGGGTGTGTCACCCACATATCCAAGTGATCACAGATGCTTAATGCCAAAGCATGAAATAGGAGTGAACCATTGCTCTTCCTTCCCTCCTTCAATGTAGCGAGATTACTATAAACTAAGACGGCCACCAACATCCATGGCACTACAGAAATTATTTGTTTACTAGTGCAAAGAAACTTGATTTCTGTTCCGGAATGATTTGGCTCCTAGCGCTACAGCAAGCCCTTGCTCCAGTCTTTTAGACATCCAGGTATTCCAGCAGAACTCCTCTGGAGTTCTCTCTTGCTTGTTCTCATCTTTGACTTGCACACAAAAAGAGACCCATCTAATCTCCTCCCATTTTCAAACCATGAAGAATTCAGAGCCCAAAACAGGGTCATCACAGAGCTCTCACCGTGTATGCTTGTGGAGATGGCAAAGGCTGGCAGCGATCAAGGAACGGGGCAGAGAGCTGGAGAGAGCCATAGCGATAGGAACTGAGATCCTTGTGCTGCCACACCAATTTGTAAAGCTCCAGGCAGGTCAGGCCAGCTACAGCAGCTGTTGTTGTGGCAATAGCAGGTACAATCCGGCCCACAATCTTCTTGGCCTATTGAAATTAAATTGGACAGACACCATGAAAATGATGGAAGAGAAAGCTGCTTCTTGCAGGAAGGTGTTCTGCAGGTGGCAAACACTGGGGAAGGATTTTCTCAAGAGCCTTGGCTAAGAAATTGGTAGCCTCCACCACCTCCATTCCCTTGATAGCCCCTCTCTCCCCAAGCTTCCAACTTTTTTCCCACCTGCTCTTTGAGTAGCCTTGTGAAGAATTAATGCAATTTTGCTGCATGGACTTCTTCTAAAACAGCCAGAACATGTTCCAATATCCCCATTCTCAGCTCCCCAATTTCTGTCTTTCATTTATTGGCAATAAGGGAGGGGGGAGGGAAGATACAAAGGCTTCCCACTGGCCTCACCTGGAACTTATCCACTGGAGAGATGCCATAGTTCTCAGCTCGCAAATTGGCTGCATGCGTGATGAAATCCAAATGGGAGTCCTTATCCTGAGGGCCCAACAAAGGCAAAATCAGTCCTGACCAGGAAGTGGTGGAAGTAACAGAAAAGGATCTCAATGGGAAGGAGACAAAAGTGATTGTAAGCCTTACAAAAATCAGGAAAAACAAAGAACTGTTGGGATTGGATAGACTGTAAAGAAAAGGCATAAAAATGTGGTAATGGGGGTAAATATGATGTTTGGAGGGTTTATTTTTAGTAAAGGAAAACAAAGCCAATGACTGCAAAAACAGCGTGCGTTCAACGCATTGTGCAATCTTGGAAAACAGTGTGTAGCTAAATAAGTTTCCACAGCCCCGAGCAGCTGTAATACAAAGGTTGCCCTTGACTTGTTTAAGGAATTGTGCCCTCCAGTCTTTTCCCCCTTCCTCCTTATCCTCTTTCTTCCCACATGACAAACTTATTTTCACAATTTTTTAAATACGGCTGCTCCTTTTGTCTATCCAACCTATATTAACGTTACATTACAGGCACTTCAGACTGGATGTTTCTGGAATATTTTTGAATTGGGAGAACCAAGGCAGCTTCAAGTGGGAGATGGGAGAATGTGAAAAAGTGAAAACAGAAATTGTAAGCCATGAAACTGTGTAGAAAATACAATACAATACAATACAATACAATACAATACAACACTCGTATAAGTACTGAAAAAATAGGATGGTGGTCTGATTCATTAATAATCAATTGGTAAAAGTTATAAGGCCACCCATTTTATGAAACACAACTCTGGACAGCTTACAGTGATATTACAAACCAAAGAAACAGTAAAACCAAAAGCCTAGTTCCTTAACCAACAATATCCAATCTGTCGGACAATGTGATCACCAAGCTCTGATGCCTGAGGGAAAAGCCCAGCTCTTTGCAGCTTTCTGGAAGGCTAAAAGTTGGATCCCAGGAGGGACACTCCACTGAGCAGGGGCTGCTATGGAAAAGACCCTATTAGATGGCAACATCTAGGGGAAGGGAATGTGCCCTCCCAATTTGATCTAGTAAAGAGGGCAGATACCCTTGGGGAGAGGCAGTTCTACAAATAACCTGGTTTTGTGCCATGCAGAGTTTGAAAGATAACCAGCAGCCAGAATTGCACTCCGAAAGAAAATGAGAGCCAGTGCAACTATGAGCAAATCAAAGTATACCATTGCATTCTGGACTAGTTGTAACTTCTGCATGGTCTTCAAGGGTAGCTCCATGGAGAGCACATTGCAATAGTCCAATCAGGAAGTGTGAATAGTCCTAGTATGCAGTGTTGCTCTGTCAAGCAGGTAACTAGGTGTGATCATGTATGCAGCAACAGAAGAAGAGTTATCAGAAAAATAATGAGAAACAGGTATCATCAAAAGCTCATTCCCAACATCCTGGCACTTCCAAAGTCTGGATACAGTCAAGGTGTGAACTTACAACAATGCCCATGACCCTGTTTTTTGGAACTGCACATCTGTCTTTGAATGGAAGTCCTTCTTAATCTGGGCCCAAGTTTCCTCACTAACACAGGGATACAATAACGTTTTTTTACAGGTTTATGAAGAACGATTTCATAAACAGCAGTAATAGACTGTAATGTGATCAAATAACTTGGGGCCCAAATGAGGAAAAAAAACCAAGAAATAGTGACTATAATCTACACAACATTGTACAAATTTAACCATATGTTTAAATCCTTTCTACTGAAACGAATGGTGGTTAGAGCCAAACTAGATTTAATGCCATTTACATAGTGAGCGAGCATGTGATTAAGATGCTGAGACAATCCTGGTCCCTGATTCCAGGGAGGAATATTGGGGGGGAACTTAAGTATTTGAAATCTCTTCAATCCTAACCCAATTGAGGAAATGACGGGGCTCAGTAGGGACAAAAATCTCAATCCCATATATTCTTGGGACCCAGAAACTCAGATCGAATCTTCTGCATCTTAATTTGGATCCTCATAACATGCTGTAGGTAAGGTTGCCTTTGGAGCAGTGGTGAAATCTAAAATTTGTTACTATCGGTTTTGTGGGCGTGGCTTGGTGGTGGTGGGGTAATGTGACTGGGTGGGCGTGGCCCTTTTTTTTTTTTTAACTTTTAAAACCATTTTTTCTACAACCTCTTCGGCGAAAAGGCTTTCAAAAGGCTCTGATGATCCCAGCTGAGTTGCCTGATCGGCAGAGGCTTTTTTTCTTTTAAATGCCTCTGATGATCCAAGCTGATCATCCGCGCAATCATCAGAGGCTTTTTTAAAAAACTTTTAAAAGCATTTTTTCGGCCGAAGAGGTTGTAGAAAAAATGCTTTTAAAAGTAAAAAAAAAAAAAAAAGCCTCTGATGATTGTGTGGCTCAGCTAGGCATGGGGGTGGGGCAGGGATTTTTGCTACCGGTTCTCCGAACCATCCACCTCCATCGCTACTGGATCGGGCGATCCGGTCTGAACCGGGAGGATTTCACCCCTGCTTTGGAGACAACTCTGAAGCTGGAATTGATGCAAAATGCAATTAGACTGCTGTGGCATAATTTCACTAGCACAGAGTAAACCCAATGCTAAAATTACTAATTGCCAATAGACTTCCAGACTTAATTCAGAATACCCACAATGATACTTTTGGTCAGTTGGTCTGAATGATATTTTTAAAAACTCTTTATGGTACAGCATCAAAATGTATCTGCTTTTCTAGAGCAATCAATGGCCACCCACATCCTTGCAAGAAATACATGGCTGTGAACCAGATTACAGGTAGCCCTCAATTTATGACTGCAATGGAGAGCAAAATTTCTGTTGCTAAGGACGGCAGTTGATAATCACACCCCATTTTATTATCTTTTTGCCACAGTCGTTAAGTGAATCATTGCAGTTGTTACATAAATCATGTGATTGTTAAATGAACTTGGCTTCCCCATTGATTTTGCTTGTCAGAAGTTCTCTAGGAAGGTTTGCAAATGACAGTCCCAGGACCCTGGGAATCTGCAACCATCATAAATATACACCGTGTCAGCATTCCAGGAAAACCCCAACTCCAAGTAAAGACGTGGAAGCAAGCATTTTCCAAAGTTCTCTTTACTAGAATAGGCAAACTGGCACATCTGGGAAATCCCGAATCTGAAAAGCCCGGGCTTTCCTTCAGTAAGTCAAGGCTCCCAAAACCATCCCCTTTTCCCCCCAGTCGATCACATGCTCCAATCAACATCCGCTCCCTCTCGATCCAGCCCCCTGACCACTCCTTCTCCAGATGCTGGATCGCCCTGACCTTGAACGACAGGAAGAATGCTATTATGTCTACTAACCCCCTCTCCTAAATCCCCCCTCCTACTTTCCCACACATGAGGAGGTAGCAGCATTGAAGCTTCCAGCCTAATATGGCTTCCAAAGCTGACACGCCGGTTGCCAAACAACTGAATTCTGATCATGTGACTGTGGGGATGCTGCAATGGTTAAAAGTGTGAGAACTGGTCATAAGTCACTTTTTTCAGGGTTCTTGTAACTTTGAAAGTCACTAAATGAATAGTTGTAAGTCAAGGACTATCTGGTGTGCATGCTTTCTTCATGGCACCCCTCGTTCTTTGGAACACCGTCTCTCAGTTCAGACCCTCTTATGTTAACACTCTGTAACAATTCAAATCTGTGCTATTCAACATGTCTTTGGCCCTAGTTGGTTTGAATGAGGGCATCCAAACTCTGGCTACAAAACATGTACTGTTACATTTTACATTTTCTTTTATGTTGTGATGCATCCAGAACCCTTCAGGATTGAGGTGGTTTTTAAATAATGTGAAATACATATCTACAATTTAAAACTATTTGTGTAATAGAATGAATGGCAAAATGTACCTTAGGCACTTAACCTGAATTACATGTCATTTTGTGTTTTTAAATAATGATATTTCTCTCTTCTAGAAACTTAAGAAACTTAAATCCTAAATGTCAACTCAATTATAACTCAAAACTCCAGAAACAGTAGCCTCCAAAACACGGAAAAGGTCAAAGCAACTAAACCTGACTGGTAAATGAGATTTCGATTAGGAGCATTTGACAGCAACTTTCAACTGAAATGGCAATATATGGAAAATATTCCACCTTAACTGAAATCTGGACCCCGATCCTGGCAACTGATGACATATTTGGATATAATCCCCACAAGATTCCTACATTACAACTGCATTTCTGCAGACAAATGCCCACTGTATGCAAAATGTTTGGCTCATAGCAGCTGTGGGCCTGTTCCAATACTGCTCTGCACACAAGGAATATCATTCAATCACAATGTTCTCCCCTACTAAATAAAACAGACTTCCTACTGCAAGATGTGAGCAAGCTGAGGAAGGCCATAACTCAATGCTGAAAGGTGTTCTTTGTACACAGAAAGTCAGCTCCACTTTCATTATCCAGCTTAATTTTCATTTTAAGAGTCTCTGATAGCAAGGGTGAGCAAAACCCTTGGCATGAACCCACCATTTTCCTTAAATGTTCCACATCCTTATCATTTCACATTCAAGCACCTCCCCATTCTCCAGTCATTTTCTCATTTGCCAGCCCCAGATAAGAATGAATTTAGACTAGCAATCCTTCTGACTTTATTTTGTCTCAATTTTACGCATGGCTCAGAATTAAGTCTGGGATCAAGAAAACTTAGTTTCCTTGATAGAGTGTAGCTCTATCAACTCAAAAGAGCAGTTTATCCAGATATGGTTTGGTTCTGATATAAAGACAATTGTTCTAAGTAGCATGCCTGAGTCTTGAGGTCACAAGTTCCCACCTTCCTCTTCTGTGGGATTCCACCACAAATTTAACATGTAACTTAGCTGCCAAAAGCCTGATTATTTCCTTTTTTCCTCTTGAGAATTTTCTTCTGGAAAGAAGGCCTTAATGTTTCCTCAGAGTCCATCTAAAACTTACCTATACATTTAATTTACAAATAAATTAAGGAAATCATTAGGTACACGGGAAGTTGTGCTGTCAAATTGACCTAAATTCAGCCTTATCTAGGTTTTACTTGGTTTCTGCCCATTTAACATGCCCTGGCCTCACCCACTTTTGGGAATAAGGGCTCCAGAACATCATTAAAGTCCAAATACTTCCTTCAGTTTAAAAGAAGTTGCTCAGCCCACTTCAAGCTATCCAATGAGTTCTCAGCAAAGGCGAGATTCAAAACCAGGAGCCATCTGATTTGTAGTTCAGACTTTGAGTCATAATCCTACATTTTGTGTACGTGATACAAAGGGAGTGTTTTTGGTAACTTGGCAATTGAGCTCTGAATATTTAAAAAACCATGTGGCTCTTGTTCATACTTGCCCTTTACAGACACTGGAACAATGGGAAAATCAGTTCATGAGTCATCTCATTAAAGTGTTCTAGCTCTAAACTGAAATTGCCTGGTCCAGGATGAAGAAGCATTGTCAGAACTGCTGGAGAGGGGGTCACAATTGGAATAGTAGAGTCACCTGGTTCACTCAAGATCTACCCAGAAAGAAATGCATAGCAAGATGCAATAAACAAGCATATCCATACCTTCTCAAAGTGAAGTGGCTCCATTTCTTTTTTAAGCTTCTCTCTTAGCTTTCCCAATTCTTGTTTCAGTTCTACCAACGTCGTCTGATCTAAAAGACATATTTAGTCCAAGTGAGATCATTTGAGTGATATGGAATGAACAAAACAACTGCTCGTTTAAAGCCCTTTATATCACCCTTACAGTTCAATGATAACCTCCACCCCACATTTTGATTAAGATCAGCAGAAGGATCTTTAGGAACTAAAGGAAGCAGTTTAGTATTCTGACTATCATTGATCTCATCGATTTCTTACTAGAGGCACTTGGTAATGTTGGAATCTCCTCATCAGTAACAGGGATATGCATCCCTTGACGTGGGTGGAAGGGTGTGGGATGCAACTTAAGGAGGACTTGGAAAGTGGTATCTTCATCTTCATGAACAAGCAGCCTGTATGTCTCGGCAAAGAGGCGACTGGCAATCACAATGAAGGTCTTGTGGGTGGTCTGTAAAAATCCAAAGATAGCTTTAGCAGAGTCAGTACCCAATATATCCCTTTTCCCCACTGAAACCCTAAGTTCTTATTTCTCATAATCAGCAACGGGAAGCATTGGGTGACTCTCCAGAAATAAATTCCCTTCCATTCAGTTAAACAAATGCTCCTCGATTATATGATCAATACATCACATCACCTAATGCAGCTTTCAACTATGACTGCGAGAACCAGTGGGTTCAGAGACGGCATTCTCCAATCCTCCTTTGAAACATCCAAGGCAAGTTTGAAATGAACTACTCTTTCTCTTGTTTCTCTTGTTGATTAAACACTTCTGGATTCGTACTCTTTTTTTAATGAAATCCTTCCATTCCCCACTATCCTGTCAGAACTGGAGAAGCTTCTTGGATGAGAAGCAAAATGTCTTCAAAAAAAAAAAATCAAGAAAGTCCAGTTGCCTCCTGAAAAAAGCACCTTTGGGACAACCATGACCTAGATGACTGAGAATCTCTACAGACTATTCTTTTTAAGCTATTTATTGTGAATTGTTTGCCATTCTTGTTTGCAGTTCTAGGAAATAATAAAAACAAACAATTCTCATTCATTGAATATGTATGTGTCAGTGGTGGAATTCAAATTTTTTTTACTACCAGTTCTGTGGCTGTGGCTTAGTGGGCGTGGCAGGAGAGGGATACTGCAAAATCTCCACTCCCACCCCACTCCAGGGAAAGGATACTGCAAAATCCCCATTCCCTCCCAAGTCCTGGGGGAAGGATATTGCAAAATCTCCATTCCCACCCCACTCTGGGGCCATCCAGAGGTGGTATTTGCTGGTTCTCCGAACTACTCAAAATTTCCACTACTGGTTCTCCACAACCTGTCAGAACCTGCTGAATTTCACCTCTGGTATGTGTGTGTGTTCATGAGAGTGAATGTGTACTTTTACTTTTATCCATTTTAACGTTTACTTTTATCCTTTTAACATTAAAATGTGAATGGTCACCCAACACAGGAAATGTCTTGACCTTTCCTTGATGATGCTGACTGAGAAGGCAAAGTCTGCTCTCTTCTAGAATCCCAAGTTCCCAAGCTGAACAACTCACTCACATTATTGTAGTCAAACTGGAGCTGCTGGGGGCATCGCTTGGATCCGGACCAGAAAGGAAGTCCAGGGCTTGTCTCCTGGGGACAAAGGTAGATGGGGTCAGTCAGGAAGCCACATGGGGTGCAGGAAAGACATTCAAGGAAGGAAACTCCACTGATCAAAGGCTGGAACCGAGCCAGGTAAGTTTTGCAGCCTGAAGTAAAGAGATTTAGCCATGGAAGAGAGAATAAGTGAAGGGCTCAGAAATAGTAGATGTGGCTGGAAGGAACTATCTGTACCATCTGTATATTTTACTTGTATATATTTTAATTCCTCCAAAACATCCAGGGCCTCCTTCTGACAATACTGTTACATTCCATTAAGGGCCAAAAAAAGGTTATATAAAAGAACAATGCTTTATCATTGAAAAGATGGACACATATAACCATGGTAGCATCACTTTCAGTAACATAATGTACACAGTGAGAAAAAATGGGGAATGAAAGTGCAATGGAATCTGCAGCTGAGGCCGTGGAGCTACCAAAGAACTCTAAGTTGAATGCATAAAATGGGGCCTTAGCTTTTTTTTTTTTTACCCTTCCTTGAATCTATTTATGAAAAGCCATGAAAAAAATGTGTATTATAATTCACAGATACAGTAATCCTTCAATGGCATTTTCAATCCTGAGTGGAATTCACAGGTATCAAAGAAGCCACCTTTACATTAAGCATCTGGGTTTCCACAAAAAATGTACAGTAATTCCCTCTGATTCTCTCTTTTGATTTTCCTCTCAGCCAAGCCAAGAAAATCACTTTCTGTGTTTTAGGTATTAATATAACTAAAAGAATAAAGAAGCCGTACGAGTTCTTTTCATAGAGTGTGTGTGTTCCTGCAAGGCTAAAAAATGCTTCATTTTATTTTCTATTTATAGTTAACACCGCTTGCAAAATTACACCACCACCATTGTATGGAGATGGATATAAATGATTATGTGTTAACTACATACAGGGCAGATTGTTCCTAATCTTCTCAGGTGGTGTCAGATAATCTGTAATAGGAAATATGGGAAGAGGGCTCTTTCTGTACTATTGGAAATCCTACATAGAAAGGGAATGGCTACCTTGAATTTTGCTTCACCACAACGAGAGGAAGACAGCGAGGTGCAAGACCGCTATGGAAACTGTTCTAGGTTGAGTCCTTAGACTCAGCATCTAGACTCTCTGCTTTGAACATACAGTACTACTTCTCTCTCTGTGGACTCTTGATTACGGTTTGCCATTTGATTCAGATCCTATTAGGTTCTTATTCTTCTGAAGTTTGTTGCCAGTCTGAAAAATTATAGGCAAATTATTTTCAGGATCTTTAACTAGGGTGTATGAGATATTTTATAACCATGGGCTTCTACCCAAAGAAGCAGCAAGAGTAAATGTTTGTGGAGCTAAGTCTGTAAGAAGCAATGCCTCCATGATGAGACCAGCACTTTCTGGAATGAGTTTTGATTAAATTGGAAGCCTCTGCAAGAAAAATGTGTACTCCATCCAAAGAAGGGCAGAGGGAGGATCCACCCTTGCTCTTAAGCCATTCCCACTTCATTTGCTGCACTGTGCTGGGCAAGAAGCTAGGAAGTAGTTGAGGGTAAAAAAGATATGCTCATGTCTCACATATTTAGATGGAAAGTTGTACAGCAACTGCAGGATGTCATGAGAGAAAAGACGCTCCCAAAGTTTCCAGGCCCAGACCACGCAGTCTCGCCAGCAGTGTGGCTGCTCCTGAAGACTCATCTTCACTAGATTCATCATCTCCAAAGTTTCCATGTCTTCTTTCTCAAAGAAGGTGGGATCCCTGGAGTTAAAAATACACACTGTGGCTGGACTAAAGAAAGTATTCAGCTGACTTATTTCTTAAGTATAGGAAATCTGCACCAATTGTGGTTAAAATATCTATAGGCCTCTCAAAACAATCAGATCTCCTTTTTTAATTATGCTAAGAACAATGATTGTTTAGTGATAAAGTATCTACTAAACATCCCTTGTCCCTGCTAGTAGAATAAAACATCATCTTGATGCCCAACACTACCTATTCATGATTCTTACATACACACACACACACAATATTTATCCAGAACTCCCAAGATCTAGACTTTCACTCACCTCAGAAACTTATTAGTATCCTCTGCTCTTCTTTTGAAAAGATCCTCAAATTGATTTCGGGCCCACTGGAAAAGATGGAGGTGAAGCGGGTTCAGGAATCTATTTTGCTCTTTGTAAATGCATTAAGCCTGTGCATTGACTCCGAAGCAAGAGCAGTTACGCTCTGCAAGATGCACTCCCAAATAGCAAGTACTGGATAGCAGGCTCAGAGTATCTTGCCTGCCACTATTTGGGGGGCTAAATGGGCCAACATAGACCACAGATCCCTCAAGCCAGGTATTTACTCCTCTGATCTAGATATAAAGCGCTCCCCAATCAAATGGCCAGTCCCCAATCAAATTTCCTCCATTGGAAGCGAAAGGGAATCAAACAGGGGCATGAAAAGCCTCAGGGTCCTGAAATCTGGAAAGGCCTTCTCTTGCTGCCTCTGTTGTGTGAACTGGGAAGAAACAGCTGAAGATTTGCTTGAGGGGAAGAATTTTGGCTTAGCATATGGGTGAAACAGCTGGGCCCCATCTCCTGTCATCACGCCACTAACAGCCACCCTAGTTTTTGCCCAGTCGCCTGGAAACAGTAAATGAAGCTAAAAGGGCCAGGCAGAAGAAGGACGTTTCCCCTCTTTCAAGGATGGCTCAACCAAAGAGAAAAGGAAGGGAAAATGTCCCGTTGGAGCAGAAGCTGCAGAGTTGATGAGGGGCAGAAGAAAGAGTAGCGTGGACTTGTACCTGAATGGTGTGCTGGATGGTGCTGGGAAAATGGCGCAGAGTGCAGAGAGGGAACGTTCTATTTTCCCCATCCGGAATTTGTCCATGTGTTTTTGTCAGTTTAGGTACAAAGACCAGGGCATGTCCCTTGGTGCCATCGGTCCCAGAATCAAGCAGAGGCTTGAGGTAGCGTACACATCTTTCGCCCACATAGTTTCCTGCAGGGGAAAGAAAAAGGGGGAGCCTAAAGTGTTGCACACGTCTATGGGTGATTCTGCTTCCATAGCTCCAATCAGTCATTCAGAACACAGCTGGAAGGGACCTTGGAGATCTTCCACTAGTCCAGCCCCCTGCTTAAGCAGGAAACACTATACCACTATACCAACACTATACCATTTCAGAAACGTGACTGTCCAGGCTCTTCTTAAAAATCTCCAGTGGTGATGAAGCACCTACAACTTCAGAAAGCAAACTGTTCCACTGGTTAATTGTCCTGTTAGGAAGTTTCTCCTTAGTTCCAGGTTGCTTCTCTCCCTGATTACAGTCATTTCCATCCATTGTTTCTTGTCCTGCCTACAAGTGATTCAGTCTATCAACTCCCATCCTGAGCCAAAGTATTTGGGTTTCTGCTTGTGGATCAAGAGCCTTGGTGGTGCAGCAGACTAAAGTGCTGTTAAATAGCACCAGCTGCCTGCAATTACTGCAAGTTCAAATCTCACCAGGCTCAAGGTTGACTCAGCCTTCCATTGACTTCCCAATTTATCCAGGAGCAATTTTGTTATGGAAGACTGGAACACTTTATCCTGGGAGACTCATACTCATTATGACTGAAGGACTCACTGGCTTGAAAGCTGTCCAGGGCACTGGCGACACCATCCAAGCCCAGGAAGAAGTCATCCCCATAGAAGTGTTCTGTGTCAGGCCCAACCTGATTTTGCTGAGCTATTACATTGATTTTGGGATTCATACGTCTTATGGCAGCTGCAGCCACTTCTGACTTCTGCTTCTATAGAAACAAAGGAAATATGATTAGATTTAGGATTAAAATGGGTCATTGACCAAAGTACAGAAATAGAAGTCAGTCAGAAAACAGATTTTCTTCATTGACGTTAAAAGTCAATTTGCTAGTATTCTGACCAGCAGCATATCACAGAGTTTGCAAAGTTACCACTCTTACTTTTCCCAATCCTCCCCCCACACCCCGCCATCTTGCCTGCATGACTTACAGATACATCTTGTGGTCGAAATAGGAACTGCCTGTTCAGATTGGACTTTTCAATGATGTCCATGTCTGTCACAACGATCTCCCCACCCTCGCCAGCAGCCAAGCCAATCATTGCGAAATTCTTCAAGAGTTCACAGCCAATCGCACCTGCTCCTACCTAAAGAAGTTGTTCATAAAAAGACTGTTTGAGACGCCATGACATTTTGGAACAATATCAGAAACTGGAGATAGCTTCTCATATGACTGTATATATGGTGGTTCTTATTCACACCTTCCCGTATATATCTTTTCTCCATCTGCATGCTATTAGCCTAATCCTCATGCAATTTCAATAAAACATTACATGGCAATTACAAAGCCTGGACAGAAGTATTTACACAAGAAAATTGCTATCGAAGTCCGAAAACGTTTTGAATGCAATTCTGGGAGAAGGCTAGAAATGACATACAGAATGTTCTCCCATTTTGAAAACAGAACTCCTGATCTCATTTTAAATTATAGATCTCAATTAGCCCAAAATCTAAAAAAAAAAAAAAAAAAAAAAACCAATCCCAATGAGAAACACATGATTTTAGTATGTTTCCATTATAGCTGGTACACTAGACTAACTCTTAATTATGCCATGGAATAAGCACAGACAAGAAAATCCAGAAATTTGTGAGATCCATATGCCAATTCATCTATTGTGTGAAACATATAAGAACTATGCAAGGGCCTTAAAACAAGAAAAGGGAGTAAAACCGGGATGCAACATCAACCCAACCCTCTTTTATCTTATAAATCAACTATTTACCAGCTGTTTCTAAAAAGGCTGTGAAGTCCAGGATTACCAGAATGTGACTCAGCAGCACGAAGCCTGTTAAATAGTGGTGATCTCACACACTCCCTTCAGTAATAGAGTCATGCAAATGAACAAAAGGAAATTTTGCAGAATGTGACTGTAGTGTATCTGGCAAGAATATATCTTGGTTATCTATTTTTCTATTTTTCAAAAATATTCCCATGGAGACTAGAGATTTGATCAATGTCAATCCTTCTAAGCTTGTTTGTTTCCTTCCTGGTCTAAAATACTTAGGGATCCATGTAGAATTTTCCATAAATCTTTGTATTCACATCTGCAAAAAATGATATGCTGTAATTTAAGACATCATTACAATTGCTATAATAATTTTGTCCCATCTTCTAATGGGAATAGCTTCAACATCTGGAGTCTTTCTTTGATAATCAGGAATCTGTTAATTAGGATAAAATCTGATATCTACAGCAGCAGTTCTGCCAGCAAACGATAAGTTTACCACCACCATCCCAAAACAAAAAACAAAAAACCCAGAACCCAACAAAACCAATAACAGCTGCAAGAAGAATCTAAGCCTCATCATAGAAAAATAATGATTCTTCCTTTGGTGCCCCCTCTCAGGCTAAAAAATGATCAAATGCTCCCTCTGCTGTGAAAAACGGGAAGAAAAGGCACTAAAGTTTATCCATTCTCTTTCAACAGCTGCTGGATGAATACGTGGTTTCCCGTCCTGCAATGGGAAATTAGCTCATCAAAAAAAGTTTTCTTTTGTTTTCATTATTGGACCCACAAAGGTCATTTGGAAGAGCTGTAGATCTATCATCCCAGATAAGATAAGGTAAATGAGAGCTGGAGAGACAACAGACAACAAAAATAGGAACTTAGCACACAGCATAATTTGCCCAAACCAAATACACACATTATAATGAACCTAGTTAGTGTGCGGTAAGAATGTTGTTTCATGTGGTCCACAGGAGTTGCACGCCTTACTCACCAGGAAATACTTCTGCTTCCCAAGTAGTTTTTGGAAGTCGGCCCCAAAGACAGCAATCTGCCCATCGTAGCGACTACCACACTGTCAGAGATGGAGATGGCAAGTATTAGGACATTAAGAGGAACATTCCACACCGGAGGCAAAATGAAACCAGCCCAGTTTCTCAAGGGCATTCTCAGAAAGTCTAGTTGGCTGCCTTTATGGAATTCAGCATCATGGAAGAGAAGAGGTGAACATGTTTCGGACAGCCACGAGTGGAAACCTTTCTAAACAGAGATGTGATGTGTCAGACCCAAATAGTTTGGAAAAAAAAGGCAAACTACGGAATGTAACTACTCACTGGGGCACAGTTTTTCTCTGTCAGCTGCTTCCCCTCAGGCAGACATTCATAGGCATCAAAGTACAGCCACTGATCCAAAGGGGTGAATTTCCCTGAGACAGCCTGCAAGCAAAATGACATAGAAGCTTTGCTCAAGCAAAAGATTATAATGAACACTGCGAAAACTGGAGTCCAACACATCTTCATCTTAAGCTATAAAGCAGGCCCAGTTTCAGTAGGTGATGTTTTTGCTTATTCTGTCTCATTATTCAGAAAAAAACACATCTTTGGGTCTTCTACTCAACTGTTAAAGGCACAAAAGCCCCTCAGGGAATGAGAAGATTGGTACTTCTTCACCATTCTAGTCACTTCACTAATCTTGTTGAACACTAATTCATCCAAGAACTTGACTGAGTGGCTCATCTGTTACTGCAACAGGCAGAAAATAAATTACTCTAGGAAAAAAGACAATGAAATGCTTGCAGCCATTACCAACCCAAGACTCCTATGCTCTGAAATCATCCCACATGAAATTAATTTCTATGAGATTCAAATAATCTTTAATCCAGCTTTCTGCATATGTCACCTGCAGCAAATGGTCAGTTATGGTACTTTATGGAGAACGGTCTCTGAATCCAGAGGGCCTTCTGGGATGAAGCCTCATCAGTCGAAATCTTGTTACAGAAGGCAAAACTGCAAAGGCCTTGGCATTGCCCCTGAATAATACACACACTGCTACCTATCACACTGAGCAATATTAAATTCTATTAAAGTTAAAGTAATTATTCTTTCATTTACATATGTATTATCAATATTATTACACACTGTATACAACCCCATTCCCTGTTTCATTTAGGGGGATTATTTGTCATGAATGTTGTCTATTTGGGCAATGTGCACTGTACATCTGAGTGAAAGTCATACGGCCAAAAGGGATACAGGAAAGTTTGAAACTTAACCCACTTTACCAAATGAGACTGACTATAAACAATGGCATGACAAAGTAGCAACAATGGTGCATTGGAATATGCACAAGAAATACAAAAAAAATCTAGATAGTGGACACTGCAGTACTCTGAAACAGCAGAATAAAAGAGGAGGAAAAACTGCAGAAAAATCACAAAATACAAAGACCTGCAAAGAAAAGTAGAACGATTATGGCAAAAGAAAACAAAGATAGTACCAATATGTGCCTGGAGTGCAATCCCAAAAAATCTGGAGCACCATTTGAAGACCATGGGCATTGACAAAAATCACCATCAGTCAATTGCAAAAGGCAGCTTGCTTGGAACAGCTTACATCCTACGACAATATCTTTAACACTATCAGATAACAACATTTGCCTACCCCAGGTCCTTAGGAAGGACTTAGTAGGTGGACACAGACGCCGAAACCAGTCTAAATAATTGTCTGACTCGGCAACCAAGCATAATATCATACTGTAAGTCATTGTCTGCAAACTATAATGGCTGTCTTCACATATCATACTAAACCAAATATTCCAAAGAAAACCTATGCAAACCATATTATGGCTCAGCATGAATCAAATTGGGAAATTCCACGACTGAAAAACTGAAGAGCCAGGATTGTAGACATAGTAGAAAGAAAGAAAGCCTAACGGAGAATGATAGCTGGAGGGAGCCACTAATGCGTAAGAAGACTGCAGTTCAGAGAGGACATGTTACAGGAAAACATAATTTGACTATACTAGATGTAAATAATTAGAGTTCTATCCAGCCTGAATTTCTTCTAGAAGCATAAACCAACTTACATGGGGATTTCCCTTCATTGTGATGACTACAAAAAATCTGAGGTTTGTTGAAGGTGACAAGCACAAAGTCACCTTTTAAGTTTCCATGGTTTTAGTCTGATTAATTAAATCTCAATAAATGAGAGTATGACAATGCTCTTCTTACCTATTTTTGCGCAAGACTGTAATCATTATATTGCAATACATTTTATCTGGCAAGCTAGGGATCATCTGAATCCTGATCTTTAAACTCTCTTATACATTTCTTCTATTTTAGGTCAACATTTGGCCATTGTAGGAGAATCTTACATCTTTTAGTTCATTCCGTCGTTTGACATATCTAGGGAAACGGCTAGAAAAATCCCAAGTGATTTTTCCCTTAAGGTGCTCTGACATACCTTGTGATTAGTAATACAACTGGCTAGATTTTAGCTATTTAGTTACCAATATATTTTGACTTTTGGTAGTCAGTATGTGTCAGAGCTCTGAGTAAGGGCTTCAACAAACCTCTTATCAACTCATAAAAGATAAAAGCTAAGATCTTGGGCTGCTTCTCGATGAAGTGTCTTTTGTGCAATCGGTCTGCCTCCTTTATGGAATTTTACCCAGGTTGTAATGGTTGAGACACCATCCCCTATTTCTTAACTTTCCTGTTTTTTTCCAAAAGCTCTTTCCCGATCTTGCTTATCACAAGAAAATATTAAAAAGATAAGGATGGAAAAGCTGCTCTGTGCCATTTATCTGGTAGAATCAGAAGCTGCCTCGTAATCATTTGCAAAAGGCCCTACAGAAGTTAAGTCTGAACCATAAGTTTCCCAAGTCTCAGTGTGTCCTATAATTACATTTACAGTGTCTGAACTTTGCTTCTCAGAAAGTAGGAAGCATGCAATAAGACGAGGTGTTCAGAGGTGGACATTTAGCTTTACAAGTAGTCCTTGATTTACAAACACAATTGGGCCTGGAATCTTGGTCATTGAGCAAAGCGGTCATTAAGCAAGATGTCACATGACTGCTTTGCTCAATAACCACAATCCTGGTTCTTTCAGTTGCGGCTGTTAAGCGAAGCCCCTGGGAGAGAAACCAGAACTCCAGGGCATGGTGCAGCCATCACACCCAGAAGGCCCAGATCCTTGTGAGAATGATGGCGTTTGCTAGTCTTTTCACCAGATTTCAGGTCCAGTCCTGCAGTGCCCATGAGGATTTCCTTCCCTGCGTAAAGGGGAAGAGAAATCTCTCAAAGCACCGGAGGACTGGACCTCAAATCCAACACTCCCTTCACTTGTGGCTTTCCCTGCTGGTTTCCTCAATGACTTTCTGAAGTAGCTGGCAGCGAAGTTTGCAAATGGCCGTTACATGATCGCAGGGCAGTTGGCAACCAGTTTTAAATGTGGACAGGTTGCCAGGAGCCAGAAATGTAATGATCGGGGGCGGTGCAACGTTTTACAACAGCCATTGTTGACCGTAAACCATTATTAAACAGTCTTGAGTTGAGCACTAGCTGTGTGCAAAAATGAGTGCACGATAAAGCCTTTATTTATAACTATTTTCTCTTCCTCACGAAATATGAAACCAATCTTATGGCTAATTGAAAATGCATCACTCACGCATAGGAGAGAGCATACAGTGAAGGCCTTTAGGCCGGGATAAAGGTGAAGGTGAAAGGTTTCCACTGTCAGTTGAGTCCATCTCCAGGGAGCGGGGGCTCATCTAGCTGAGGGAGCCAGCGCTGTCTGAAGACACTGCTGTGGTGATATGGCTGGCATGACTGTATGCCAAAGCGCAAATGGAGCCTAAGCAGAAGAGGCGATTCCCTAGGTGGCTCAGTGGCTAAGACGCTGAGCTTGTCGATCAGAAAGGTTGACAGTTCGAATCCCTAGTATACATCTCCTACATGAGCCGGGGGGTTGGACTAGATGACCTCCAAGGTCCCTTCCAACTCTGTTACTGTTACTTTGAGGATCATGTCTCTTATTACTCTTTAAAAAACACCTCTGTATTAAGAATCTTGTCCATTGTAAAAGAAGGAACAGCCTTCAAGTTGCTCATCTATCATGTGGCTGTAATCTTTCCACTGTGATAAAATATATTATGGTTTTATTTAAAATATTGCACTGATTAGTTTGAGATGCATTTCCTCTTTTGGGGTGATGTCTAAGTGGCCACCCTTCTAAACAACGCTCCCTGGAGGAAGAGTTTCTCCTCTCTTCTCTGACCTCCTTCTAACTGATGCAACTGAGAGAAACAGAGGAGCTAAAAGAGAAGCTCAGCTTCCTTAAAAATGGTTTAAAAGCATAAACTGCCATCTGGCGGACATTTTATAAATTATGAGCAAAATATTCTTTCATCCACTTAAATTTTATAACACTGAATAAAATAAAGAATAACAGAGTTGGAAGGGACCTTGGAGGTCTTTTAGTCCAAGCAGGAGAGCCTGTACCATTCTGAACAAATGGCTGTCCAATCCCTTCTTAAAAACCTCCAGTGAAGAAGCACCCACAACTTCTGGAGGCAAGTCGTTCCACTAATTTGAAATCCATTCCATATATTGTAATCCATTCCAATTAGGACAGAAAACCCTTCTCTGCTAGGTATATGGACAACGCTGGAGTTAAAGCAAAAACTATGCTAGTGGGAGTAGTAAAAATTAATATTCAATAGTCTTTAACTTTCATCTTTCTTAATAGCTTGGACAATCTATGAGTAGTATACATCTTCCTTGGTTGAGTTCTCAGATTAGAAAATTCCATCTTTAATATGCCCTCATGCTAGAGCAGGGATCCCCAACTCCTGGTGTGTGGACTGGCACTAGTCCATGGTCCATTGAAAACCAGGCCACAAAAGTGGTGTATGAAGCTCCATTTGCACACATGAAACCATCTCCTCCCTTCACTGCTGCCATCTGCCTCCCCTTCCGCTACTGGTCCGCAGAGCCGGAATGATCGGAGACCGCTATGCTAGAGGATCTGTGAATCCCCCACTCCAGATGAACAAGGGGGAAAAGCAAAATAAAGACACACCACAATCTGATCAGGAAAGGAATATCATGTTATCTAGCTCCAAAATTATGGCTAAATATTGTGAAAGAAACATCTTGAATATATTTTTTTTTAATTTGATTTATATGCCGCCTTTCTCCAGAGACTCAGGGTGGCTTACAATGCGTTAAGCAATAGCCTTCATTCTTTTGTATATTTTATACAAAGTCAGCTTATTGCCCCCACAAACTGGGTCCTCATTTCACCTACCTTAGAAAGGATGGAAGGCTGAGTCAACCTTGAGCCTTGGAGAGATTCGAACCAGCAGAAATTGCAGGCAGCTGTGTTAATAACAGGGTGCACTAAACCACTGTACTATCAAGGCTCTACATATTAAAAGATATGCATTCGAACTTGCTTAATCATGCCTCTATTTAAAAAAATATATAGTGGATATCCTTCACTGGCAAACCCAGTACAAGGCCACTTAATGGCAGTCAGAAAGCTGAATTTCAGTACTGGGCCCAAAGCAAGTAGGATGTCAACTCTGAAGCTAACCTGGCTGAAGCCATCTTGTGCTACCTCATAGTTGCCATGAAGCCAAAGAGGGGGAAAGGAGGGGGGGAGTAGATAGCCCAGCTAACAATCAAAACAAAAAGTTTTCCTGTGGGAACCAAGGTGATTGTAACAGGTGGCTGTTGAAGGAGGAAAGGAGCCTGCCATCCATCTTCATTGGACAATACCTGGGAGAGGGGATTTTACTCTTTTAATTAGGTGAAAACCACAGGAACTGTTAGAGTTGGTTTTCAGTGGCTGTGCCAGTATGATGTATCCAATAAACATGTTCTTTGAGGAATCTACCTGCCTCGGAGTTCTGCTTTCAATGGGTGCCTTACCCAGAACAGTGACATAGGATACCTGCAATTCTTAATGGGAAGCCCAAGATGGCTCCTTTAGGTGCAGATACAAAATGATTAGCAGAGCCATTACAATGGATGGAAAACTTCTCATGTAGCTTCAAAACTATTCCTTTTAGTTTCCTGTAAGAATTAATAGTTATTCCTAATATTGTATACTGCCCTCACACATTCAAAACACTTTGTGTATTTTATTAATTAATCCTTTCAAGAATCATGTAAGTTAAGCCACTAGTATATTTCTCTACTTTTTTTTGCACATGAGGAATATTGAGGTTGAAAAAGACTGGCTTGCCTAGGGCACATATTGAATTCCCAAAAGAGGTGAAACCTACTTCCTGATTTATAGGTTTTTTAAGCTGCTACTTTATATTAGATATCTCTAGCATGATTATTAATTATTGTGGGTATAACCTACATTGAATTTATCCAGTAGCTCAAGGCAGGATATCTAATATTCTTCCTCCCATTTTAACCTTGCAATCAGAGTTTATCATTGAATGAGAACTTGAACCTGGGTTTACCAAATTCAAGTTTCTTTAATCACTGGACCACTAGCTTTTTATTCACAGGCCGTGTTGTAGCAGAATTTCCCTATCACTTAATAAAATGTCCTTAATAATTAAAGGTTTGGGCACAATGTTTCCAATTATTATGTGATAAAAATTCAGTTTAGCATAACATGATTAATATCACACACATAAAATTGAAATCCATCAGAAATATCTATGGGAAATGATTGCAGATGGTATGTGGACTGCAATTCCTTTAGTACAGTGTTTCTGAACCTTGGCCGCTGGACGATGTGTGGACTTCAACTCCCAGAATTCCCCAGCCAGCTCTGTTCGCTGGGGAATTCTGGGAGTTGAAGTCCACACATCATCCAGCAGCCAAGGTTGAGAAACACTCCTATAGTAGATAGAATTTTGGGGAACCACAGGTAATCTCTGTCTTATGACCATTCACTTAATTATAGTCTAGAAAGAGTTCCCTGCCATGTATGGAGGGCAGCTGATCTCCTTCAGCAGGCAGATCTTTCAGCCAGCCCGCAGAGACAAGGAGGAGCAGAAGCAAAGCAGAGAGTCAGTGCAGTAAGGTAAGAAGCATGGGGTGTCTCAGGCAGGTGCCAAGGGATTGCGAAGCGCTAAAGTCACGTGACACCACACTTTATGGTGGCGTTGCTTAACAATGGAGATTTTGTTTCCAATTACTGTCATTAACCAAGGACTAGCTGTATGCCATACTGTGATATCACTAGCAGCAGCTAAGAGGAGCAGAGAAGAAAAGGAAAGGAGAGCACTGAAGGGTTAATCAGAGCAATGCTACTGAAGAGAGGAAAAGGAGGTAACACAGACCAGATTTTACCTACTCTTAAGTCTTGTTCTACTTGTCTTTAGAATGAGAATAAATCCTTGGTTCAATAGGTATTCATCTTGAATTGACATTCTTCCTCTCCTCCCACCATCACATTAATTGGTTAAATAGAGGATTAACTACAACGAGTACGGACGTTTAAAATGTTGGTATTTCTCCATACAAGTGTGAATATATTCCAAAGTAATCACTTTCTATCGTACCACAAATCCTTCCCCCTCTCCCCCCATTTTGCTTTCATTTTTGTTATTTCCCTTTCCTATTCGTTTTCATTTTCTTTTTAAAACCGTATTTTACTTGATGGTTAATTACTGTTTGTCTCTTTAATATTTTTTTTTAAAAAAGCAATCAAATCAGTCAGTCAACCTCTGCCTGTTCTGCCACTCACCTTTAGGACTTCTTGGGCAGCAAGGCCTCCAATAAGGCTATTCATAGGGCTCAGATCCCCCATACATCCATACGCAAATGTCCGTATCAGATTCTCTTGTTCCTGATCCATAACTGGGATCTCCACCAGCTCTACTAACATGTCTGCATCCTCCTGCCAAGGAATAATTACTGAAGTTGAAGAAAAGATTTGGCTGGGGAAGGGAAGGGAAGGGAAGAGCGGGAAAAAGGTAAATTGCTGGATAGGTAGGTAGACCAGACTTACCTGATTCCGAGGGCTAGGAAGTCGACCAAATTTATCCTGGAATGTGTGAAGTGCCTGGAAGGCTTCATGAAGAGTGCGATAACGAAACATTTCCTTTCTACTTTGGGTATTGATCTTCGGATTAGCCATGCAGGCTCGCAGAGACTTCTACGAATATCGAGAAATAAGCACAAAGGGAAAGCTGCATCTAATAACACATCCTTTCTCTCAGATACCATATCTCAAGAAAAGTGTTCTCCTGCCAAAAGAATAAGTGAAGGCCAGCTAGCTCAGGAACTTCTACCCCAGCAAGTCTCAGATTTTTGAATTTTAAATCCAACATCACCATAATAAAGAACTTGTCAGCACTAGAGTACGGGGCCAGATTGTCGTGCTTAATAAAATGAAAGATTTCTTCAAAGACTATCTGTTTGGAAATGCAATTTATTTTATTTGAATACAATATCGAAACCTGACAGAACTGCAGAAACAAAAAGCCCTCTTTTACAAGAAATTATATACTAGCAAATTACTCTTTAACACTTATCAACTATGGCAGGGATCCCTAAACCCCATCTGTGGCCCGGTACCATGCCATGGCCTGTTGGGAACCAGGCTGTGCAAGTGGTGGTCGAGCACGCAAGTGAAACTCCATTTGCACAAGTGGAAGGCACAAACATGAAAACATCACCTCTTCCCCCTGCCCCGCCACCCCGGCTGCTGGTCCGCAGAGCTGGAAAAGTTGGGGACCGCTGAGCTATGGTACTTTTGAAGTACATAAAGAAATTGAATAAGATTGTTGACATTCATTTCTACTAATATAGGTATACAATAATGAACAAGCCATGGGACTGAGCTTGCATTTACCATTTTCTCCCAAGTACAAACCACAAAATATATATAATGAGAGAGTGCACTAACTACCCTGAACCATTCAGACAGTGATCCAATCCTGAACTCCAGGAAAGAATGAGATGCTTAGCTTGTTTTGTCTCAATACTCTCCGCTGGGAAAGGGATGTGCTGCCATTTTCTCTCGTGTGTGTATGTGTGTGTGTGTTAGGGTTAAGTTCAGAAGAGGGGAATCATTCTGTTACATGTCACTATTGATAAATGGGCCATTGATCTACAGTGACTTTTAAGTTTAGCTCAGATGGATGTTCTTCCCAGTTTGACTCAATCTGGAGCAAAGCTGAGATTTTCTGCATGCAGCATGTATTATACTACAGAGTTACTGGCCAGCCCAGTTTTCTACACAGAATTTTGTATCACAAGCAAGCAAGCTCAGCTTACTCTAACCTTTCTCAAGCAGGCACTCTACCTCCCAGACTCATTTCAACTGGAGGATGTACAGTGTTAATTCATTATGAAAGAATCAATAGTCTAAAAATCTCAGGAAGGTAAAAAGTTGAGGGAAGCTTATTTTAATCTCTTCCCTATGAAATAATTCTGTACACCTCACAATTCTTAGCTAGAGCAACATACTTGTTCAAGAATCAGTCCTTTCTGTAAAGTAGCCTGAAAAGAAGAACTCCATTTTTCAAAATTCCCAAGATATGTATAGTTCAGAAAAGAGAACTTACATAAGAGTGTTTTTCAGGCATCTTGACCTGAGTGATGATCCCACCATGTTGGTATGGGGAAAAGGAAGACGTGTCTCCAATTTCCAGGATGTATTTTTCTAAAAACAGAGTAAAAAAATTCAGGTTCTGCCCTGAGTGCTTGTTTAACCCTGTTCCTAGCCCTAAGCAGTTTAATTTTAAGAGTCAGATAAAAACTTGTGAATTTAATTGCTAAAAATGTAACCTTTGCAGTTCAGGTTTTTCTGAGTTTGGAAGTGTTTTGGTTTCCTGACAAATATTTTAAACCTCCACATTGAAGTCTCACAACTTTCCTTAATGTTCCTATCAACACCACTACTATACTATCCAATCATTTTTCTCTTATACAGATAGTCCTCAAGTTATGACCACAACCGAGCCCAAAATTTTATGTTGCTAAGTAAAACATTTGTTAAATGAGTTTGCCACATTTTACGACTTTTCTTGCCACAATTGTTAAGTGATTCATTGCCTTTGTTAAGTTAGTCACATGGTTGTTAAGTGAATCTGGATTCCCCATTGACTTTCCTTGTCAGAAGGTCGCAAAGGATGATCACATGACCCTGGGACACTGCAACCGTCATAAATATGAACCAGTTGCCAAGCATCTGAATTTTGATCATGTGACCATGGGGATGCTGGAACGGTCATAAGTGTAAAAAATGGTCATAAGTCACTTTTTAAGTACCGTTGTCATTTTGAATGGTCACTAAATGAACTGTTGTAAATTGAGTACTACCTATATACTCTTTATCAGCTCAACTTCTTGATGGATTTTCCATATTAATCCTCCAGTATTTTATGAACATGTTCTGCATTCAAGTTAGAAAGACACGTGGAGCCACGAAGGGAAAGAAGAAGTGTCCTGTTACCTTTCACACAAATCTGGCGTGGTTTAGAACTATTAAGCTGTGTCATCCCTTCAATCTCAGAGAACATCACCCAGTCACCATCCATAAAGCAATGTCCCTGCTCATCATAATGGGCCACAGTCAAGAGACCAGGATTACCCTGAATAAAAGAGTGAAATCCAAGATTAATTATCAATCTTCCCTTTCAGCATGATCAACCTATTTCCTCTCCAGTCGCTTGGACTCCAATATAAAATGCACTCCAAGTTGACCTTGCAATATTAATAAAATTGACAAGGGTTAATTAGTAATAGTCCAGCTATAGGAAAAAATCAGAAGTTTAGCTTACTTCCACCACCATCCCTGCCTGTCAGCTTGAGAGAGAGTAGTTGCTTTGAAATGGAAATTCCCCATCCACAGTGGGAATGATCTGGGATTTCACATAAATATAAGCCCCTCGTCATGACATTATTCATTGTTTAGATGATTCCCCTTGACCAAAATCAGACACCATCTCCTGATAATCCCTTCATAAAAATAAACATGGGGGCTGCCTTGGGTAGAGACATTATATTGAGGTTTTAAAGGAGATGGCGCAAGAACGGAATTATGAGTAGAAAAGTAATACAGAAAATAGAGTGGTTGTAAAAAGACATTAGCTTGGTTTGCAGAGTATGTGATTGTATATTGGGTGCAACAGCCATTGTATCACAGGGAAGGAAGTTACCAAGGTGATGTGTTTAATGGCAGCAGATGCAGGGTCAGCTTCTGAAGGATCATACACCACATGTTCTTCTCCAAAATCACAAAAAACCTGCCTGGAGTCAAGAGAAAGACAAAAATAAGTTATGCTTCAAATGATGCATTCAACTTATGTGCCACCCTTAGAAATACCTAGCAAACATACAGACCGGTGGTAACTTTCAACTACAGGGTCTTCCTATTTTAAAAAAATAGTAATCCCTGCAATGTTCCAGCATTATTTATGTAAATTTTCCATTTCCTTGATCCCCTCCTAGAAAAAGGACAACCCATTCATCCCTACATACCCAGCCAGGCCCTTTGTGTTAGCTAGGACAAAGCAAATTTGATTGGTATGGCAGAAATCACTGATATCCAGCTGTTCCTTCAAGGATGAGTTGGTCAGGACCACAACCTGGAATAGATTGGATTGTGGAGTTTCAGAGAATAAGCCACATTAAGGAATATCCAATCACAGAGAATGACCGGGAGCACATTCTACAAACATTTATTTATTTGTTTGTTTGTTTGTTTGTTTGTTCAACTTGTATGCCGCCTTTCTCCGAAGACTCAAGGCGGCTTACAATGCATTTAAAAACCATATATAAAACATTAAAAGTTAAACCATTAAAAACAATTAAAACCCATTCACACCATTCATGGCCGGATCTCGCCAGATCGCAACAGCGAGATCAACGGCCCCAGGCCTGCTGGAAGAGCCAGGTCTTCACCGCTTTTCGGAAGGCCAATAGGGTGGGGATGGTCTGGGCCTCAGAAGGTAACTGGTTCCAGAGAGCTGGGGCAGCCACCGAGAAGGCCCTCCCCCGTGGGCCCACCAGCCGGCATTGTTTAGCTGACAGGACCCTGAGGAGAGCAACTCTGTGGGATCTTACTGGTCGCTGGGAGCTATGCGGTAGAAGGCGGTCTCGAAGATACCCTGGCCCTGAGCCATGTAGGGCTTTAAAGGTAATAAACAACACCTTGAATTGTGATCAGAGACCAATAGGGAGCCAGTGCAGCTCGCGGAGAATTGGTGTAATGTGGGTGTACCTAGGTGCACCCACGACAGCTCTCGCGGCTGCGTTCTGGACCAACTGTAGTCTCCGAACACTTTTCAAGGGTAGCCCCATGTAGAGCGTGTTGCAATAATCTAACCATGAGGTGACAAGGGCATGAGTGACTGTGAGGAGAGTCTCCTGATCCAAGTAGGGTCGCAATTGGTGCACCAGGCGAACCTGTGCAAAGGTCCCCCTAGCCAAAGCTGACAGATGTTGCTCTAATCTTAGCTGTGAGTCTAGGAGGACACCCAAATTGTGAGCCCGTTCTGAGGGGGACCTAACATGCGCTCTCATACATTTAATGTACACCACACATCTATCCATTCTGGACATGTTAGTCATGGCAACTGCATGGGAAGATTTCCGACTTGTTTTCAGGTGCGACTCCTAGTCAAAATCTTATAATTCTTTTAGAAAATTTACCATAAAGTTGCAGCTGACAGAAATATTTGAGATGGATTGACAAGCTTGCTACTACTGCAGCATGAAGAACAGAAACTCTTCCGTCCATTCAGATAGACCCCACCTAATGGTTAGCTTTCATTGCTTCTATCTAGCATAGCTAAAATTGCTTCTTCTCTCATATTTCTCACCTCCATGGCATGAGACACATGACTCAGTCTTACCTTGAAAGTAGCCAAGAAGTTCTCCGTCAGTTCACTGGTGTGGGGGATCACCTCAACATTGCTATTTAACTTGGAGAGATGTTTCTGGGAAACCTCAGCTCGGTTTTTCCCCAAATCATTCTCTGACAGGTAGAACTATAGAGACACAGCAAAGCTAAGCGTAAAGAAAAGTCTTTTGCATAATTCTTTGCCACCAATAAAACAGCATTTTATTCTTTTCTTGCCTTATTTTACTGTCAGATGCACCACACTGTCTAATAGCATATTTTGGAGTTGACTTTTACATCTCCATTACCAGCAACATACAATGTGTGTATTCATCAGTGTTTCTCAATCTTGGTAAATTTAAGGTAGATGGACTACATCTCCCAGAATTCCCCCTGATAGGGAATTCTGGGAGTTGAAGTCCATCCATCTTAAAGTTGCTAAGGTTGAGAAATACTGCACTATACATTATGTAAGAAACACAGTAGCTGTAATACTGCAGGAGTGTAAGATACTAAAGAGAATGATAAATAGCAGGATCCTAGAATATCTTAACACCGATTCTAAATTAATCTTTTATGGAAGTTAGAGTCTAATAGTGTAGCATTTCTCATTCTGACAACTTTTAATGGGAATGAATAACAACTGATTCATTAAACTTCCCAAATTAGGCAATCTTTTAGAATCCCATGGCTATATTATTCATTCAGCCATGTATTATACAGAATTAAATTACCAACAATTAACTGTTATTAAATGAGCAAAAATCAGGACTAATTTGAGAGTCCAGATGGTATGTTGGGAAATTGGGTCCTATCACACACTTAGAAAACTGTCTTTAAATGATGGGCATTCCTTCAATTTTGTACCTCTGTCTGCCACACACTCCTTCTTCCAGCTTAGAAGAGAAGTGGAAGCAATTGCCCTGTATGAAGGTCTACTTCTTCTGCAGCAGATCTGGTGAGATTTATTTATTGGTTCAATTTATATGCTGCCCTTTTCTGGAGACTCAGGGTGGCTTACAATGCATTAAGCAATAGCCTTCATACTTTTGTATATACCTGCTTAGTAGGGCTTTCGCCCTCCCCCCCAAGCGGTGTTCTTTTTTTATACAAAGTCAGCCTATTGCCCCCACAAACCAGGTCCTCATTTTACCTACCTCGAAAGGATGGAAGGCTGAGACAACCTTGAGCCTGGTGAGATTTGAACTTGCAATAATTGCAGGCAGCTGGTGTTATTTAACAGTGCTTTAGTCTGCTGCGCCACCAAGGCTCTTGGAGATCCACAATCAACCAGGGTGAATGGTGGTGGTGGGGGGGGCGGGAGGAAATCACAGTGTCTTGCTGGCACCATTTGTAAATTAAGGCATGAATGAAGGGAAAACGACATGGCAATACTAGGGGTGGGGTTGGGCAGAGCTTTAGGATTATTTGAGCCATCTGCAGCGGTTCTGATCTATTCCCAGAGACCTGAGTGGAGGCCAACGTCCCTTCTGGGCTGAAGAAGGTGGACCACTTTTCTTTAAACAGGAAGGTTTGGAGAACAAGGTACCTCCAATTCTTCTTCACAAGAAATGTGCCACTTCCTTTGTGCTAAGAAAGAAGGAGATGAGTTCCAAAGTTGCTTTGGATAGTGAGGTGGGTGGCATATAAATGTAATTAATTAATATTCCCCACCTCCTTCTGCACAGAAATACTCTCTGTAAAGGACACTATGATTTTAGAGATGTTTAGATAACATATATCTAATGCATGTATATGCACACATGGTGTCTGTGGATCTATATATACTACATATAAGCTTGTGGAAAAGTAGCTTACAGCAGAATAAAATCTGCGCAGAATGTGTGAGCAGAATCAAAGGAAGACCTGTTCTATGCCTTGCAATTGCTCTCTCACACTTGTTAGGCAAGATCAGTAAACTGCATACCTGTGAGGACAGGTCACTCCATTGAGCATCATCCTGGTCATGGAGTGTGACAGATTTCACGCCTGCAAGAATCACATTCTTTGCAATCTCGACCCCCAACCCCTTCATTCCAGAAACCAGCACCGTTGCTGTAGCCGTCTTCCGCATGGCCTCATGCCCGAGCACATAGCTGGAACAAAAACATCACAATGATGCAAATGCCAAGCCTGAAAGCGAATTGCACTCTTGTTCTTTTTCAACTGCACTTTTACCCTTATCTTGGTTTTCTTTGCCAATTAACACTCTTTATTTTTCTTCCATCTGTCATTATGCATTTTATGCATGGAATGACCTCAGGAGACAGAAGGAGAGCCACAAGCTGGACAAGTGGCATGTAAAAGGTATCTCAGCTCAAAGGGTTTCCCACAGGACGGTTGTGGTAAACATTTTGGAAAGGACCTTCTCTAGTTTTCCGTAAAGGGACCGGGGGGGAGGGAGAAATACTTTCAATCTTGCAAAATTCTGTTAATGTAACCTTACAATAAAGATAGAGCTGGTTTTCCTGCTTGCACTTCTTGTCAGGACTACCTCACAGTGTTAACCGTTGTCTTAATCTCCAGATTCTTCTCCAAAATAAATTCCACCAGATGCTCACTCATTATCCAACTATTCTCAGTCAGCAACGGGTTTCTATTACACCAGCTCTAGAGCATTAGCCCTTTGAGGTTTCTTCGCATTCCTCCCACTTTTGCATCCCGTTATCAGACTCACAGTTGGCGGGAATACAATTCCTCGTCTATTTCCGGAAGGTTCTCTATGGCACTCATTCTGATCCTGCTGCTTCTGTACTGTCAGAGGCGAAAAAAGGGAGGACCAAGGCATTGAATCAGGTTATTGGGAAGTCTTATCCATGAACTTATTATCAAGGCACCAATCATGGCTGTGCTTATTAAACTGCCGGGGAGAATTGTCCTCTCTTCTAGAACAGTGGTCACCAACTGGTGGACCGTGGACCACAGGTGGTCCACAAGAAAATTTTGGTGGTCCGCAGAAAAATTATTTGCATTTTTTATAATGCACTAAATCAGGGGTCCTCAAACTACGGCCCCTGGGACAGATACATGCAATGAACGTTTGTGTTGCTGCAGAGAGTCTCTCCCTTCGGGATCTTCTTCTGTGGGTCGGAGGGGGGCAGAAATTCTGACGGGGTCTGCTTCGGCCTCCTGGTGCAGGGCTTTGGGTGAAGGCTGGAGGGAAGTGCTGCTGGTGGCGAAGAGCCAGAGGGCCTTGTTCCAGTGGGACTGCCTTATGGCCTGGAACTGGCTGACCATCTCAGCTCACTGAGCCTCCAGGTGTCGGTACCTGGCCTTGCACTCCCGCAGGTCTTCCCTCTGCTTGGAAAGCCTATGCTCCTAGTCCTCAGTGAGGTGCTTCTGCTGAGCCTCCTTCTCGGCCAGATCCAATTTGAACTGAGCCAGCTATTTTGCCAACTCTTTCTCATGGTGGCTGCTTAGCTCCAACAATTGCTTCCTAAGGAGCCCAGGCGGGCAGGCGAGGAGTGGCTGGAAGGGAAGGGGCGAGTAGAGGCTGTCGAGGGGCCCCTCGATGTGAGTGACATTGAGTTGGCCATGCCCACCTAGTCACATGACCACCTAGCCATGCCTACCCAGCCAGTCATTAGGCAGATCATATTAGTGGTCCGCAGGAGTTAAAATTATGAATTTAGTGGTCCCTGAGGTCCGAAAGGTTGGTGACCTCTGTTCTAGAACATCATTCTCTGTGGTATCAGAGAAGCCCCAAGCCTGTTAACTTTCCCAAAGTTGTTAAGACTGTGATGCTTCAGAGGGCCTTGCAGGGCTGAAGGAGCCACTGCGCGCAAGTGCAGATGGCATTCACACTCATGCATTGCATGCACAAAAACCACGCACATGTGCAGATGGTGCAATTCACACGCAGTGCATGGGGACCCACGTGAAACCTGCGTTTATGCGTAGGTGGTGTAATTGCGCATGCAGCGCACAGTGGGGGTGCACGCAAAAGATGCGCACATGCGCATATCGTGTGGTTGCACATGGAGCGCACAGTGGGGGCACATGCAAAAGCTGCACATATGCACAGACGGTGCAGTTGCATATGCAGCGCATGGGGGAGGAGTCGTGCGTTAGCATGGATGGCACGGTGCGTACAAAGCGAGCGAAGCACGTACCTGTTCGGCACTCGGTGAGTAAAAGGTTTGCCACTGGTCTAGTTTTAACCCTATTACTATTTTAATGCAAGTTGTTCAAAGTCAGTTGTGATTGGAATGGCATAACTTAGTACAATCTTGAAATTTTCTTCTTTCAGGCCCCCTTCCCACACACAAAAAAAAAATTGTGGAAGATCCCAAAATAGCATTTGTTTGCATTTATCATTTATGGCATTAAGGATGAAAACTGATGCATTTATACAATATTTATTCATTTAATAATGTAGAAATACCTACGGTAGATAAATCAAATACTTTTCGGGGGGAAATCTATTTTTTAAAACTAATTATTTAAAAAACGGGAAGAGTTTTAATTCTTTTGCAAATGTTTTCAGCATTTGGCAAATAATTTTGATTTTGAGGACCCCTGAGGAGGTCTTGGGGACTCCCAGACCACACTTAAAAAAACACTGGCTTACTAAAATAAATTAAATTTAAACAGAAAGCAAGTCCCAGCAGGGGGCAGGACCGGGCTGACCTTGTCTAGGTTCAGAAGTTTAGCAGAATCAGGAATTAACCTAATTAACACTTGGAGTGGAAATCACCAGAGAATTCTAAAGTTTGTAGGCTGATCTGGGAAGTTAAAACACATTCTGGAAAAAGGCAGTAGCAAGCCACTTCTGTACAGTTGGCAAGAAAAAAATGCATGAAATGTAGCCACATTAATTGGACTGGCAGATGACTATCTTTTACATGGATAAATAGTGGTGGTTGTGATGGGTTTTGCAGCCCACCAAGGGCGAGTTTCTCAGCTGGGTTTTAAGACCTCCCATTAATTTCCCTTCTACTTCCCCTGAGTGCCATACAATCCAATAAGGGAGGCACAACCTTGAGGCTCATTGGCAGAGGGGGCCTGGCCCAACTTCCTCCTTGCTCCATGTAATCTTTAAAACAAAGAAAGGGTCATGGGGCTACTGTACTGTATTATTGTCGCAAAAATCTGGAGAAACACCAAGTGGCGATGAAAAATTAAAAGCGTTTTCTACGTCTCTTTGTGCCAACTGCCAGTCATCTGGGTTTTTCAGTCCAGATATGATTATGACTACATATGGCAGTGGTGGCGAACCTTTTACTCACCGAATGCCAAACAGGTACATGCTTCGTGCGCTTTGTGTGTGCCGTGCCATCCACACTGACGTGCGGCTCCTCCCCAGGTGCTGCATGTGCAACCGCACCACCTGCGCATGCGCACAGCTTTTGTGCGTGCCCCCACTGTGCACTCCGTGTGCAACCACACCATCTGCGCATGCACGCAGGTTTCGCGTGGCTCCCCCATGCGCTGCATGCGCAATCGCACCATCTGCATGTGTGGTTTTTGTACGTGCAATGGATGCGTGTGAATTGCCATCTGCGCATGCAGTCCCCTGATGTGCATGCACAAAGACACGCACATGTGCAGAAGAGCTCCGAAGACCAGCTGGGTCCCCTGGGGTGCACGTGTATGCGCAGCTGCAATTGAGTTAGGTGACAGTTCGTGTGCCCGGAAAAATGGCTCTGCATGTCACTTCTGGCACGCATGCCATAGGTTCACCATCACGGACATATGGGAACTACTCAGCCAGCCTGGCAAGCAATTTTAAAAGCACAGAACAAGTAGAGCAGTTGAGATCCTGCTTCAGTTCATACACAGAAGGTAACCCAGATATTTCAGGGTTCCCTTCTATGAGTAATCTCAGTATGGTCATTGCACGGGGATAATGCAAGAACAAGGAATTTTCAGCAGAATGAGCGTAATGAAAAGTGCTGAAATGATTAGAGGGGAAAGTGAAATTTATTTATTTATTGTTTATTTATTGGTTCGATTTATATGCCGCCCTTCTCCAGATACTCAGGGCGGCTTACAATGCGTTAAGCAATAGCCTTCATACTTTTGTATATACCTGCTTAGTAGGGCTTTTGGCCCCCCCAATGCATGTTCTTTTTTTATACAAAGTCAGCTTATTGCCCCCATAATCCAGTCCTCATTTTACCTACCTTTGAAAGGATGGAAGGCTGAGTTAACCTTGAGCCTGGTGAGATTTAAACTCGCAGTAATTGCAGGCAGCTGGAGTAAGAGTAAAAAATGAGGCAACAATGGAGTTTGTATGGGAATGATAGAGAAATATCAGAGACCGAAGTTGAAACAAATACTATAAATGTTTGTGTTCCCAAAAGTATTAAGTTAAGAAAAACCTTAACAGTTCCAAGAAGAAATAAAAGGCAAAAGAAAATAATACAAGATGAGTAAACAAGGAAATCGCAAGCATCACAGAATTAAACAGGATTAAATTGGTTAGGTAAGAATTTTTTTATCATTAGAGTTATACAACTGAATATTTATACTATTTTAAACATTGCAGGTCAGTAACTGTAAATATCAACAGCAATAATGAAAATAGCATAAAACCATTAAGAAAGAATAATAATAATCATGCATCTTTACAGCAAAAGATCTACCCTTCTTTAACACATCATTTAACGATAATATTAAAACTTCATGTTAAGAAAATCCCTAATTTCACATAATTTCTTAAATGTTATTTTAGTCTTGGATTCCGGGGAGCGCCTCTGATGCTCCTGGGTCGGCTTGACTGATGAAGGTTTTCGCTCTAGTCTAGCTCATCCCACAGCCATTCACAGCAACAGAGCGCAAGGTTTTCCCATTCAGAGAAAATTAAAAACCTTACCCACAGACACTTCGTGCTTCTCCCCACCCGAAATCCAGCAGCTCCGGACGGAAGAACCCTGGAAGGTGGCAAAATCCGCCTCCTTTTGGCAAGAAGTAGGAAAACGAAAACGAAAGTGATCGCTTCTCGGGAACAGATGATGATTGCTCGATTCCTTTACCCTGCAGCTCCGATGGGAGTTTTTTTTAAAGAGTAAAGGCGGTGCTTTAAAATGACTTTAATGCACGATTTCTTTCTTTCTTTCTTTTTTTCTTTCTTCTTTCTTTCTTTCTTTTTCTTTCTTTCTTTCTTTCCTTTTTCTTTCTTTCTTTTTCTTTCTTTCTTTCTTTCTTTTTCTTTCTTTCTTTCTTTCCTTTTTCTTTCTTTCCTTTTTCTTTCTTTCTTTCTTTCTTTCTTTTTGTTTGTTTGTTTGTTTGTTTGTTTGTTTGTTTTATGCAATGTATATGCCGCCCTTCTCCCGAAGGACTCAGATCGCACAGGCTGCCTTCGTTCCACGGCTTCTCGGCGCTACAAACCTCTGTGTAAAACCCAGGGGAATCGCTGAATAACAAGAATAAAAATCGGTCAACTTCGGGAAAACTGTGCGTGCCGTGCGCGACTGCATCACATGCTCATCGTGCCGGTCTCCGAATCCCGCGCGGCGCCTTCCTTGCGTATAAAGACCGGGCTCCCCCTTCGCCGGCTCCTTAACCTCAGGAACTCGGAGCGGGCGTGTAAAGAAGAAACGCACGCCGACTCTTTTCGGCTGGGAGGGGTTTGCAAGTTGCCTGCAGCGCATGCGCGTGTGAGGAGCCGCTGACAGTTTTGTTTGGATTTGTGGCGCAGCGCTGAGCCCTTGTGGGTCTCGCCATTGTGCGAGCGGCGGGTGGGTTTCGATGGCGGCTGAGGCCGAGGCAGGGGCCGACGCCGCTTCCTCCGAGTGGGAGGCCCCCACGCGCGTGTTGCGGGCTCTCACCTGGCTCGGCCAGGAGTTCCTGTCGGACTGGGAGGCCCAGGACTTGCGGGCCGCCCTCTTCCAGCTGCTGCTGCTCTGGCTGCTGGTGAGCTTGCTCGGCATCCAGGTGGCCTGGCGGATCTACGGGAACACCGTCACCAACCTCTACTACCCGCAAGGTAGGGCTCCCCGAAGAAGCCCCTGCGCTGAGTCCACCCCGATCGGCTTTTCCCCCTGCGCGCACCTGCCAGTCACTCCCGGGGCTCCCTTCGACTCCCGTTGGGTGGTGCGGGCGGGAGATCAGCCCGGGTCTCCCTCCAAGTGTGCCCCCCACCGACCCACCCACCCGCGTGGAGAACCCGGTCCAGGGAAGGGGTCGATCTTGACTCCCTGCCTGGCAGCCTTGCCAGAGACCAGACAGGAAGCAACAGCCAGATAATTCTACTTTATTGCAGAATTACTTTATTGTAAGGTTACATTGGCAGAATCCCGCGACTCTGAACATCTCTCTCTCTTTCCCCACGTCCCCCGATCCCCATTACAGCTCAAGTAACTAGGGAGGTAACTCTCTTCTGAGCCACTTGACTTGACTTGACTTGATTTGTCTACATGGCTGCTGCAGGCTAAGTTGCCTTTTATTTGACTACTGTTCCCTTGGCTGCAGGTCTTTGCCAAGGTCATTCCCACCTACCATTACATTGCCCCAAAGAGTTAGCGGTAAAGCCCTGGCCAGAATGATCTGCCAGGCCAGGTCGATTGTTCCAGCGTCTCTGGCAGCTGAGTTGACCGGGGTGTTGGTGGTGGGAGAGAAGCAACAAGGCGGTGAAGGAATAGATGTGGGGTTTTTCTGTCCCATTCCTGAGAGGTCTTTAACTAGTTGCTGGCCAGTTCTGTTACCAAGCATTAGTCTATTCTGGTTAGGTTGTCCTAAAAATACTTATTTTTCACTCCATCCTGAATGCCAGTTCTGTTACCAATTCCTCCCCCCCCCCCAGCCATTTATAAAAAGTATGCACAATGGTTGGGCAACAAGTGTTACAGTGTCCTCTGTGATCAAGCATTTCTGATACCGAGGCATCTTTTAAGATTAATTTGCACTCTGCAGAGAGAAACACGGCATCATTGAATTCTGCAGCGTTATTAAATTGACATTTGTGGATGTGCAACTCCAAGGAAGCTAGTTTTGTCTTCCTCCAACAGCCCTTCCCCAATTGTGAGGACATTGCCCATGAATATCGTAATACTCTAGAAGTTGATCACAGAGCAAAATGTTCCTATCTTGGCAGGGCATAGCAAGGGGGGGGAGGGGAAGAGAGTAAACGTTCCAGAAGTATTTCTTACACTTGTATTGTAAAAGAATGTGAACATTCTACTTTGCAGAATCTATATTTTCCCCAGAGTGGGCTATGGAAGTTTAGCAATGAATTATTAGTTATTGTGAAATTTTGGTGGTTGTTTTCTATAGTTAATTTGTAATAATGTAGTTTAATTTGGCCTTATTTTAATTTTATTCTATTTAATAGGGTATTCATATTAGATGCTATGGATGTGTAATTTAGACTCGTTACTGAGAACGGCCCTGTGTGACCCGGATGGCTAGGCTGCAGGGGAACTGAAGAGGTTCAACTTTGGTGGAGGCCATTCCCCACATAATGCCTGACTCGTGCTTTCCAAAGTGCTTGTCAGGTCTTCTCTGTGGTCTTTATAAAAACAGGTTTAGTATTGTTTTCTGAAAGAACACTGGAGCTTTGTTTAAAAACTCAGGGTTAGCACTTTCTTGAGAACACACTAGTTGTGCACTGCACAAATCTAGAAAAAAGAGTCAGCTTCTGCCCCTGGGTATTGTTGTTTCTTTCACCAGAGAACATTGGAGAGTTTCCACTGTGTCTGCTGACAAATGATTTTGTGTGACCATACTTTTTGCTATTTTTATTACTTAGGGGTCGGAGTGTTGTGGTACTAGTATCCTTAAAGTCATTTCAGTAAATATTTTGGAAGACAAAAGGGACACAGGAGTCCTCCAAAGGAGCAGGAGAATAGGAGCTGAAGGATTTAGTTGCCCATTCTTATTCTTATTCTTTCCAGGTAATGGAGGACAGAATGGAGAAACTCCAGATGGCTCTTCACACTTTTCTATGTGGTGAGTTGTTTTATTTGTTGAACTGGTCATCATTACAATGGCATCAGTGGTTTGGGGCTATCAACCCAGAAAAAACACCGATTGCATTTCTTGAAGGTTTTGATATGGTTGGATTTTCTTTTTTAAATTTAGGGAGAGCACAAGCAACACAAATACAAAAACACATCGAGAGTAACAACAGAGGTGACCAAGCCAGGCTCCTGCTGCACCAGGAGCACAGAGGATGGGGATGCTTGCCTGCCTGCCCACTCAGAGGCCTTGCTGATTCAGTGCAAAGGGAAAGTGCAATCAAAATTGTCATTTCTCCCATGCTATGGTTTAGTTGCTGGCCATCACTGGTGCTGTGAGGACTGCTCCTATCCGTCCAGTTGCCAAGCTCTGAATCTCAGGATTGCTTTACTCAGGTTCGGGAAGCTGCAATTCCCCACCCACCCACCCAATTACATTATTTTCATTGTTCTTCTACGTGCCACAAACCTATCTGCAGACTGACCTCCAGCCTCTCTTTTCTCAGCATTAAATTGCTGGCACAGACCTCATTTCTTTCTGTTGTGGTTCTTGAAGTCCTTGGCCCTGAGCCAGCTTCTGCTTAGAAAGGACACAGGCTCATTTTTCCAGTTGAGCATGAATCATCAGTTGCCATCTTATTCTGAGTAGTTTAGGCCTAACATAAACTATAGTCTGAGTCAGCAGTAGCCAGGTGTATTGGCCCACAGCTTGAGATCTCCCAAGATATATGGCCAATCATTGGGGATTCTTAAGAGTTGTTATTTACATTTGGTAGGAGAAATCTAGCCTGGGCATTTTTTTTAAAAAAATGTCTTCCTACCTCTGTCAGCTTTGTAGGTAGTATGGGCTAATGACTTTCTGGAGCTCAACACTTTCTAGGATAGTTCTGCTCGCAATCCATAAGCCATTGTGCTTATGACTTGAAGGACTGAGATGAAGCTGCTCTATAATCGTGTGATCAAAGAGGTGCTGATGCAATACCGAGCTTTTCTTTTCTCTGCCATGTGCTGCCACTTATTGCAGAGTTTGTAATATACAGATTATAAAGATGTAATTAAAAACAAAACAAAAGTAACTTGGTTGTTATTGTAGCCATTGCATGTGAACTGCATTTTATTTCTTAAGGGCCATGCTTCCTACTGAGCAAAAAAAACATCCACATTTTTATTTTTAAAAAAATTGAAGGGGAGGCATGCAACTTTTCCATGTTCTTCTCCTAAATTTCTCTCCATGGAGCCAATATTAATTGGAAGCTAACAATGTTTTTGCCCCATCAGCTCCTGTAAATACTGCAGCCTGTTTCCGTTTGCATAGTTTTTATTCACATATGCTTTCAAGAAAGTTATGCCTTTATGGATTAAATTAGGAACGAGGTAGCTCTGAACTGTCTGTCAAAGAGGATGGTAGCACCTTAGCTGACCTTGGAAAAACTGGACCAAGTTGATCCTGCCTTAGATCTAGTACTTAGATGGAAGACCACCAGGGAATGCCATTGCTATGAGCTGGCCAGAAAACGAAAAGCAAAAATGACATCTACCAAAGATAACAATAGCAAACTATTTTATTGCTGCCAAGAAAATTTCATAGATGTGCCCTGAGCTGTATTTCAAGACATTATCTGAAGCCTCCAGCTCAGAAAAAAAAAGCAAAGAAATAAAAGAGGATTTGCCTAAGCTTGAATCACTGCTCCTGTGTATTCTCACAAAACATGTGTTGAAGAATTAACAATCCTCTACTTTAAAAAAAATGGCTCACAAGTAGTTCTGTGATTTTTGTATCCCTGTGCCTACTGACATTATCTTTGGTATCTAACTACCTGACATTTATTTTTAAAAAATTCCAATGGGCTCATCGGCATTCTCCGAGTATAAAAATAGAGAGGGTCTAGTGTCCATCTACCCAGGAAAAAGACAGCTGATCAGCTGTGAGTCAAAGGGCAAGGTCCTGAAGAAGAGAGTTCAAAAGTAGAGAGTATCTTCTTCAGTTTTCCTTCTGCTAAATTAGAATTTTGTTGCTGACCATGCTCCAATTTTGTAAGTCTGCCCAGAATATGCTTTCCAAATTCCAACGTGCCTAACCAATCCCCAAAATGTAGCCTAGATTCAACTATATGTGCATGATCTGAGTCAAATGACTCATGACAGCAACCAAGAAGCTACTGAGCAGATGAGAGGAATGAAACCAGGTTACTTTTCTGCTTATCAGATCTCAAATATTCCACCTCGCACTGCAGACATCAATCCTAGACTGATACAGTCTTCTCTAGGCTCAATTTGTCTTTAGTAGCAGACTCTTCATAGAGTCAGATATCTCTTGTCTTTTAATGTGATATAAAATTAAAAACCTCTGCTGGCAGCAGCCTATTTTATGGTGTAGTAATGGGTAGGTGTAAAGGGCATTTTGGTCACAAGAGCTGGATAGTTCTTCTTCCTCACCTCTACAGTGAGGGCTGTGTTCAGTTTGCTGAATTCGCTGTCCACATAGCCCATAGCAATATTCTTCTGCAGGCATGGTGATGGGCAGCCACTAGTAACTTCACCTAGTGCAAAGAGAAACAGCCAGAGTATTGCTCAATAAGGAGCATACAATTTCTACACCTAACAGAAACAACAGGAAACAGAGTTCTCGGATTTCCACACTATCCTCCCCCAGTACCCATTAAATAGCATAACATTCTTGTTTCCCTTTGCATAGTGCCTTCCAGATGTGCTGGAATAATTCTCACAAATTTCAACCAGCATAGTTAAAAGCAGTCATCAGATTACAGGGCCTACGGTCTCTTATCAAGAAGAGCAATGAACAAAAATGGTGCTTTAGATAGCGGTTAAGAGCAAGCAAACAGGGCATGGTTATTTCAAGTTCAGATTGTTACTAGGTAACAACAGCCCAATTCAAAGTCAAAATTCAATGTTTTTAGATCAAAACATTTTAAATTTGAATTGTTTTATACATCTCAAGTTTATACAATGTTCTATGTGTAAATATGTATCATTTAATTTTGGATGTGTATGTTGTATTGTATGAATCCAGCTGATTGTGATATATTCAATGAAACATTATTACACAAACTTGGCTTGGCATGATACGTGAATCCAGTCACTGTATGAAGTCAACCACAGCAACAGGTATCATCATCATCATCATCATCTAGATTTCAGATCCATCAGACTACCTACCAATTGCCTTGCCCTCTGGGCTAAGAATGGGCACATGCTGCCGGATGGGAGGTCCTGTAGAAGTCAGCCCTACACGCTTCTTTTTCGGTTTCTCTTTAATTTGGGCCAAAATGGTTGAAGCCCCAGGGAAATCCATGGCAACACGACGGCGCTTCCCTGGAAAGAAGTCAGAAAAGTACAGTACCATGATAGCACTAGCTCCCTTATTGTGGATCAGAAGATCCTCCTTTCAGAAGCAACTACTTGCCCAGTATAGTTCCCACCCAGTTTATGCTCTGGTTATAAGTTCCTGCCAATAGTCCCAAAGGTGCTTTTTTCAAGAGGCAACTGGACTTTTGGGGGGGTGGGGACGGGGAGTTTGAAGATGTTCGCTTCTCATCCAAGAAGCTTCTTCAGTTCTTGAATGCTACTTGGATGAGAAGCGAAACGTCTTCAAAGAAAAACAAGAAAGTGCAGTTGCCTCTTGAAAAAGTACCTTTGGGACAACCATGACCTGGATGACTGAGAAGCTCCATAGACATTCCTACCAATATTGAATCTTTGTGTCATGTCCCATCAGGTTGGGTGGACATTGGGCAGTTTGGCTTTGGCTGGGACAAAAAGAAATTCAAAATCCAATGGGTACTTACCAAGAGTCCACACCAGACTGGCCTCCACAGGGGTTGTGTTCTCATCAATGTCATTCCCATAAAGACATAGACCTGCTTCCAGTCGCAAACTATCCCTAGCTGCAAGTCCGGCCAGCCACACAGAAGAGTCCCTAAGCAACAGCTCGGCCAGCTCCACAGCTTGATTCGCAGGGACAGAGATCTAGGTATGAGAATGCACATGATTTAGTTGGTGTGATTTATTGGCGAACATTTTCTCACCCTGTGTTTTAATCATCCCAATATTTGGATTTAACAGACACTCTTATTTTTCATCCACAATAATTATTTCTTCCCTATCAACACATTACCTTCCTCTAATTGGAGGATTCACCGCTAGTCTTTTCTCAAACTGCTTGTCCAACCGGATACCATCTTACCATCTGCTGCTATTGCAAGCCTTTCCCCCAAAGATCCTTATTCCTGCTCACATCTAGAAGCTGTCAGTGTGATACCTCTACGCCATCCTCGCCTGTGTAGCCACAACGTGTCACCCTGCAGCCTTGCACTCCAAATACGGCCATCATCGCACTGCTCATGAAGGGTAACTTAGCCAGATCATCTGCCACCCCGGATTGCAGCACACGGGCCATAGTAGGACCTGGTAGCAGAAAAAAGCAGGAAATAGAAAGACCAGCATGTAGTTTAAGTAGTTCTGGAACTTCACCAAAGTTTAATGAAGAAATTTAGTTCCACATAAAATACAATATTGCATATCAAATTTCATCTTGTCCAAATGGCTGACACTCTAGGAATTCACTTTTCAATGGTTGAAATAATATTGGCATAAGGTACTTTTCAGATTCCTGATGGTAGTTCTAAGAAATTTTATTTACCTTGCAGAGCAAGCAAAGCATTGTCTGACACCTCCAAGTGTACATCATAGCCAGCTGCTTTCATTTCCTTCATCTTATTCTACAATATGTAAATAGTAAATAGAAAATAGTAAGATACACATAGAGGATGATCGTTTTCATAGAATCGAATCGAGAGTAGAATAATAGAATAGAATAGAATAGAATAGAATAGAATAGAATAGAATAGAATAGAATAGAATAGGTCTATTTCTGTAACAGAATTTCATTCTTCTCATCTCAGTTTCTCCTACTTCCTCTTGGGAATGAACGGTAATGAGAAACATACCTCCATGAGGGCAAAATCTTTGTCCATGCAACCGGCATTAGAGACCACGTATAAGTGCTGCTCTGAGGTGTTGGTCACAATCAAATCATCTATAATGCCGCCCTTCTCATTTGTGAACAGAGAGAGAGTGCCCTGAAAGGAAAAGCTGAATTCAGCCAATTCCATTACTGGTCTCTGAGATCAGTTTTCAAGAAAGAGATGCTGAGAACTGGATACAAATGTAATAAGTATCAAAGCTGGCATCCAAAAGAGCATCCCCTACCCCAATCCATAAAATATCCCTTAATCCTGCAATGTGAAATGAGATTCCATTAAGAGTTACAATTCTGTATAAGCTACGCATAGCTTTAATTTCTTAACATCATAATGACATGCTTATGGTACCTTGTTTTAAATATTTCAGAAATATATTTTTACTACTCCATTGTTTAAGGCATGAATTCAATTTTTTAAGTTAAGAGTACCAAGACTCTTCAAATGCAAGGCCCTTTTGTATTCTTCAAGACATTGGTTTTGAATGTTGAAAAGTCAATTTAAGTTATTCGTATCTTTAAAAATAGAGTTGGAACTAGCAGTGAGTTAATTTAACATCTTCAGTGCGGAATCTATAATGGAGGTTTCAATTATAGCAATCCATCTTCTGCTTAAATATTTGTATCATGTTATTCCACTTTTGAGGAGTTCATTGCTATTAAGAGCTTCTAATTTTTCCACAGTCTGATTTCTAGTTTCCACACATTGTTCTACATTTTCTGATTTCTAGAGCAGCAGAAATCATGATGGTCCTTTAAATAGTTGAAAACTTGTATCTTAAGGTGATATTCTTTTCACTTGTCTAATTCTATCCAGTTCTTTCAACCATTCCTTATAGGACTTCCAGTCAGGTCATTATCTGACTATGCACCAGGTTTTCTATGTTCTTCATAAAATGTGGTGATCAGAAGTGGTGACAATAATCCAGATTTATCAAAGATCAACTAACTAGGCATGTGGGTTTGATCTTGGATATCTCAGTGCCAAATCTATCATCCTATTGACTGGTTATTCCAAGTGATCTATTTGGTTCCATTGTACCTGATCAGGCTTCAGCTCTGCAATATCCCCAACTACTAGACTTTCTATAAACTTCACCCTGTCTCTGCCAAACACTTTAGTCTGTAAGAGAGAGAAAGAGAAATATTTTATTTCATTTAACCTGGAAGAGAGCCCATGATGTTATACCGGTATTATTACATGACATGTAGAAACAAGGACAACATACCGAGACATAATTTTTGAACTTACTATTTAAGGAGCCTTGGTGGTACAGGGGTTTAAGGCACCCTGTTATTAAGCTTATTAAGACCAGCTGCCTGCAATTACTGCAGGGTTCGAATCTCGCCAAGGCTCAAGGTTGACTCAGCCTTCCATCCTTTCTAAGGTAGGTGAAATGAGGACCCAGTTTGTGGGGGCAATAAGCTGACTTTGTATAAATATACAAAAGGATGAAGGCTATTGCTGAGCACATTGTAAGCCGCCCTGAGTCTTCGGAGAAGGGCGGCATATAAATCAAATTAAAAAAAAAAAAGTCCTTAACTTGAGATCAGCTGGATATAACAGAGACCAAGCCCTCTTACCGTAGTTGTGGCACCTCACCTTTGTAATGGTCTCTGCAGAGATACTTGTTTGCCTTGGTTATATCAGGCAAAAACATATACATTTTCCCAGGACATGTAGAATATTTTAGAAGTCTTGGGAATTTCTACTATTTTATTTTGATCTTCTGATTTATAGTTCTGTTTTTTTATAATCTGTGCAGCACAGATTTGTGGAAGATGTAGGATAAGGGGATAATTTAACCGTTTCCTTGCAGACATTTCATTCCCTGATTAGATAACATCACCAATGTTAGTGAGTGGGCTTTGCTCTTTGTTTATATACAGTAGCTTGCATTTGCCCTGCCCTGCCCTAGTGTTGATTGTGGTTTTCTCCTTGGTAGTGCCTTTATTAGTGTTTTGTTTTTTGTTTGTCTGATGTTAATTCCTCCTTAGTTACTTATTGCATCATATTATTGCATAATATTGACATTCAGCAATATTATTATTGCTGAATGTCTATGGAGATTCTCAAGTCATCCAGGTCATGGTTGACCCAAAGGTGCTTTTTCAGGAGGCAACTGGACTTTCTGGTTTTTTTCTCTTGAAGACGTTTCACTTCTCATCCAAGAAGCTTCTTCAGCTCTGACTGGAAGGTGGGGAATGGATTTGCCTCTTGAAAATTCACCTTTGGGACATATTATTGCTGCTTATTACAATAATTACATAATAATTACTCCATATTGGCTGCTGGAGAGGATGTGTTCTGCTCTTTTTCTTTTCTTCTTAGCTTTTTTATTGTGTTGTTCGAATAGTAGGTAAATAGGTTTATCTCTGTTTATTGATGATTGATTTGCCTGAATGCCACTTCCAGGAATTCCCTAGCATTTTTGTCTTTAACTTTGCCTAGGATGCTCAGTTTCCCAATTGAAAATATCACTGAGTCTGTCCATGTGTTGTGATATTAAGCAGTTTTGTCTTCTGACTGCTACTTAAGTGTTCATGGATGCTAGTCTTCTATCTGTCTGTTCTACACAATAGCTGTTACAATCCTTACACTGTATTTTGTAGTTGACTTTTGTTTTTTTTCTTTTTGGGCAGAAAACAATGCCCTAATTAAGGACACCACAGTTTAGCCCTCAGCTACATAAATTCACTTAATTAAACTCTTCATGAATATCACTGACCACATACAATCTTTTTTTTTATTTTTTTTATTTTTTTTTAAATTTGATTTATATGCCGCCCTTCTCCGAAGACTCAGGGCGGCTTACAATGTGCTCAGCAATAGCCTTCATCCTTTTGTATATTTATACAAAGTCAGCTTATTGCCCCCACAAACTGGGTCCTCATTTCACCTACCTTAGAAAGGATGGAAGGCTGAGTCAACCTTGAGCCTTGGCGAGATTCGAACCCTGCAGTAATTGCAGGCAGCTGGTCTTAATAACCAGCTTAATAACAGGGTGCCTTAAACCCCTGTACTACCAAGGACATTGGGAGGAAAGCTAGTGGAATGATAATGGCAAAAGTAATCCATCAGTTTATAATTATTTTCTGTAATGTGGTGCCCTCTAGATTTCTTATACCAACTCTCCTCAGTTTTGGAAATCCAACCTATTTAAAAAATATAGTTCAGAAACAGCTAATTTAAACTGATTTGCATTATAGTAATTTTTAAAAAATATTAATTCCAGTGTTGGGAAAGCAAGATACCTCATAATACAAGCTCTAGAAAAGTGAACCCATCTCAAGTAGTACTATGGTTGCATGCAATGTATAGTCAGGAAGTAATGCTGTTTACATAAAAGTTAGAGTTTTAAAAATGCCTGACACAATAGAAGTTTGATAGATCTATTCATGGTGGGAAGTGTGTATGCTTAATTTCAAGGCTACTTTGCCTCTTTTGTTGAGGACTATAGTATATGCCAGAAGTGGGCAGGATTAAAGCAGATGCAGATAGTATCTGCACTGGGCAGAGCTCCCTACTCCTTCTCATATAAAAGCATATATCGTTTGCACATACAAATCTTGCAATCTGCCCTCGAATATTGTAGTTGTTGAAAGCTCTCAGGCACCTTCCCAGTAGTCCTACAAGGCCCACTATCAGGGACAGAGTGCAGAGCTCCATCTCTTGCAGGGTTTCTCAAGAACAAAAGGTTTCCGTTTCCTAAAATAGCAAAAGATGATGGATTCACAAATGAAATCATATATGTGGTTTATTTGGTTTTGAAAATCGAGCCAGTTGTAGTTTGTTCAATAAATTATGGTTTAGCACAGCCCATGAATTCAATCTTAGCTAAATTAAGATCCAGTTGCCGAGTCTGAAACGGACAACTGGAGACATGAGAGAGGAACTCAAAGACAGCAAGGTGGTGACTTTTAAGCCCTCCCTCTGACGTTACCTGGAGCATGTGGGACACATCAAAGAGAGAACAGTGTTGACGTGTGTGGAGATGGGAGTCCAGGTGGCTGTGTGTGTATTGCACAGGAAGGCTCCAGCCTGCAAAGTCCACCATCTTCCCACCATGATGTCGGTGGAAGTCATAGAGAGGGGTCTGTTTCAGGTTCTCCTGTAGAGGAAGGCAGTAGATGATTGCCAGAAACTCCCAAGTGATCATTCAGAACGAAGTCAGATTGAGACAGGCCAAGAAACCCATTATTAATCCTACCGTAGCTATTCCTGACCACAGCCCAATTAGAAGGAAGAACAGCCCTTTGCCCCAACAACTTCACTGCAAAAACAACAAACCCTCTTTTGTAGCTCTGAGTTTCCCAGAAATCCAGGCATTACATCTTGGTAATCCCTTTGCTATCCATGAAAAAAACCAAACATCTGCTACTGTTTCAGCCTTAGCTTAAGACTAGCCGCTGGTTCAATTTTCTGATGTGGGAACAGGACAGAGGGGGTAGTCTCTCTAAGCTGCCTCTGACCTTTGTAATTAGACTTGTTTACTCAGTGTGTTATCTCAAGTCCATTGTCAAGAGGACTGCAGTCCTTCTTGCCCTTTGTACCCAACAAGCCTCCTCTGCTCTTTCCTACTTACTGAAGTCCTGTCCATGAGTTCATGACTGAGAGTGAGTCGTCTGTGTGTACAGAAACAGTAACAGAGCAAGAGATAAAGCACACTTCCAAAAAACCTGCATATTAATATTCTAGAGCTCACACAGTAATTTAGGAAAGACATTTTTCCTGGTATCATTTATGAAAAGCAATCACTGGGGTAAAATTGCCCATAAGTGGAAAGATGGGAAATGCAAATTAGTGCAAACTTCTTTAAATAGATTGAAGGTGGGTAGCGGCTTCCCTCTCAGCATCCCTTTCATATAGATCCAATCCTCCCCACTGCACTACAGAAGACCAGAAGGTAAGTTAGGTGTGGCTGATAAGATAGTAGCAGCAACAACAGGGGGCTGGACTAGAAGACCTCCAAGGCCCCTTCTAGCTCTATTCTGATTCTGATTCAGGAGCAAATGTTTTAAGTGAGCTGATTTTCACTGCCAGCAGCTACAGCCACCTCTTCACAACTGCAGTTGTTTAGGAGGCAGCCTGTCTTCTGCGTTGTTTTGATTTATGGAAGAACTAGTGCTGGAAGATGCCAGTAAATTCAAGCTTCATGTCTCAATTTATGTCCCGAGTCCTGGAAGGTGTTCTCCTTCACTCATACTATCTGTTGATATCACTGCTTTTTGACCCCCCAACCTCAGACCTTTGCTTAGATAGTGACCTGCCATACTTGAGCAGTGAGAGTTGCTAATTAGAACAATAAACACTTCAATGGGGGCATCTCACAGTCAGACACTCTTGCAATGTGTCTCCTGATGCATGCAAAAATGGGGAGTAGGTGGATGAGGAGTTTCAGGGCTTTTTGCTACTTTCTCTCCTTATTCGGAAAAGCACAACTCTTTGAATTAATCGTCACCAGGAAACTCAAGTGTATCCGAGGATTCTCTCAAGAAACTCCCACAAAATCACTTCTCACTAAGAAAGGTGCCGGAAAAAGAGGTACCCTATCCTTATCTCTCTCCTGGGAACTGTCTGGCTGGATATAATTCATCAGTGTGAAATAAATTCTGCTCGTGCTCCGGCTCTCTCTCTTGTACTGTGTTAATTCAAACGTTTTGCGTGAATCGACCTGTTGAAGTCAGATTGGAGGCCTGAACCCCCATTAAGCTCAATTGTTCGTATGAATGCATACAGACGTGCGCTCCTTTTCTCTCGCCTGCCCCTGCCTTCCCTCCTTCCCTCCCTCCCTTAGAAGGCACAAGTGCCCCGCAGCTTTCTGGAGTTCGGGGACTGAGCTCCGTTTCGCACCGGCAGTTTTAATTCGGCGCGAATCTTGCCTGCTCGTCCACAAACAGGCAGCCCAACTGCACGCACAGCTGCCGCCCACCCCTGCCACCAGCTCACCTGCCCAGAAGAATAGCTCCGCTTCCCGCATGCAATCGCCCCGAAGGAGCCCAAGCGCCGGAGCGAAAGTCTTCCAGCAACCCCAGCCCGCAGCATTTCTCCCCGCCAGCGAACACCCCCCCCCGGCTTCTCCGAATCTTATTTACGGACCCTCCCACCTCTGGACGCCCGGAAGGAGCCTGGGAAATGTAGTCGATCGCATTCCTGGCGATTGCTCCTAGGAATGGCCCGCCCCACCCAAACCCGGTTGACCAGGCCAGCTGTTAAAAGAAGCTGCTGCTGAACAGTAATATAGAACTCAGTTTGTTCGGCATTTCTCCTCTCCGTTTAGAAGGCGTGGAAGAGCGAAAGAGCCCGCATCTCTCTGACGATCTCGTGGTCACAACATCTGTGAAACACCGTTCATAATCTTTATTTTGCTTCTTTAAAATGATCGTCTCTGGTCAATTTCAGATCTCATTCTCTTGACACCACCCAAGGACATCCTCAAAGTGTGTAAAATCTGTTAAGTCTTTGACAAACTCACCTTAGAGGAAAAATAGCTGAGAGGCAACTAATTGAAACAGATTAGCAATGGTTGCAAAAAATTAGCAGTCCAAAAGCACATTTTCCAACTAATAAACTTTATTAAAATGCATCATGAAAGTTTATACCTTTTAATAAAATGTATTACTTGGAAAAGGTGTTAGCAGGCTTTTTTTTTGGCCAACATAGACTAAGACTTTATTTCTAGCATCTGCATTGGACACTGTACATTTCACGCTGGTATAGTTTTCTGGAGATTCAAGGATAGACAGATAATTCTTTAAGTCAGACTATTGGTGCTACTAGTCTTGATGGTCTTTTAGTTTACTATCTTAGGTTATTACCAACTGTCGGGCAGTAACACCTGATCTAAGTGTCCTGTATGCATCTGGTTGGCCACAGGGTGACACACAATGCTAGATTAGCTCGACCTTCATCCTTATGTTCCAGTAAGGACAGCACAGGACAATTTTTCCCTCTCCCATTTGTACAAACTGCATCGTTTCCTTTGATTACATCTACTTATTTCAGCTGCCTTGTTTTTTCCCCACTAAATGGATTAGGGTTAGGGTTATTGATCAATTGATGATTGACAGTAAATTTATGTACCCATGTCATGATCACAATTGTGACAGGCAAAAACTTTTAGGACACAAGATTACATCATTAGTAACAGGCAAAAAAGGAACAAGAGCCAATCCACTAAAAAAGAAAAGAAGGCCATGTAAAATATCGCCCCCACACTCCAAGCGTGCAAGTTTTCCAGGACCTCCATGTGGTTTTTGGAAAGTAAGCCTGTCTCGCTCATAGGCCGGTGATGAGCTGAACCATCATAAGGATGAGGAGAGAGATACAGTCAAGTTTCTACAGGTATCAAAGCCTGCAAATTGCAGGGTGTGGGATTGTGACTGAAGTCCTGCCTCACTTTTATTTGCAGCAATGTTGATTGCAGTGCTGCATCTTCTTTCAGATTTTGACACAAAACACCTATGAATGCTGCCTTTCTCAATCACTCTTTAAACTACCTAAATGAATAGTCATATAAACACCAAACTGCATATATCAATCTGATATCCATTCATTCCATTTGGAGATTCTTGGTAACTTGTGTTTTTCTTCTGCCTGCTTCAGACAGTAATGGAAATGGCAAGATAGATGCCCAGAATCCAAAGCCTTGTTCCACACGAGGAACCCTTGGAGTGATCACCAAGCTCATTTCAAGGTGTTTGGCTGCAAGGCATTCATCCTTGTTTATACAACTGGGTTCACATACCTCATAGTTTTTTCATGAGTTGTTGAATAATCCAGAATTATCTGGATTCAATACCATTCAGGCTAGTCAAACATTGCCATGATGTAGGCTTTTTTGGTTTTGGTTTTGTGTCTGTCTAGCATAGGGACACGATGGCTCAGTGGCTAAGACGCTGAGCTTGTTGATCAAAAGGTCGGCAGTTCAGCGGTTAGAATCCCTAGTGCCGCGTAATGGGGTGAGCTCCTGTTACTTGTCCCAGCTTCTGCCAACCTAGCAGTTCGAAAGCACGTAAAAATGCAAGTAGAAAAATAGGGACCACCTTTGGTGGGAAGGTAACAGTGTTCCGTGCACCTTTGGCATTTAGTCATGCCGGCCACATGACCACGGAGACGTCTTCGGACAGCGCTGGCTCTTCGGCTTTGAAACGGAGATGAGCAACACCCCCTAGAGTCGGGAACGACTAGCACATATGTGCGAGGGGAACCTTTACCTATCTAGCATTTGTGATTTGTAAGCTGAGATTTATGACAGTGTGTGTTGCATGAGTTTAACCAGTTCAGAGAAAACCATAGGTTTATTCTTGTATATCCTAACCATTAATTAGTGCACAAATCAACACATCTGGGTTCACACAACATGCTAACCTGAAATGAAAATACAAAACCAAACAACCACATTAGTTCTCTACTGAACCCATGCATACTCATCAGACTAATCCATGAATATTGGCTGAAGTACTCTAGAAACAATTTAAAGTATGTCAGTAGAGATTCAGCATTCAAAATCTCTGAGAAATCAAGACATAAGTCAGAGGGGAAAATTTCTACACCTACTGAATTGGACTCTAACTTCCATTGTCTCCAATCATTAGGTCAGCCATGGAAGGTAGAAGCCAGTAACATCCACAGGATGCAGGCTACTATATAAAAATAAATGCTGAAGAATAGAGATCCACTAAGCTCAGGAATTTAATTGAAACAGTACATTTCATGCTGGTATAGTTTTCTGGAGATTCAAGGATGGACAAATAACTCTTTAAGTCAGGCTATTGGTGCTACTAGTCTTGATGGCCTTTTAATTTATTATCTTAGGTTATTACCAACTGTCAGGCAGTAACATCTGAGAACTGCACAAATATAAAATAATCAGAAATTATAATATTTTCCATTCAAATACACAGATTTGCTGTCATGTTTAGTACAGTACTGGCATCTTGCTGAAAAGTTTGACAGTCTATATTTTCAACATTTGGTGTTTAAGAATTTTATACAGAATGTGAAATTAATGAATGTAATATACTTACTAATAAACACCTTAAAGATTAGCAAAGTGAATATTCTACCTGGAGATTAGTCTGCCCACAGTATTACAGGTGTCTGAATATTTACTAGTTGTTGCTTCAATTATTATTGTATTGCTGTGATAATATTTAAAAGAGAAGAGAAGCAAAAACATTATTTCAGAATCAGAGTCCAAATTATTTTTCAGTAGAACATCAACATAAATGCAAGAATCACAGTTTGGGAAAATGAAATTACTCAGAAGTAATCATTTAAAGTAAAGAGTACAGTAGGTGAAAGATATGTCATTACTTTTTTTATTGAGCAGATAATTTGAGACTTCATCTCATTCTTTGCTACTTTGTTTTTCATCTCTTATGTATTTGGGAACTCTGTTCAGATAAAAATATGACAGCAGTGTTTCCTTCTACTTCAACTCTCGGAATAGCCTCTTTCTTTTTCTGCCAATAAGCAGAAATAATTATATGGCCTCATAGCAAACAAATAGGCTGAAAGAGATTTCTTACTAATAATGGCACTAGCAATGAAACCATCTCCATCGGATGGCTGGAAGGAATCAGCCTCAAAGCTCCCATTTTTTGCCCCAGAAACTATACTAAAAACCAAAGAAAAGAAATTAAGGCATGTATTCCATATGTATCTGGAACAAAAATTTATGTGCTGCCTTTAGGATCAAAAGTATTTTCCGTGTGTTTACAGTGTGTCATTATATAATACTTAGCTTTTCATTTATTTGTGACCCCTTAAATCTGGCTAAGTATCCCATTGAGATACATAACCCTGATATATAGAGTGCATTAGAAGTCTATTACAATCCTTTCCAACTATAAATAATTAACATAAATAATAAATAATAGGAAGTGCGTAATAGATATACAGAAAACAACTGTACAGATACTCCAAAAAATGTAATACTTTTTAAAAAAAAAAATCACACACATCCCACTGCAGAAATTTATACCGTTCTACAGTTTGGTCCTTCTGACAACTACAAATTATGTCCATACTATAACAAGGACTGGTCTTCACAAGGAAAATGATTTTCTGTGGAAATCATACAATGCTATTCCAGAAAATAGATGTCATTCAGTGGCTTGAATGAAGATGTTCAAATATCTCCTTGGTAATTTTCAGATGTGCTTTGCAAATACAATTTATTTAAAGTTCTTTGACATGAGACAAAATGAACCAAACTTTTCCTTTCATTTAACCAAGTTCAACACTCATTGGACATATGAGAAAACATATTAATAGCATATTGGGATAGAAAATTTATGATAAAACATAGCTTTCTACCACCTCAATCCCTCCAAGAATACTAGTGTCATGGTTTTTGCATGATGCAACATTTTCTTTTTGAAGTCTACACACATATGAAAAGACTTATGCTCTGTAAGTATAAGTGAGGTAGACAGCCACATTCATCTCTGTATCTGGCATTTTTTAGAATTGCCCTTTTTTAATCTTAGACCCCAATATCTGGAGTCTTTTCGTCCTTCTTACAATATCTCAAGTCACTATTTAGAAAAATGAAGGATTCCTTTCCTCCATGCTCCCAGTACCAGATTCTTGAATATATACCATTTTAGCAATAGCAATAGCACTTAGACTTATATACCAGTTCACAGTGCTTTACAGCTCTCTCTAAGTGGTTTACAGAGTCAGCCTATTGCCCCCAACAATCTGGGTCCTCATTTTACCGACCTCGGAAGGATGGAAGGCTGAGTCAACCTTGAGCCTGGTGAGATTCGATCTGCCAAACTGCTGGCAGCCCGTGATCAGCAGAAGTAGCCTGCAGTACTCCACTCTAACCACTGTGTCACCACGCCACTTTTGCCTTAAAAAGAAACATATATCATGCAGCAAGGCAGATGGAAAAGTAGATCAGGAGAGAAACAGCCCTAATTAGGCAGCTTCAGTTTAGGTAATCTAACTTTCCAGGTTCAGTGCAAGATATAGGTTTGAAAACCAGATTACCACAGAACTGAAACCAGAACCTAACTGGATAGTTGTTGGAACATGAAACTGGAACATAGAAGTAATCAAGTCTTAATCTTCGTGCTCCTGCTTAATCTTCCTTCTTCCTGCTCAGCCAGACTACAATGCAGGATGCAGCCCTGCTTAGAAGCCTTGCTTCTTGTCTTGCAACCATTCAAGTATAAGAAAGTAGATTAAGGTCATAGGAGTCCTCTATCTGAAATACACATAAGAAACAAGTCAACCAGTTGAGCACACTGAAGACTGCTCCCCCCCCCCTTTTTTTCATAGATCCAATACTATGTTCTTCCTCCCCTCTCCCTATTTAGACAGTGTAATCTAGGGGAAGAAAGCTGAACTGGGATTTAAGCAGTGCTTAACTGGTCTTGGACTCTCATCAGCCCAAACAAACATGGTTAATGAACAGAGTTGTTAAAATATACTCTCCAACACTGGAAGGACCATAAGGACAAAGATTATATCAATTCAAATTGACAGCCTAAATTATCTCTTACCTTAATATGTGTCAAGTTAACCTGGAAAGCAATGCTAAACCAGTCTAAGTTCCTTAAAGGAACATGTCATGCAAATAGCAATTGCATACTAGATGGGTTACACCTCCCCCACAATCAGGATGATTATTATTCTGTGCATTTTAGCAGCCACTAGTGTTATAGGTATGGATTTTTGATACAACTCAGTAAGGGTCTTTGGATGTTACCACAGAAGCTCTGTGGGTAAATATCTTAAAAGAGGCTTTGTATAGAGAAAACTTTACCTACTTGCAGTACCTAGAGGTTCTGACTGTTTTTCAGTAACAACTACACTTCTAAGACAAGAAGCAGAAGAATAGAGAAACTAACATCAAAGCGTCCAATCCGTGCTACTGGTTGGTTGGCCTGGAGCATCTCCGTTAAAATCCACATTTGCTGCAGTTCAGAAGACACTCTGTCGGCATCAGGAAGTCCCTGAAAGCAAAAAATAACTATATTCATATATGCAGTTCTCTGCTGCTTTTGCTCTTGCAAGACCAACTTTGTCTGAAAGTCTCTCCTCTCTAGGAGCTGCTAACAATCTGCAGCCAGACTAAGCTTATATATCTTTATTGGGAAATATGTCTATTTTCAGAAAAAAAAACTATCTCAATAATAATACTTACATCATGTAAGCCTGTGGGCTGCTCCTGAGGAGAAGGATGAGAAAGCCAAGCTGGAAAGCCTTTCTGAGGACTCTGTAAAGAGGAGAAGGCAGTCCCAGAGAAACACACAACAAAATCAGGCAACATACAAACCACACTCCATCTTCACCATTCACTTTCCTAGAACGGGTAATTAGGAAGATTTACCTTTAAAGGTATTTATTTCAACTGTTTCCAAGTATATAAAACCATTAGGAATTATATTACTTTACAGATTAGGAGTAAGAGCTACAAAGTACAACTTTTCCTTATTTGAAAAAAAATTCTAATGTCAGCTTCAGATTTCCAATTTGTATGTTGAAATTAATACTAGGTCTTGTGCACACTAAGTAATACAGACAGTTACTTTCCTCAACATTACTAATTATAAATAATGTTATCATTAGTGTATTATGAATCTGGCAGAAAGAAGTAATTACCATACTTACTCTATGGATGTCAGAGATATGTGGACAAAAATAAAACTCTTGAGTCAAAGTTCAACTTCAACGCAAAATGACACAAGCAAGTAACTAGCTAACAAACAAGCAAATAAACAACTTCACTTCAATACAAATGGTCTTCGCTTACCAAGCATTCATCAAGCGATCATTCAGAGCTACAATGGTGCTGAAAAAATAACTTTATGGCCTATTTACATCCCTCACAGCATCCCTTGTTTGTCATTATTAGAGTCAATATGTGTTGTCCTTTGTCTGATATGTACGGTCCCCCTCCCCCTTGAAGAGCAGACAGAGAAAGGGATTGAAAGAGAATATGTTTCAGGGGTGGGTTTCAAAATCCGTCGCTACTGGTTCGCTTGCGGGTGTGCACACACTTGTGCGCGTGATGCTTCTGCGCATGCGCATAAGTGTCCGGGCAGAGCCTCCCGCCACCGCCACTGGTTTGCCCGATCTGGGGCTAACCGGTAGCAACCCACCACTGGTATGTTTGCTCTTTTACACATGAAAAGCAATGCAATTATACCAGCAGCCTTGGCCTGGAAGACGCAAGCCTGCTACACAAACAGCTTACAGTACTTTCTTGAAATTCCTTGCATTCCAATCTGCTGAGGGAGCGAGAAAAAAGTAAGAGATCCCTACCGTCTATGTCTCATTTGCTTGACCCTCTTCCCCATTGCAGAGTGGAGAGATTAGAGAAAGATTTTAAGAGAGTAAACTGCTCTTGTACACATCAAAGGCAATATAAATGCAGCAGAGGGAAAGGGTCAGGCAAAGGACAGATTGAGCGAGGACTACCTCGCTCAAGAATGGTTGGGAATATGTACCCCTCCAGATGTGTGAATCAAGGCTATGAGCATCCTCAACCAGCTTGACTAATGATATAGGATACTGCAATTGCAACTTAGCAACATATTTAGTTTCCCACCTTTTAAACATATTTGCAAGTCACTGCAAGGATCCTGGAAGAATCAGAACAACTGCTGAAGAATCATATTTTGACGAAATTTTAAATATGTACCTTCTGACACAAAGAAAAAAGCTGCAGCTCCTCAATTGTAAAATGCAACCATACTGGAGAAGGTTGGTGCAGGATAAAACGCATGGCAGCCACCTGATCCACATCACAAAGCATCTAGCAAAATATGAAGACAAAGCATTACTGAAGCATCTACACCTACATAATTAACAGAAACTTGATAATGAAATAAAATTATAGTACTACATACTATTATTATGGAATTACGTAATTGGGAAACATTGATAAATTTTGTTTGGCACTAGGAAAACAATAACATTTTGTTTAGATCCAGGAACAGATCATCATATTCAGGAAATTCTGCTACACCATTCTTTATCAGCTACAGTTTAGAAGGAAAAAAGCCCTAAACCAGCAAGCTAGCATGGCACAAGCTAGCATGGCCCATTGGCCCATTCCCCATTTTCCCACTGCCTTCTCTTTCCTCAGCCACTGCCTATACCCACAATGGAACATCCTACCTACCCCACTCCCCATCACCACCTTCTCTGCACAGGAGTAAGTGAATGTTGGCCATGTTCCAGAATGCACTCTTCATTCATTTTAGGCAACAAGAAAACTCAATAAGCTTAGCCCAAATCTCACAGAAGCTGAAATCATATTCTGCTATAAACACAAAAACAAGAAGAAACAGCAGCTATAGATATGAAATAAAAATGTGTCTACTACTTGAAAAAAATATTATCATAGACCGAGACAAAATATTAAAATGTGGAGATATCACACTGAGAACAAATAGACTGTCAAGGCCATAACTATTCTACTTGTAATATGTGGCTGAAAGAACTGGACCAGAAAGGCTGAATAAAGAAAAAAGCCCACAATGCTTTTACATTGTAGTACTGAAGAAAATTGCTAAAAAATACGATGGACTACACAAAGAGTGTATAATTTTGATGTAAGATTAAATAAAACCAGACCGCTCACTTGAAGCATTAATAAGGAAGCTAAAGAATGTGGCATGCGCATACGCACACACACACATATGAACAAAAATCATTGCAGAAGATCGTGATGTTTGAAAAAAATAAAGCTAATTGAAACACAGCCAAAAGAAGGGAATGTAGCTAGATGCTATAATTGATGATGGAAACATGATGTAGTTACTGCTAAGACTCACCCCAGTAAGTCATTTAACAGAAAACATTCTGACATTTAAAGGGACACAGGGATGTGGGTTATTCAACTTATTTATCAATGATATTGTCACAACCCAGAGTGAGGAAAATCCCAGTATTTATATAAAATAAAAAATCCCACCTTTCCTAATAAAAGGTGAAAAATAAGAATTTCTCAGTATTTCTTTATGCAATCAATCTAATGCTCATTTTATACTCTCAGACAGGCTTTCCTAATTTAAAAACCTGTAATGTTGAGAAGCCAAAGGTGGCATTTGGGGAGAAAATAAAAATGCACAAATGGACAGTTAGGGAACACAATAAAGAACAAGTTCCCTCACACAGATATCTGAGCATTTTTTTTACATCTTCAGTCAGTAAAATAAAAGTAAAACTGATCAATGACTGGAATGGTTATGGTAGATTTTGGCAGACAAGTTGAGGGTGTCAAGTCTCCAAAGTCCAAACCCCACTAAGCTAGTTCCTTAATTTTTTTTTTTTATGCAGAAGATATATAAGGGATTCCTATACCTCATGATGAGAAACTTTTCCTAAAGAAGTTCATTAGAACTATTTCCTTTCTGCATGTAGAAACATTTCCAATCAGAATACTTGTTAGGGCATTTAATTACTAGATTATTCTTGTTTCACTACCTGTTTCCAGACCTACATTATTACTTTGGAGCAACTGAAATTCCCCACTTCCCCAGTAGAAACTGAAATCCTGACCTGATGTCTGGAAATAGAGAAGTAGTTTTGAGAACCTTCCTCTGTATGTGGGTTAGGCATCAAACAAAAATTACGTAGACAAGTAACCCATTTGGAAGGGCTTTCATTCCCACCATCTGCAGAACTTCGCCGCTGTACTCGAAGGGTCAAAAAGGCAGTATAGTAATTTTTGAATGCAACTGCCTGTAACTGAAATAAAAACAAGCATTGATTGAATCCACAGCAAGATGTAACACAGTGAAAAGAATATAGATAAAACTTTCATAAATACTTTTTGTTTCTCAGAATGTCTCCAACAATATGTTTTAAATAAATGTTCTATATTGCTTATAGAAGCAAAGGGAAACAATTTTGATTTGAAACTATCAATTGAGTAAATTAGAGATATAAATTTTGGAATAGGAACTTCTGGCTCACAGATAACCTTATCTATGATATTTAAATCAATTTCAACTTCTGAATAACATTGGTCTACAAGGAGAAAGCCTCAGAAATGAAAGTAGCTTAATTTTATTAATTACTAATTAATTTTACTAGAATTGGGTTACTAATAAAAGAAAATTAAGTCCTGAGTATAAATTGGCTCCAGTTTCCAAGGTACAGCTTCAGGTCAAAATTGCATCAAAATGATTCAAAATTACAAGGGGAATGTGTGATTATGCTCCATAACTTTTCTGCAAAATGTGATATAGCAGTGAGAATGGTGCCACACCAATCATTATAAATTTATGTTTACGGATACCAATAATTTAACTTTCCATTCATTTATTGGTTTTTCATGTAACATTTTCATGCTTTTTGCATGAAAAACTGACAAGCTCTAACATCGGATTAAACAAGGTTCCATCTTTATTCAGTATTTAAACTGTGCTTTTTGGTTTTTCTCTTGTGAACTGCAGTAGGATCATCCCTGGGGAGATTCCAGCAGTAATCGGCAAGCATGAATGGACTCGAGTTCTCTTGGTATCTTTTCTCCATGCCTGCAATATCCTGGTGGAATCTCTCCCCATGCTCATCACTCACTGTGATGCGAGTGAATTTTCAGTGGCATGTTTGCACCAAGGACCTAAGCAAATTTTTCACATGTGTTTCATAGTGGTCTGCCTTGCTGTTCTCAAAGTGAAGATAAATTTATACACTTCCATGTGGTACCATATAATTGTTCTACCGTACTTTGTCAAGAAGTTATGAGGCAGCATGATCATTAGACACCTCCCACCCTTGTAGGCAAATATATTCGCCTGTGTATAAATCTTTATTGTGAAATATCTTGAAAACTTTAGCCAATCAGCACATTTATCACCTGTTTTCTAATCAAAATATATAAAATTAACACGTTTTATCTTGGAGGTTGATAATTTCCCAAAATTTGTAGACCGGTGTAATTTATCTGTTGTGCATCCTTGACATCTGCTTTTCTTTCACACTTACATCAGTGGTCTGCAAGTGTGGAAATGAAACATCAATCACCAGAACACCAGGCCGGCCTATCTCAGTCTTCATGTCTCCCACTTGCAGTGCTACTGGGTTCTTAATGGCGCAGGGGACTGGCTCCAATGCCATGGTTCCTCACTCTGGAACAAAATAACAGCTTCAATAAAGTGGCATATGACAATCACAACCATTACTTCACTATATTACATACAGGCATCCTATGCTAAAGGGATTTCTTCCATTTTTTCCATGGTTAGAATGCAGGATTGCAGTCTAATTCTGCCGACTGCCAGCAGTTCGATTCTCACCGGCTCAAGGTTGACTCAACCTTTCATCCTTCCGAAGTCAGTAAAATGAGGGCCCAGATTGTTGGGGGCAATAGGCTGACTCTGTAAACCGCTTAAAGAGAGGGCTGTGAAGCGGTATATAAGGCTAAGTGCTATTTTCCACCCTTACTGGATGAGGAAGTTTTTGAAAAAGCAAACACTTCCACAGAAGCGTTATATAACTTTTCCATTAATGAAAAGTGTTTCTATTATTTATTTTATTATTGATTATATTTTTATTTATACACCCTTCCAATGCTTTTCATAAAATAAAGGACATTGTGCCAGGATATTCCTGTTCAGTCAAGGCTCCCAAGTGGCTATTTCAGGTGTCTGATGCTGCTACTAGTTATGAAAAGTTTAAATACACTCGACAGCTGGAAATCTATGCGGCCTTACCTATCCCTTGAAACTAAACGACGACGACACTCTCCGACCCTGCAGATTTCCGCATTATTAACAGGGCAGGTGGGGTCTCGGCCACCTTTTATCAAAGGCAAACGTCATTAGCCCGCAGTAGCGGCTGACAGGCAGATGACGGGCAAAGCTCCCTCATGCGGGAAAGGCAGCGAACAGGGGTCCGCCCAATGCCGTTACTTCACACACAACTTGGGAACACGTCTGCTCCCGGCAGCCCGGCTACGAACACGGCTCTGCCGCCTTGTGTCTTTTCCACCCGCCTCCTTCACCGCTTGACGGGCTGCTGCGAAGGGGCTCGCGGCGTCTCTGAGCTCAACGCCGCTTCCAGCATGGCCGCCCCGCGCTTACCGCCGCTGCCGCGAAGAGCTTTCCTGAGGCGGAGCCCTCGTTGCTAAGGTTCGCGTCGCATTTCGAGCCGCGGGTGACGTAGCGCATCCGTCCGAAGGCCCAGGAAATCCGCTCCCCCCTCCCCCCCCGCGCGCGCGCGCGCGAAAAGGCGGGACTTGCCACCTTAACTATATAGCGAAACCAGCGACGTGTCCAACGGCAGCTCCGGCCCTTTTCATCTGACGCAAATGGCCGCTTCACAGCCGATCCCTCATTGCTACGGCAACACGGGAGCTTCTTCTTCTGCGATTGGCCGAGACGTGCGATCCTCCTGAGCTGCCATTGGAGGGTAGGAGTAGTCGGCCACGTCAGCCGCATTGATTGGTCAAAGCGTTCGAACGGGAAGCGGAGTGGTGGAGGTGGGGGGGGGGGAAGGGAGTGATGCCGTGGACGTCGGTCTTGGCTCCCGCGAGCGGGGTGGAGTCTCTGAGTTGGCCTGAACCGGGAGCCGCGGGTGAGAGGTCGAGGTGGGATCCGGGAAGGCGACTGGAGCCGCTTGATCTTCGGACGGCTGGGATCTGGGCGTTATTATAGCCTGCTGGCAAGCTCTGCTGGACGGGACGGGGCGAGAGAGGGAAAGCGCCTCGGAACTGGAGAGAAGGAGGCGCGCAGGCAGGCAGGCAGGTTTAGTGTAGCCGAGAGCGGTTGGGGGGGGGGGAGTGGGCTCCGCGAAGCTAAATGTTCCTCCTCTCCTTTTTCAGGCCAAGATGAAGGCGCTGATCCTGGTGGGGGGCTACGGCACTCGGCTGCGACCCCTGACCCTCAGCATCCCTAAGCCGCTGGTCGAGTTCTGTAACAAGCCCATCCTGTTGCACCAGGTGGAGGCCTTAGTAAAGGTAAGTGTGTGTGTGTGTGGGGGGGTGTTAGAGCCCATCCTAGATGCCTCTTGTGTGGGACCAGCGATGTGTCTTCCAGCTTCTTCCTGCCAAAGATGCATGTTTAAAAGCTGCCCGACCAGCTTAAAATCAAAAAGCAAAGCTTTTCCTTGTTGCATTTGTGTGGGAAACTTCTACCTGTTGCATTTGCTGCCTGACACAGAGCTTTTAACGGAATGCTATTTTTTTTAAAAAAAGAGAAATGCAAGTGTTTTCTGCTTGCATTTGAGAAGATACAGCTTGGAGATTTCTTTGGGCCTCTCCCTTTTTTTTTGTTTTGCATTTATTTATTTGTTAAATTAATTTGCCGCTTATCTTGCCCTGGGGCTACCCTGGGTGGCTTACAACAGTAAAACTGAAAATTCATTGGACTTAAATTGACCTGTCTTGCCATAGAGACAAATCAAGATGTCTGATATTTCGTACTCTACAACCGTAGAATAAGGGTGAATGTGTCAATCAGACTAATTCTGGAATTGAAGTGATAACATTTTGTCTGCTTCAGAAAGCAAAGTTGAATTTCCAACTGTCACACTACTTGTTTCTCCCTTTTGCTTAGGAAAGGCATTCATGGTAAGATGATTTTCATAGCCATGACCTTTTATGACCCACCTAGTTGTTTTATTTTCCTCCTGTTCAACCATGTCCATTTGCCTGGAAAAGTCCTATCGTTTTCCTCGCAAAGTTTTTCAGAAGCTCTGTGACATTGCTTCCTTCCCATGGCTGAAAGAAAGTAACTGGCCCAAGATCACCTAGTCCAGTGATGGCTAACCTTTTCGGCACCGAGTGCTGAAAGCATGCATATGCGTGCACCCCCCCCCCCCTAATGCAATGTGTGCATGACCCGTCCCACTTACGCCCCATCCCCTGAGCATGTGTGCGCATCCCCCCACGCATGCACACATGACCTCCTGCATGCACCTCGTGCGTGCGCATGCATGTCCCACATGTGCCTTTCCCCCACGCACATGCAGCAGAGACCCAAAAACCAGTTGGCTGGTGGGAGGTGCATGCACGGGTGGAGCTGAGCTGGGACAATGGCTCACATGCCCACAGATGGGGCTCTGCGTGCCACAGGTTTGCCATCACGGACTTAGTCCAAGGTGGGATTAGAACTCACAGTCCCCTGGTTTCTAGCCTGATCCACTACACAAAACTGGCTTTCTTCTTAGATGACATCTAATATTTATTTATACAGTACTTTTGAATCTATCTCACATTTTGCAGTATATTTATTTATTAAATGCTGATTGGAATAAGTGTACTTTTAGAATTTTTGATTTTTTTTTCTTATGTACTAATATGGCCAAATTATACTTCCTGGCAAATATATTCTTGAAATATTCTTGAAACCAGTATATAAAACATGATGTCTTAATTCACATCAATCTAATCATTATTATTTTAAGGCCAGACAGTAAAACCCGATATTGATTGTAATGATGCAGTAGAATCGTATGGATATAGGTAAATAGCATAGTCCTAAATAATTTGTTTTTAGAAGCTAAACAGCACTTCGACTTGATTGCTGAAATATTTTAAATTGGGCCCAATTACACATGGCTAATGTAATTGATGCAGAATAAGTCTATATCCAAAGCATTTAACTTCCACAAGAGTTTTAGTTGTGGCTTTCTGCACCAATAACTTTTGAAATCAAGGGCATCTGTATAGACATGACAATGGGCAATAAACTTGTTAGATGTTGTCTAAACATCTGGCATTTTAGTTAAGTCAGTTTTCTTAGGACAGGAAACTGACTGTTCAAAGTCACTTCCAGGACATTAGAATAACTTTCCAATGAGGATTCAACAGTTTTGGATTTCTGTATCATGAGCCAAGATTTTTTGGCATTTCTAATAATAAGGAATAATTATTTGGGGATATTATAATACTGGAAATCATGTTAAACAATCCATTGAATCAACCCCAAGCCTTCAAGTCATGTTGAGTGCTCATTTTTTCTTGGCAGGCGGGTGTTAATCATGTGATCCTTGCTGTGAGCTATATGTCAGAACTACTGGAGAAGGAGATGAAAGAACAAGAGCAAAGGGTAAGTGACTTGAGGTGAGCTTGTTAGTTTGTTTGTTTACACGGACTAATTGGATAGAGTAAAACAGCTCTTATTTGCATTTGCTGGGATATTATTATTTTGCAGTGCAGTGATTTATCATTTCCAGTTATTCTACACTCAATAGCAGTTTCCACAGGACAGTTAACAGATATGCATGTGCATACTGTTGGGTAGTTAGTAATTTTAATGTTGCTGAATTAAGGAATGTGATGTTCAGCTTTAATATTTTGTTTCAATAAAAATGAACTAAGGATTCTACAGTTTGATATTTTGACTTGGCTTGTGCAAGGAAAATAGCTGGTATTGAGCTTAGCTGCATTTCTTCTCTATGCTAGAATCTTAAAATAAGAAGGATGCGATATATGAGTTAACTAACATATAGAGCAACATGTTGAAGAAAAGTGAAATAAGCACAACTCCTTTCATAATTCCTTATATAAAATCTCTGCTGTACAATGTTAAAATAGAATATGCATCTCTAGGTGTCATGATACTGCTTTTCCATAACTTTCCATAATCCTTTTGTACATTCAACTTCATTACTTGATATATCTTCTAGAAGTGTTAATAAAGTGTAGGATTATTCTCACAGATAATGTAAAAGGAGTGACTCTTGAAGATGCTGCACTGCTCCCTTGATTGCTTACTATTGACTATGTTCACTTATGTTGATGGATTCAATATCTAAAAAATATCAGAATTACTGCTACCTTTGCAATAAACAATTAGATCTTAATAAGTTCTTTTATATCATTCCTTTCTTGTAAAAGGAATGTTTGTTTTGAGCAAATTACTTTGAGCACAAATTTGGCCATTATTTTTTGCAGTACTTGTGGTTTGCTTTTGAAGTAGTAGTTGTGTGTATCTTTGGCATTTGACAAAATCACACATAAAATACTGACTGGACAATTTTTTCCCTTTGGCTCCCTAGTTTGCCTTGCACCTTTTGGCCTGGATCCCAAGCTAAGTTAACTTACAAAAGTTCTTGAAAGAAAAGTTTCCTTTTCTCTTCTCTCCAAGGAGTGCCCTGAACCCCATACTATAACTTCTTGACGGTTATGGAATGCCATGCCTGCAGAAGTGCTATATGTACCTAATTTTAAATAGATTCCGTTACCTTCAACAGACTTGTTTCTGAGTAGGAGTGCTTAGCATTAGGGTATTTGAACATGGTTTAAGAAATAGATAACCTAAGAACTTTCCAAGGTGGCTTAAGTAGAATTCTGTTCTCTCGTCTAAATTACCTTATTAGCAGCTTTATTTGATGTGTTTACACATTTAAATAATGAGCAATGAGTCAACAATCTGCAGGTTGCCGTAAACCAGCTGGCGATATAATTAACTTGTCCTATTTGAGAAATTTTCTAAGGCAGTTATGGATAGTGTCATGGCCATGCACTCGCAGATGCTTGCTTCTACTTTTCTTCTAACTGCATTTCCAAATTCTTCTTTGTTCTCAGTTGGGCATTCAGATTTCTCTGTCACATGAGAAGGAACCACTGGGCACAGGTAACTGTGAGATTAACAGTGTTTGTTGGTTATGGCTGCTAAAGGGCTTAGGATCAAATGGACACTGATAACTACTGTTTCCTCCACAGCTGGCCCACTGGCACTAGCACAGGAGCTTTTGGCTGAAAATTCAGAACCTTTTTTTGTACTCAATAGCGATGTGATCTGTGATTTTCCCTTCACAGACATGGTACACTTTCACAGGCATCATGGAAAAGAAGGCACCATTGTGGTAAGTACCTGGGGATTGCAATTCATTGTTTTTTGTTTTCTGAAGGTATTTTTTAAACCTTACTGCATTTGAAGCTCCCAGAAGTGTGGAGCAGGTTAGCTGGAAACACAGAAAACAAACTCCTTTTGGTGACCATATACAGTAACTCATTATTATCAAAACCAGATGGAAATAAAGGAAATAAAATATAAATGCACACCCAATGCTATACAGCATGGGTCTCTTTGTTAACATATCTTGGAGGATATTTTTTAAAAAACTGCTA